CATCACTCAAAAAATACATTAAGATAAAATAGTCCGATTATTATTAATGATAGTTTTCATAGATAGCCGTCAGCCGTGCGTTGACATAATATGTTATGGAAACTTAGTAGACCTATTTTTAGAAACTAATTTATCATTTAGAATTTTACCAATTTCTGTGGAAATAACATTATTCCAGGGGGGGAGGGCAAGTGCCCCGTCTTCCCCCTGGGGACGCCCATGCAGACTGGTAGATCGGGAAAACGGAAAATTTCCGATAGCCGACCGAAAGTTGAATTGTAGGGATTGATTGAATTAATATTTTATTGCGATTTTTATAATATAAAATAATTTTGCTTTATTAAAAATCTATAAATTTATAATAATGTCCAATATTACTTAATTTATCGGACTAAAAATAATTATTAAAACTTAATTTACCATTTAGCAATTTGTATAAATTATTAACTCTTTAATAAATAAGACAATAAAAAATGTTTGCTATGTAATTATATGTTTTATAGTTCGTTTTTTTTAATATTTAACCAAAAAATGTGTGGTATTATAACATAAGCGTGCGCAGACCTCTTTTTTAGGGTAAGCAAAAGGCTGCCACTGCTTCCCCCCCCCCTAAAACTGAAAGTTAATTTAAGCATTCAAAATTCTGGTCTTAATAACTATTTAATTTAAAATTTTAATTTTTTTTTTCCTGAAATATATATAATTTACATAACACTTGAAATAGTTTGAGTAATACTTAAAATATGGTAAATAAATAAAACGTAATTAAATACTTAAGTGAAAAACAAAATAAATTTGATAAATAATCAAAATTAATCATAAAACGATTCTGCGTATAGTTGAGTTCTTATTATCACCAATAATGTTTTTGGGATTTTAATTTATAGCCATATCTTGTTCCGTAGTTAATACCTATTTAATCTCGCTTGAATTATTGTACTTCTTAATTTCATTAACACATTAAATTGTTATTATAGCATATGATTTTTGTTTCAAAAATAAATTAAACTATCTGGGACAAAAAAATATAATAAAAATCATAATGTAATACAAAATCACATAATATACATAAGACCAAATATGTCAAAATTTTTTATTTCTTATAATTTTAGAAAGAAGGCTCTATGTTTAGGGTATGCTGTTGCATAACCTAACCTACATACCCCCTGCGCATGCCTATGTATTATACCGTTTATGTAATATGTTAAATAATGGCTGCTTTAAAAAATAATTCTAGGCTGCACTGAAAGAGCCTCTGCCTATTGCCTATATTTTATATGCATATGTTATTTTTGTTATCTTGGTATCATTTCTAGTTTAGCAACTAATTTATTTATTAATTAGCAAGTAATTTAGTTCTCATAACTAGTTTTTAATTTATATCATACCAATAAATAAATAAATTGATATGTACCTACATAAAATAGTCTTAATATATATTAACTTTGAATTATAAAATATTGAAAATTTATTATGATAAAATCATTGATTATAATTATAAATGTATAAAATATATAAAATACTATCTATACAATAGGTACTATATTTTGTTAACAATCGTAAATACTATTTACTTAGGTAAGGTATATTTTATTTGCGAGTATCTTACAATATTTATAAAAATTCTGCTATTAGTATGTTTTTTGATTTTATAATTGAACTTTTGAACAATTATTTTTAAAATGACGGAAATTGTTTAAAAAAAAGATCTTAGTTGTACATTTGAAAATATGGTATAAATTTAAAAAATTATACTTTTTTTTTATAATTTTACATATACTTATACGCAATGCTCGAAGTGGGGGGATACCGAGGGATGGCATCCCTCAACTTGTTTTGTCTAGAATAACGCATTCTTCCTAAGACTTGTATTTTAAAATGATATACTTATTATCATTTTTATATTTATATATGAGAAATTATTTTTTTTCGGTGAAAATAATTGTTTTTAACATTCAGGCTCGGGCGCATGGCTTATCATGTTGTTTAGTATAAACCGTTTCGCAACCCATATTATACCCGTATTTAGAGCCACGGACTAAGATAATACCTTATGTGAACTATACAAAAAAAAAAATATTATAGGTACACAAAGTGTGAAGAATGTTATGATGTCATCAGGAAATCTGAATTGTAAAGCATCCCTCCACTTATCTTGAACCATTTTTATCACTGCTTATACGTATACGCATTAATGACTTAAAAACTGTCAAATATTTTTTAATTATCTGATAAACTGCACTATCGTACTACCTTCATTCCAGATTGTTTGAGTACAATTTTAGTAACATATTGACCGTTGGTTGCATTGAATATTTGAAGTGCTTCTCTGTGACCCTTATCACTAGCCAGAGCAATCAAATTAAGTCCATCTGCTGTTACAACGAGGTCTTTAAATTCCATACCAGTCACATTACGTATTTGATAATCGAAAGAGTAAATAGTTTTCCCTTCTGGAATCGATCTTACAATAGCTGTAGCATCAATATTTTGCTGAGTTTCTACATTAATTTCTTCTTGTTTCGAAACAGTAAGACATTTAGTTGCTTCGTCTAAGAGCATGATTTGCTGAATTCCGGACTGCTGTTGTTTAAAAACTACTCGACATAGAATACGATTCCAGATGATAAAATTACCAGATTCAGAGCATATGACATATTTTCCATCCGGCGTAATTAACGCATGGGTGACAATAGCTCCTAATAAATTGTCAGCTAACTGTTGGATTAATTTTCCTGTGTTTATGTCCCATATTCCAACGCAACCTCGTGTTACCGTGGCTGCCAAGCCAGAATTTTGAGATAAACTTTAAATTTACATTAAATTATGGGTTTAATATTTGAATACATTCATTTTAAATTACCATTACCTTATAGAATCAATTTGTAATTCATGTCGATCTATAACATGAACTTGCTCGAATATATTATTAATGTTCCAAACCTTAACCGATCTGTCAATGGAAGAAGTTATAACCGAATTCCAATTTCCCGTAGTCAATGGAAGTAGCGATATTATACGACCAAAATGTGCGTCTAAAACTTTAATCAATTTCTCAGTTTCCATATTCCATACATATAACATTTTCCTAAATAAATTAAATAGTTTGTTATTTGTGTGCGTCTATCATAATTTATAATTAGTAATAGTTATTGAATACCGAACTCCTGCAACCAAAAACCGCTTGTCAGCTGATAACATACACGAATTTGACTGCATCATATTTATAGTAATATTACGAACTCCATGTGGTAAATATAAAATTTTTGTATCATCTGAAGATAAATCCCAAACACAAAATCCGTTTGAAATTGTACCTAATAGTGATGATGAGTCCTCAGACAATTTAATTTGAAGCAATGTACAGCCGCCAACTGAAATTGTTTATATTTTAAAACCGTATTCAAATTATTACATTAATGAATATTTTACTAGGTTTTAAATTTTTAATCATTGTCCACTTATTGTCAATGAAATCAAATTGAGTTACATCATAAGAATTATTTGTAGGACAACAGAATAATCTGGTTTCGTCTATATTTATAGTCATAACACTATGAAAAAAAAATGAGGGACAGCTAATATTGCCTTTATTTGTTTGCATCATCATCCTTGTGTCATCCATCCTGCCAGACCAATATATAAAACGATTGCAAGTTAAAGTATTGAATTTCACAGACATTAAAACCCATTGATTAGGATTTTCATTCACTGTAACTCTGAAAGTTAATATTAATCAAATTAATAAGTAGTATAAATACTAATATGAATAGGTACAGTAAAATTTTTACTTTATGTTAAATTTAATGTAGTTATGTTTTAAAAAATGAACAAACCAGTTAAAATAATCAAAAAGATAAAAAAAAAATAAGTATCTGAAAATAATAAATATTTATAATGTAATTAAATACTTGGATTCCAAATTTCCTCTCAAGTCATATCTGCATAGTAAAGAAGATCCATGCACAAATAAATGGGTATTCAGCATATTAACACCCGCAACTATTTCACCGTTATCGAAAGGATTTTCAATCACTATAAATTCACTTGTAAGACAGTTTAATAACACAGTCTAAAACAGGTTATTTATTGTTATTTATTGATTTTTTATTTTTATTTTTATTATTTTACTTGGTTGTTGTTAGTATAAGCTGCGGCATAACGGTTGTCCGGACTCAAACATAAGGCTTGCATGATTCCTTCCAGTCCTGGATTCACATTTCGAGTCATGTCACTTGTAGATAAATCCCACGTGATAAATCTATTTGATATAGACACAATGTATCTATAATCAGATGTTACTTGAAAATCAAATACAGCAAATTGATGACCCTCTAGGGAATACTGTAAGTAAAATAGTGTTAGCAAAAAACCTGCAGTGTATTATTGATGAAAATAAAATACTTTTAATGGGCCTCCGGGTGTATGTAAACAATGATAATAGGGTATAAGTGCACAGTTCTCTGGTCCAAATTTATCACATTCTGCTAATAAACTTTTTATATTAGGATTTGATCCAATTTCGGGTAATAAACGACCAATTAATTGCGGAGCGAGCATATCCGGAAATTCACCAAGTATTGCACCACCCAATCTTAAAGCATCAGCAACAAGTATCAACTCTCTAAAAATAAATACTTTATTGGTCTAAAATGTAATAAAAATATTTTATACTCAGGATTTATGGTATCCTAGACCAATGCCATGTCAAATTTGGCACATCCTGTAAGAGACAACACACTATATAAAATCAAAACCTGACCTTTGCTTTGATTTCATCTCATTGCTATATGGCATTTTAAAATAAAAAAATATGTAGTAAATGTTTAATGAAATGTATAAGTGAGACTTATAAGCTTAAAACAGAATTTACCTAGTTGCATCTCGGTCATCAATATTAGCACAAGCATCCTCGAAGTCACTGAGAACTGCTTGTAATGGACATGAAGATAATTTTGCATGTAACCATCGGTAATTAAATAAAACATTCTTATACAAATCTTGAAAACGATGAGCTCGTACAAGATGATATGGTAATTCTCCAAACTAAACATAATAATGTATTTGTAATATAAATACATACTAAAAGTTTTGTGCTAACTTTTCTTAGATTATATCTTGAAGCTGTTCCTTCTTTCGAATAAAATACCAAAGGTTGTACTGGTACTTTCCTATCTGCTGAACCTTCTTTATTTTGTAAGTTAAATCTATGCCTTTGAATTTCCGTATACTTAAACGGTTTAGGATTGCCTCCTCCCCAAATTCCTAAATAATAATCAGCTATAGACGAATGGAAATATGTCACCATATTCATATTTTTAAAATATCTTTCTCGAGCAGCATCTCTAAATTGTCTAGAAAAATTGTTTTTATAATATATTAGATTTAAAAAATATTTAAGTATAATCTACAGTTTTAAAGTTACAATAACTTATAACAAATATACCTATGATACCAATTCAGAACGCTAACACCATCAGCCTCTCTTTCTGATAAATAATTTGGTAAGTCATTTCTAATCCTAGTCCATAATAAAGGAGGTATTCTCCTTACTGGTGGTAAATGATATTGATATACATCGTCTAATACTTTGTCATCTAATGATATTAAATCTTCTAGTTCGGATTCAGACAAACCACTTTTTGATGCTGTTATATAAGCCAAAGCATGAAAAACTAATAGCCGACCGTGTTGTTTTTCAATTCTTTCAAAAAGCATCATAATAGAATCCATTACATTCGATGCTAGATGGGTTTCTTGGGGTTTTGTGTAACTTCGCCAACGACAAATTTCTGCAAATACCAGTTTAACGAAAATTGGTAAAGAACATTGGTTGATAGCATTTGATACAAGTCTCCATTGACAATTAGTTAAATCTCTGTGTGCCGTTTCCATCCATTTCCTAAAATATATTAAATATAATATAGGTACAGTTAAATAAATAATATATATGTCGTTAAAATTTACCGAATTACTTCTTCGGCTAGTTCTTCTCCAAGTGCAGTTACTTCAATGAACTGTTCTTGATCGTCTATCATTCTACGTAATACATGATAATCTCTAGATACGTCTGAATTTCCTTCTTCTTTTGCTACAGATACTAATAACTGAAATAAATTTTCGTTTTAGAAAACAATTAAAATAAATATTATCAAAAGAGCCGTCCTAAGGATTTTTAGGGCCTGAGACAAATTCATTTAGAAATTCCCCCCCCCCCACATCTTTACAATAATATACGAGTATGATAAAAAAAATACACACCTAGTTTGCAAAATGTTACTAAATATAGTTTCACATCAACAAATCAAGGTCATTTAAATGCATCGATACAATTAGTTACATTTTCAATAACTTCTCAACAATTAATTAATAGTTACTACATTCAAAAAAAATTCATTTTATTCCTAAATCATTTATAAACAGTCATAGAAAATAAGTTATTGGATGATTTGGAGTCGATACTTGCAATAACGAATTTCTATGTAAATTAGGATAAAATTGTCATTCTTCACACTCCGGTAAGAAACCTAATAAATTATATTATAACTAATTAGAAATTAGAATAACTGAAAATCAGGGACGGCTCCAAGAGAGGGATAGGGGCCGCGTCCCCCCAAGCTAGTATCGTATTTATAAAAAATTTATATTGTTAACAAAAAATGCATATTATTATATGGACTATTATACGACACGCATAAGTATGTAGATAGAGCCATAGAGGTATGACGGTTGAAATGAGTTTCTCAACACTTAAAAATTTGGCTTCGTTCAAGGATGACTGAAGATAAACTATCAGCATTATGTCTAATTAATGTATATCATAAAGTAGATATTCTAGATCAAATAGATCATATAATGATATTTTTGTTAATTTTAAAAATAGACGACTTGAATTTGTGTTGTTTTCTTTTTGTTATAAGATTTTGTAAAATTATAACTTCCCCCCTCCAAACTAAGGCTCTAGAGCCGCTCTTGCTGAAAATGTAGTCCGTATAATAGCGTTTATGTATAAATCTAAATTTATTTCATTTAATTAAATTTATTAATATTTTATAAAAAAAATAATAATTTAAAAAAAATATATTAATATCAGTAATCTTTATTGGATAACGCCGAGTATTAATAATCAGTCTGGACTTTAAGTAAGCCTGCTTTAAATTTTCCTAGACTGAGATGGGAGCAAAATAGTCCCGTTTTCCTTCCTCTCCTGATGACGGCACTGGGTATTAAATATAAAGTTTACATACTTTACAGTTATTGGGCAATCTTGTTGGTAACCATGATACATTATTCGTATCTTGAGTGCCAGTTAACTGATCTACTGAATCTAGGAATAATACCAAAGGTTGTTCACGACTTGCGTATGTTAATAAATGTTTAAAATGTGCTGTCAATGGTACTAAGTCATCAGGTATATCATCAAATGGTAACATATAGTTATAAGATATTTGTTGACAGATTGATATTAAAGCTGGTGTTAATGTGCTACTGTCTGGAGTTGTTCCTAAGAATCTTATCACGCAGAGTGGTTTAGTGGCTGTTTTATTAAACCATGTCGAATAACTCAAACCCGCAGCTTTTGCTAAAAGTGATGTTTTGCCACAACCACCTTCACCAAATAATATCATTAGTTTTTCACAATTGCTTTTCATGTAATGTTCTATATGTTTCAAACTGTCTTCTCGGCCATAAAAAACCTTAAAACAATAAATCAGTTGAATATTTAAAAATTCCTAAATATTTTTAAAATACAAACTTTAACAGAATTATGACAAGCATGCAAATGCTGCAATATTTCAGTCACAATTTGTCCTTGAGGACTAGAATCTTCTTTTCTCATTGCTCTATCCACTAGTTTGGTAATATTCTTATAAAAATGCATTATAAAATTTTGCAAATATTCTTGATGCGTTTCGGTATCTAACCCTTCCCGACCAATCCATTCGACCGTATATCTAACAAATATAAAATACTTGAATTATAATAATAGATTTTTTTATGTTCAATTTTAGATATCAAGAACAAAAATTTTGCAACTTTTATTGTAAAATAACATTTATACAGTTTACATAAGAATAAATAAAAGTAAACATGTTTCTTATAATATAGATATTATAATAAAATAATAAAATAAAACAAAAATGTATAAATGTTTAATATTTGTAAATGTATATATAAATAAATAGTATATAGGTTTACCTGATAGTGAATTTTTAATTCGAAACCGTCCGTACTATACACAAATCATAATAATTCAGACTAGGCATCTATTTATTCCTCCATATATACTATTTATTTATATATGTATATTATACTTGCTTTGACAGTATAATTATATTTTATTATTAACTAATTATTAAATAATGGAAAAAATGTTTATTTTTTTAAGCATTTTTATAACATTACTTTTGATAATTAGTTGTTTCTATTTTTTGTACAAGACGTTCATCTCTCAAATTTCCTAACAAACGAGATGCCTCTGTATCAATACTTCTGTTAACTATGTCCAAAAAATTGGAAGCTTTTTTTAAATTTTGAAGATTGATGTTGTTTATGTAACGAACGTAAGCCAGACAGTGGTTTTTTGTGTTTTTTACTTTTAATATACCATTTATGACTTCTCTCTCTGTCACTATAATAAATAATTTTATACGTTGTCAGTGTAATAATAATTTGTATAGCTAATATCTTTTATATTTTTTTTTTTTTTTTGTACCCGACATGTAATAATTATGCATGGTATCTTTATCGATTTTTCCGCTATTAAATAAACTAATTGACGACTTTCTAAACAACTTTTGCATTTTAGCCAATGTATCCCACCAAATAGCTTGGTCCTGTTGTTGAAGTTTTGGTATACGCTGTAAAATGTAAATTGAAATAATATTTTATGTAGAATAATGTAATGTTCTTTATATTACTTTATTATTAAAATTGATAAGAATTGAAGAAATCGGTTGTAGAACTGAAATTGGGGGTACAGCATTGCTATCTTTTCGATACCATGTATCTAATAAGGTTACATCAGATCCGACATTGACCAATTCCTCCCTTAATAATTCTAATTCTGATGAAATAATATACGTAGGAATTGGACGATAACCATATTTTTGTCCAAGAAATACCTACAAAATGAATGTGTTATGTGATGTGAAAGTAATAGTCAATTATAAATGATACATTTTTTTATAAAAAATAAAAGGTTAAAAGATAAATCGTAATCATTAATTTTATTTTGGATAAGGTTTTAATTTTTTACCACAAAATTAGGTCCCATTGATAATCGTTGACAATTTTCAATTTCTTTCATACAAAGTTCAGTAGTCATATGATCATCTGTGGCTTCATCACGAACACCCCATCTCATATCAACTACCTTAAATTAAAAATAATAAATAGTTAACTATCCGTACCTATCGCGTACCTGGTACGTATGAAATTGTATACCAAGGTCAAATATAATATATACACCTATGTTTATATTTATATATTTATTTAAGATTTGTATTGTTGTTGATTTGCTAAATGCATATAAACACGAACGTTATTAATACAATAATAATAACTAGAGCCCGGATTTATATGGATTTAAAAAGTATCATATATGATGCAAATATGCAATTATATGCATTATGTTACACTTTGTAAAATGTGTTTTTTTTTTTTAAAAAAAACCACACTTTTATACCAAATAAAATTTTAAATATTTTATCAAAAACAAAAAAAATGATAATATTCACTACTTTATATTTCAAATCATTTAAATCAATCTAAAACTTGAAGGAAACTTAAAAACGAAAATACAAATAAAAAAAAAACTAAAAGTAAATATTTTAGATTATTTGAAGTTACTTACTCTCAAGAAACGAATAGAAAACTTAAAAAAAAATTTAATATGTAAATATTGTATAAATATTTAATAATTAAAAATTAAATATGCATATTATATGGATTTATGAACAAGTATGCAATAACCCTCGAAATATGCAAAATATGCAATATAAAATTTGGTATTTAAATTCGGTGTGATATGAATCGTGGACATTTTAAACCTCCATAGACGTACATAAACTTAGTACAGACATGCAAATGCATATAAATCCGGGCTCTAAATAATAACAATAGATGCATCAAAATACACATATAAAATATATACCATATTTCTGTAGTAAATTTCAATTTATACATAGATAATTAAGATAATTAATATAAATATAAATTATTTTCTGTATTAGAATAAAATAACTATAATCATTTTTGTTTAAAAACAAATTGTTCGTGAACGTCAGCGATATTATAAATTTTGAAAATAAATTAAAAGTGTTTTTAATTTAATAAACTACAACATATTTAATTTTTTGATTACCTATATAATATCTTATAATTTGTAAACTATTGTTTTTTGCTTCAAATATAATGATGGTATATATTTTCTTTTAAATGGTAGCTGGGTAGTTTGTATAATATAGTCATAGAATTAAATTTATTATCAATTGAAAATGCATTATTATTGAGTCTGTGAAATTATATAAGTTATTGAATCCTAATTGTTTCATATCAAACTTTGATAATCAAAGGCCATTCTTAAATTTTAAAAATCTACCAAACTTTATATTACTATACTAATGTACTGCATGCAGAGCCGTACCGAGCCATTTTTTATCCTGAGGCATAACTGAAGCATTGCGCTCCTTAGGTTGTAGGATTGTCACACTCACAACTATTAATATATATAATACGATTCGGAAAAATCTGAAAAATTGTAATTAGGTTTCTAGCAAAACAAATAATAACATTTCTTAAAATAAGTTAATTTTTAATATTTTTGCGCCCTCCAGCTTCAGGCGCCCGAGGCAAGTGCCTCGCTCACCTCACCTTAGTTACGGCTCTGACTGCATGCAATGGATGATATGAAATACAAAAGTAACCATTGAAAGTATATCAGAGTATTTCATTTCACAGAAAATATTATTTTTTTAAATGTATAACATTCAACTGTATAATCATCATATAACCTTGCTAAATATTTAAACTCACTAATAAAAAATAAAATAAACATGAATACTGTACTTTTATAAAAAAAACTTATGATTTCGTTGAAAAATTTATAAAATGAATATCAATCCAGAGTACAAAATAATTTCATTTGACATTAAAAATGTAAACACATCTATTTCTAAACACGAAACAGTAAATGTTTTAAAAAATAAACTTATACACAGTAATAAATTCAATAAAAATAAAAGAAATTATTTAATCAATAAATATAATAAATATAATATAATTATAATAAATAATTAAAAAGTTAAAAAATAAAATAATTATTAATTATATAAATATAACCATTAATCAAAACTCTTAAAAAAAAAACCTAAAAACAGTATAATAAAGATATTATACTATTAATTATACATTTTTTAAATTATTATTATAATTTATAACTTTTGAAGTTATAATCTACGTACATTTTAAATACTTATATTTTATTCAAAACGTAATTTTGATTGTAAAATGTAATTAAGACCAGTTCATTCTATGTTAAATATCAGAAATCAATGAATGTATGATTAAGCTAACATTTAATATACTGTTTATCTGTATAGTTTTAAATATATTTTTATCTGAGAAAAATTAAAATTCGTTTCATATTATTTAACTACTACTTTAATATATTTAATACAGACAATATTTAAAAAAAAAAAAAGAAAATTAATTTTTTCTGGTAAAAATTGTAAATCAAAATTCATCGTGACCTACATTTTAAGCCATAACCACAACGTCCAAAATTCGATGAGATAAGGAAATAAGTTATTACAGTAGCATAATATTATTTTATTATTTCATAGGGACTACAAGTGACTTTGAGGACTAAAGTATCAAGTTCTCCTAATTTGCACTAATAGTCCATCTACGTAGTATTTAATAAATTTAAATGTAATATAGTACAATAAAATAATAACACTAAGAACACCCTATTACTAGATTATTTAAGTTAGAAAATCTTAACCAGGAGTAAAATTTCGCGAGGTACAAATGTACGATATAAGAACGTTCTCAATATATCTATCTAATACATAATACATCTATTTCACTTTTATAAATTTTTAATATTAATGTTATTCAAGTTTATAACTTATAAAAAATTAACTTAAGGTATTGTATTATATTGTTATATGTTAAGTTTGGTTGTAAATTAGTAACTTAATTTAGCAATAGAGTCCAATGAGAGTTTAATTATTATTTATTTATTATAAAACTGTTTTATTTACAAGAAATAAATAAGACCTCTCCTCATTGTTTTTACCTGGAATTCTAGTCCATGTTTTTCCCGACAAAAGTCCTTTAATTTAGGATAACACTGAGCCATTAATGTGTTTCTTTCCATCGTAGTATCTGAAAATATATTAATTTATGAGTGACACATTTTTAAAAAAAATACATAATAACATGATATATTATTTTAAATTTGTAAGTAATATCCACATGCCTGTAAATGTAGAGCTGGTAAAAATCCTGACAATTTTGGAACTAACTGGTGGCAAATTTTCTAGAGACCCGGCAAAAATTAGGTCTACTGTTCTGTCGTCCATTGTGAAATGCCTTAGTTTATTTATTTAAGTTATATAAATTGCTGTACATTTATCGGTACAGATAACTAATAACTTGAATGAAAATTATGGTTGTATTGTTGTGTTGTGTTTGAAAGAATAAACAAGACTGCGAGTTTCATGTTCTAAAAATTCGTATTTACCTATTTCATAATAGTTTTAAATATATATATATATGCATATACGTGCGTTTATTTTCAGTAGCAACCCTTCATTATATATACATCTACAGAGTGAATCAATTATTCTATAGATACTATGTTGTGAGTTATTATATTACTATTGTATTTATATTGGTATATTAGGTACTATAATCTGCGTATATTATTAAATATTAAAATAAAACTTCAAACTTCAATTATAATTAGCAACGCATAATTAGCTATTACTAATGTAATATAATTCAACTTAAGCTTATTTTTTCTGTTTTAGTGATGAACATTGAATATTAGTTCCATCAATGTCAATCATAAAACGGGTTTTGAAGTCGAAAGTAATTAAAGTTTTCTATTAATTGTTATGAAAAATGCAATTCCTTAATACATCAATCATTTAGTGATTATCTTTTTAATACTATACTGACTAGTTGAGTACATTATTATCAAGGCACGGAACTTTATGCGCTAAAAAGTACTAAAATTTGCGCATAAATATGCGTTAAAAAAACATCAAAATATGCTGTATAATATCAGTTAAAAATTGAAAAATAATTGCTTAAAAAATAATGGACTAACAACTGACTACTTAGTGTACACTGAACAATGAAGTCGCTTGCATGAAGATGTATGTAGTATTATAACGAACAGAAATAATATTGTGTATAAGTTGATTAACTTAAAGGTTAAACATCATTAATTATATCATAATTAAACATAATTGTTTACAAATTACCTACGGTTATACAATTTGTTTTGTCATGTTACAAAATATTTATACAGCGGTAAATTTGTATAAAAATAAATACGGGCCGGCGGTGGTCACTATTACGAGTTCTCAGTACTATAGAAATTATAATATTATTATTAAGTGCCTTGGGAGCTGGAGCAATACAAAGAATAGTCGTTGGCGAATTAATTTATTTTGTCAAACGATATATAACTTAGGATTTTGGTTTTCATATATTTAATATTTTATTATTAAACTATATATTTTTTTAAAATTTTTTGTTAAATCCATGAAATATGCATATACTTTTTTTTAAACCTTAAATATGCAAATTGGTACAAAAAATAACAAAAAAATTAGCAAAATTATGCAACAAACATTTTTATATCTGAAATATAAATACTATGAATCGAATTCGTATCGAATCAAAATTTCAATATGCACTTTCTAGACAAATGTACAAATGCCTTGTAAGTTCGGAGCCTTGATTAATATATATATAGTACTATTCACTTAACAGTTGTAGTTGTGTCGTTATTGATCAATCAAGAATTATTCAATAAAACGTTATTGATAACTGTTATCAGGGTAGATATGTTCTAAGCACTACTATACACAGATGTCTATATTATACTTATATTAATTTTCTATTTTTAACATCTACTAATATTAAACAATAGTACAATAAGTATAATAAATGTATTCGAAAGAAATAAGAATGAAATAAATGGTAAATTAACTTTCCACACACGTATAAAACCATGGTTCATAATACTTATTTCAAATGTTTTGCCAACTACCAAATTGGCGATGAAATGCGTAGGCTTCACACGATAATGCGAGTTCCTTATCTAGTATAATATAGATATCTGTGATCTATGGGGTGTAACACCATAGCCACGAAAAGTTATTTCGCCGAATATAGTACTACTTGGAATAAATTAATACGAATATCAATTGTTCCGAATATGACTGATGAAAATAATGAAATCATGAACAATCATTACTCCGAAAACGATATTACCATAATTACTCTGAAAATATTGCTACGAATATCAACTGTTTCGATAATACACAACTACGGTTTATGAAATAATAACCAAGGTTTTAGTTGATATACACATAGGCGAAATTTTGGGGGGGTTTAGCTTCTCCCAAAATTTGTATTTTAATTAAAAGTGTTAAATCCTTCATTATTTATCTAATCTACATAATCCAATAAACAATGTTTGAAAAAATTATTTTCCAAAGTTTAAACTCCGATTTGTTCGTGTGTTTTCCATAGTAGATATCGGATTCACCTATATAACATAATATAGGCCTAATAACAGTAATTATAGTATTAAAAATTATTAATTACTAATTACAATACATTACTGATAACTAGGGTTGGGAGTTTATAGGACTTAAAATTGCATAAATAGGCTATAAATAGGCGCTATAATATGACCAGAGCCCGGCAAGAACTTTTGTGGGCCCCGGGGCTGATCAATTCCCAGCCCCTTTACTTATACTTATTTAACTACGATAACCTTTAACCTACTCAATATTTAAGTATAATGAATTGTGAATAATAAAAAAATATAATATTTGGTATATAAAATATTTTATTAATACTGAAAATAATGCAATCGACTATTTAATAGTACGAGGTCTGACCAATAAGTAATGAGACTGTTTTTTTTGCCACGCTTGTGGTAACACTACGAATCTGAAACTTCGTTCGGTTAATCTCTCATCTCTTCTCTATCGATGCATGTTATCGCGATTTTCGTACGATAATTAGTTTTCCAGTTGTGTTTTGTTTTCGACAACGTGTTTGTAAGGCGTGTCACAAATATGGAACAACGTAATATTGAACAGCGGTACGCGATTAAATTTTGCGTTAAACTCGGTGATTCCGTTATGAAAACGTACGGTAAATTGGTGAAAGTGTTCGGTGATGAAGCCCTAAGTCGTGCTCAGGTGTTTCGATGGCATAAAAATTTTAAAAATGGTCGTGAAAGCGTCGGGGATGAACCGCGAAGTGGGAGACCGGTTGAATCTCGAACTGACAACAATGTTCAGCGTGTGTGCACTCTCGTGCGTCAAGATCGGCGTTCAACCGTTCGAATATTGGCTGATGAACTTAATTTGAAACGAGAAACCGTTAGAAAAATTTTAACTGATGATTTGTCCATGAAAAAACTGTGTGCCAAGATGGTACCGAAGAACCTTTCGGCGGAGCAAAAACACGTGCGAATGTCCATTTCACAGGATTGTCTGGAACAGGTTGAAGCTGATCCAACTCTTCTCGATCGTGTTATTACTGGTGATGAAAGTTGGTATTTTCAGTACGATCCCGAAACAAAACGACAAAGTCAACAGTGGCTGTCTCCTGGTGCAGCCAGACCGAAGAAGGCGAGAATGAGCAAATCAAAAGTGAAAACGATGATGATTTGTTTCTTTGACAGCAAAGAGATCGTGCACAAAGAGTTCGTACCACCTGGGCAGACCGTCAACCAACATTTTTACCTGAAAGTACTCGATCGGCTGCGAAAACGAGTCATTAGAGTCCGTCCAGAGATTGCCAAAACGTGGATCCTTCATCATGATAATGCTCCATGCCATCGTGCCTTCAGTGTGTCGCAATTTTTGACCTCTAAGAACATCGCAGTGTTGCCACAAGCGCCCTATTCGCCGGATATGTCACCCTGCGACTTCTTTTTGTTCCCTTAAACAAAATTGGCCGTGAAAGGAACGCATTTTGAGTCCATAACTGACATCCAGAACGCCGTGACGAGGGTACTTCAGGACATTCAAGTCGAAGCCTTCCAGAAATGTTATGAGAGCTGGAAAAAGCGTTGGAACCAATGTATAGTGGTGGGAGGGGAGTACTTTGAAGGGGATCACATCGATGTATCTTAATATTTAAATATACGAATTTTATTGAATTAGTCTCATTACTTATTGGTCAGACCTCGTAATTAACGAATGATTAGGTTTAGTTTTAACTTTAAAGAAACTTTAACTGTTCCTTTTCCGGTTTTTTTTCATAGCAAAGTCGTTGATAATAACATTCAAATTTTGGTGTTTTTGGACCGTTCTTTTTCCACCGCTATTTTTTCTAAGCTCGATAGCCTGTCTTGACACATGGTCGCACGTAAAACATTATTGTGATTTTCTCAAATTGGTTTTTAACTTGTTGAAATACGTACCTGTTTCAAAAAAAAAAAAAAGCGCCGGGTGGATTTGTTCGGCTGTTCTACGTAGTAAAATGATATAGGGGCATTGATATATCGTGGTAATAGTTCATAAATTCAATTATTTTATAAATTCAAAGTAAAATTAAATATCGGAATGTGTTTATTTGAAGCATCTAATTTTCGTAATAACTGCATGATAAATATTGATAATAAAAATTCGATGTAGCATAACGTCGTAACTTTTAATGTTCGAGGTAAACACTGCAACACGATCTGTGGCATAGAAACAACTAGGTAGTCAACTCGATATTATATATTAACATAGGCGCAACTAAGGGGGGGCTTGGGTGGGTTTAGCCCACCCAGTTTTGTCCATAGCCTATTCAGTTTCACTACAAAATAAAACATCAACTTTTGGTTTTTCTAAAAATGTAATTTTTGGTGTAATTAAGACATTTGAAACTCTAAGATCTGAAGATGAATTTAAGAAAATATGGGAATAAATAAAAATATTATGCTGAAGAAAATGACATGTGGTTACTAACTCCATTAACTGGTGTATATATTTTGTGATTTTGATCATTTGTTTTATGTTTTTTAACCTAAATAATACATACAAAATATAGGATCAAAGCATCGCAGAAGAGAGTCAACTAGCCTTCATGACAATGTATTAACAGCTACCACGGCGGCAGAAAATGATTCACATTCGTCATTAGCAAATTATGTAGAAAGTTATTGGAAAACTTTTACATATTTTTTTACTATGGACAGTGTTATTTTCAATCTTAAATATAGGTTTTCTGATTAAAGCTTGGCTATTGGCCAGTTCGGTTGTAGTTCATTTTGTAAATTATTATAACCGATTCAATGAAGTTTATTGATCATTATAAGGTAATTTGGTAATACCATGTATATAAATACTTTTTAATTGTATAAGAGATTAATGATAACTAATTAATTAATTATAATAATTATAATTATAGAAATTACTTCATATTTCAAAGAGTAGCTTAGAAGCAGAAATTAGAATGGCATTTAACCTTTAAATAGTAAAAAAAATGATTTCAATATAAATGATGTTAAAGAAGTCGAAAAACAAATATTTCCAAACTTTTCTAAACTTTTACAAGTGGCTTTATTTATTCTTATAAGTTCAGACACCTGTGAAAGGTCGTTCTCTTCAATGAGACGAATAAAACATTGGCTTAGATCTTCCATGGCCCATGATCGATCTACAAATTTATCTATTTTAAATATAGAGCTGTAACCAACCAATTAGACGAAAATGAAATTGTAAATAAATTTGTTGAAAAAAATAGAAAAATATTGTTGATTTAATTAGGCTTTATAATAAAAATTTAATAGCTATGAACTGTATATTTCATTGATTATATATGTATATCCTTATTATTCGTGTTTATTTAGTTAACTGATCTATAAGTAATAAGTGACTAGGTAAGTGACAACATTTTACTTCGAAATAAACTATTAACGACCATGGGTAAGGTCGTAGGACTTCTAATTTATATAAATATAAATGTTAATGTTGATAATCAATATTGGGGGTGTGGAGACAAAGCTCCCACGGGTCGCTGGTATCATTAAAATTCAGCCCACCCAGAAATTGAACTCTAACTGCGCCTATGTATATTAATATATTATATCATTGAAACAAAGCCGCCATATGAGAGTTCAGAATTCAGTTTCTGAAATGTTTACATTATTAACTTTATCACAAAAAATATTTATTTGATAAATCATAACTCTTAAAAATCAATATTTCAAAATTTCATAGGCCTTTAGTCTTTACTTATGATTGTGAAATTGTAATTTCCAGTATACTTAATATGTAATATTGTGAATTTTAAATAATCAATATACTTTGATACCTATCGGTCTTAACATAATGTCGGTTATATACATCCAATAATATAATTTATTATAAAACATTTTTTTGTAAAGTCTAATAATACATATGTTATATATGTGTATTGTATAGGTTTTAATAGTATAATTTTTATTATACTAAATAAATACTTAATATTTGACATTTAGTTTTAAATATTCATTATTTGCTATTTTTCTTAAATTTCTAATTTTCTTACAATAACTCACCTTCAGTATTAAAAAAAAAATAAAAATGTTAAACTGCATTATTCATACATTATTAAACATAATTATTTACATCGTTTACATCCAATGTCACACATAAGATGTTGTTTACCGGTATATTTTTAATGTATATACATAAGACAATCACAGATATATAACATTGTTATTTATTAATTTATTATATTTATTTTACGTTTTCACATTATCAATATGCGTTATCAATATTAACAATGTAAACATTGTCAGCTTTGCATTTGATGGCCATGATTCATGTTCACCCGTTCTATAGGAAGTCTAGTTTTATATAGGTATCTGTAGTTATAAGATCCAATTTCTAATCAAGTTTAACAATTTTAATAACATGAAAATAAAAATATCATATAAATTACAAATAAAGTTAAGTTTAAATTTAAAATGTCTTTAGCTTATGGAATTGATGTCAAATTTCACATGAAATGATTTAAGTGTATTTGAATTTACTTTTTAAGGTTGTATTTATACATTTTAGACGAAGACAATGATCTTAGAAGACAATCAGAGTATTATAAAACCAAGGGTAATTTATGTGATTTGTATTTGCTCTAAAATAAAAATAAATATTTTAAATACTGTACATTTCTTTTCATAGTTTTATTTTATATATAGAATAGTAGAGCAGCTCGCCCTAAGGTTGTTTACCAATGGACTACACAAGATGTTCAGAAATGGTTTCGTCGTCATTGTTATGATTATTATGTTTTATACGGTGAAAAATTTTTGCAGGTGATTATGATTAACTTTTTACGATGTTTTTATTAATTTTGAACCTCTATAATGGAATTATTAATAGGTAATTTGCAGTATAGTTGTTATTTCAGTATAATATAAATAATTTACAATTACAATATAGATTTTTATTTTTTTTTATATGTACAAATAAAAATAAAAACAAATATAATTAATGAAGATTGTTGTTTCTATATTATTATACAACTTATAAATAACAATAAAATATTTAATATTTATATTTCTTTATAGTTTAAAATGTATAACTTTTAACATAGGTATTTATAAAAATTAATGTTACATTTTTCTTTTAAAACAATTGAAAAACATCACATATATTTTATTTGTTTATTATATTTATAAATCTTTTTTAGCATGAAATAATTGGACGAGCTTTAATTAGAATTAATGAAAATCAATTGTATCGTATGGGCATTACAAATCCTGACCATAGTCAAGAAATATGTCGTGAAATACTTAAACTACGTTTGAAAACATACATTTTAGAGTTTAGAGATCTAGAACGTAATAATCTTTATGATTAACATTTTAATATGTTATTTATTCTATATCTAATAATTCCATCATATTTAATATATTATCTGTTTCTCTTAAAACAGAATTATCCATTTCTATTTTCAAGTTTTGCAAAGATATATTATTTGTATTTTGACTAAAATTTAAAATATTGTATTCCGGTAACTTTATCTCTAATTTTTTCCTGAAATAAAACAGTTTACATGTACTTAGTTTATTATTTTTATAAATAATATATTATCATAATGAAAAAAATTACAGATGATATTTAAAATATGACATTAAATTACTAACAGTTTTGAATTAAATGTACAAAATATACTTTTGGTATTTTATTGATAGTAATAGTTATATTACAATACTGGTTGTTCTAGTATGTTATTTTAATATCCTTGGTTGTGAAAGATTGTTTATTTAACAATTATATATTGAATATATAATACAAAATATTGTATTTTATATTTATATTCATTATTTTGAAGTAATGTTTATGAAAAAAAAAAAAATTAAATAATGAGTTATGATAATATAAAAACATGCATAGTTATTAAAATCTATTTTTCTGTTAGCATTTTAAAATGATTGAAAATTGAATATTAGTGTAATAGTAATTACATTTTTTATTGTATTACTTTTGATCATTACTTTTCATTGTTAAACGATGTTTCAAATATTTCTAGATCCAAACTATTACTTTCTTTATTTTTTCTTTCTTGATTTCCCATTAATTGAGTTACAAAGAGGTCCATCTCTTGTTTGTACCCATCACGACCAGTTTGTTCATTAAATAGTGGATCTAATTTTTCAGATTGTTCATTAATATTTTTATTATTGTTAAATCTGAAAATTAAATTTATTAAATTGTATTGCTGCCTTTTTTTTTCCTTTTAGTATTTACATTGAAAGACCAAGACTAGTGATTCGAGGACAATTAGGTTTTATTGAACCTATTTCAGTTTCTACTTTGTAAAATGATATCGGATGGAATGTGTTGATATCTATTAAAGTACTATTTTTATCAAATATTCTTATAACACCTGGCACCTCACATCCTGCAATCAGTTTTAGACATATATATGTATAATATTAATTCTCTTAAGTAATTCAATTGGAGAAATGATAATCAATGTGATTTATTGAATTTAATGTAAAGTATTATGAAATTATTTATTTTTAGTTATTAATTATTGATAAACTCTAATTACAATACAATGTCATGTGGTTGATTGAACTAATTTTATACATTATTACTGTTACTTTATGAAATTTATCTAATTCATAATTATTATTATTAATTTACACTTCATAATTGGTTTATATTGTTAAGCAAAGATAGTTATATTTTAACTGTTTATTATTGTCTATTGGTTAACATTTATCACTAAAACTATATTTATTTTAAACATTGAATATTGTCGTGATCTACTTTTAGACAAATCCCCACCACATGTCATGAAGTCCCATCAGTGGATGGTCTCTTCACTCAAACCCCCTGTCTGAATCGATGTAAATAGTAGTAATTATTTGACTTGTTACCCACTATTTGTCTTTTCTATACTAACTCCCTTATCACTTGTGCTTATTGTAAACTGTAATTTTACAGATTATACAATTCTCTAGCTTAAAAAAAGAAAAAAAAAAAACATTGAATAAACATAATGTGGTTTATTATTTTAAATTTATCTACCTTGATAGCTGTAAGTATAATTTATGACTTGTAAAATATTTTATTTTTATGCTTTTGTTTTTTTATATTTTAAAAATATGTTTGTTTCATTGATAGATGATTGAAACTTAATTTGAATTTTTGTTCGTTTTTAAGTCATAAAATTAATTAAATTTGATCCCAATTTGTGAATTATTACTTCAAAATACAATAAAACTTTTTAAACTATATACAATGTTATAAAGTATTTCCTTTAATCTGATAATTACATTTTTAATTTTAATCTTGTAGTATTTTTATAAAGTTACCTCTAATAAATATATATATTAGATTGTTATAGTATTTATCACTAATTATTTTGATGGGTTTGCCATTTACACTATAGTAATATAAAATATATTTTTTAAATATTACATGTATTATATTTATATCTAAAAACTATTACTTTCATATTAAAATCTAATAATGAAATTATTCATGATTTAAATTATACATGAACTTTACCGTATGGTATAACCCATTTTCCAATTGAAACAAATGATCCATTATATCGCTGTAAACCTTCTCTTATGAATATTGTTACTTTAACATTTACATCTTGCAGATAGTTTAATAAAGTATATCGTAATCTCATCAATTCTCCATTTGTCATTTTTTCAAAAGTCTTTTTAATAAAAAAAATGTACTTTATTACATATATTCAAGGTAAATTAAATAGTCATAACTAGGCTTATGGACTTGTAGCTCTAATATCCAAATATGCACTTAAAAATAACAATATATGCCCTAAGATATGCCGAAAAAAAATTTAAGTATAATAAATATGAGGCAAAATTAAATATTAATTTTATAAGAATTTATATTATAATGAACACTAAACAAGTAATCCAAATTATTTAATAAAATAATATATATTATCGGATATCGTTTATCGGACTCCTATAAACGGTCGATATGGGTTTATTGGATTATTTATGCCTTCACAAAAATTATAAGTAGTTGTTTGTAGATACCATATATATATTTTTTCGTTAGATTCAAATATGTACATATAGTTTATTAACTTATACCATATATGTATCTATAGTTTTTAATTTTATAATTGAAAAAATTGTCAAAATATGCAAAAATATGCACACTCAAATTTTAGATCTGATATCATGGCACCGAGAAATGAATTTATTTCACACTCTGCTATTTTTAACAGTAATTAACAAAAGTATGCAAATGCTAGAAGTCCCTAAACCTAGTCATAACTTATAAGTTAAGTTATTAATTACTTGATAGAAATTGTATTGAATAAGATCTAAACTTTGTTTCAGTTGATTTGTACATGCCAATTCACGAACAGAATCTAAATGATTCAATGTTAATAACAGTACTTGCCTAGGACCATTAGTTGAGAACATTTGCATTTTAACAGAGGTTTCTATCAAACCAATTAATTTATCCATACTAGATTCGTTTAGTCGCATAATTGAAGAATGCACCGCACAACATATATTTTTATTTAAAATATCTCGATTAATGGTAATTGTTGGAACAAATAAAAATGGACAGTTAAATGATGCTGCAATAATATCATTTAAAACTGAAATATAAATTATAACATTATTAAATTACATAATTTGTATTATATTTTATTAATAAATATTTAGCACTTTCATTGAATTAGTTCAAATTTAAAAATATAAAAATTAAATATATATTATTTTTACTGGTTTTACAATAATTAACAATTGGTACTAATCTCAAATATATATGTACCTAATTTAGATTTGTCTATTGGAATCTTTTGCATTTTTAATCTTTCTGCTACAATGTAAATCATTTCGCACACTAAATTTAAATATAAAATTGAATAAGCTTGTAAAGTCATATTTTATAATTCAACCACTTTGTACAACTAATTTTGTTTTAAATTGTATGAACAAAGTTGTTATTGTTATAAGATACCATGGTAACCAAACATTTAGTATGGTGGAGTAGGTATAATATAAGTATTGTGTTTAGTTTGGTACCTATATAAAGTAGTATATCAAAAAATTTAAGACTATATGAATAGACTGTGATAAACCTAACATGTAAAGAATAGGTAGCTTAAACAACCTTGACCCTACATATATATATATATATATATGTAAGTGCGTTATTTTATATGATCAATAGGCATTGTTAAAAGAATTCTTTATTTTTAAATGAATTTAAAAATGCAAATAAAATTAAATTTAAAACATGTAGATAATAGCAGGTAATATCTAATAATTCATATATTAATATTTAATGATTATAAATATTAAAAAAGCATATTATAATATATAATTTTGTACCCAATAAGTTATCATAATTTAAGTTTTAGCATTTTATTTTGATTTTTCATATCAATAAATATCAACAAAAATAATAATAATTATTTAATTTGTAGACCTTATACTTAAACCCTATAATAAAATGTTCGTGATTTCATTGAAGGTGTACATTACATCTTAATAATATAAAAATTAATGCATCTAAAATCAGTTTATATTATTATTATTATATGTACCTTTTACACATTGTTCACAAATGTTATTAAGTAGTGTTTACATACAATATTTTCATCATTAGATACCTGTGCCTAATGATGGTTGATAATTTATTACATACTACAAATTGATTATTGATAAAACAGTTCATATTTTTATTTTTAAAATTAAATTTAATATATATTTGCTTATTATTTTAGAATTTATTATTTATTGTACAACACTACAAATCTATATAAGTTTGTGATTGAGCACTATTACCATCTATATAGCCTAATCACAAATCAATATAATAGATAATAATATAATAAAATAAAAATAAATTCATAAATTATTTATTCAAATACGTCAGAAAATTAATTACTTTGTTCACTTATTGAAATCAATAAAATAAGATATTTCTTTATTTTATCATCAGCAATCATGTCAATGCGATGAACACCCATGTAGTCATATTATGCACACAATAGTTTCTTTAACTTTAACATAGATAGTCAGCAGTTCTTTGTATAGTATAAATATTCATATGTTTCTATATTTTCGTATTCACACATAATCAAATACGCACTTAATATAAGTAATCCAAAAATAAATGAACATTAAATTCATGAGTATTTAGATCTGAACGAAAGAATTGAATCGTGGACGTCATAACATTTATATTTTAGCGCGACAATTTTTTTATCGTCAGCCATTTTGCAACAGTTGTTGGTAAAACACCTGAGGCGATGTTGCCAAATCAAACTGATAAGAAATTAAATTATTAAATTAAAAAATTATTTTAAATAATTTACAAATAAGTACATAAGTTCCATTGAAAAATATTTATTTAAAATTTATGTAAAATTTACGATTATATTTTTACGGATTGATTTTAAGTAGCATTTCAAGGAAATGGCGGTTAGTTCTGGCAACGTGGCTACCATTAGATTTCTCTCATATGTCCCCTACCCGCTGCTTCCCACCCATAAGGTTCACCTCAACAAGCGGCCCGTCTCCCGCACTAACACTGATCGGTAGCGTAACGTTTGTTTACACTTTGCGTTGCATTTCGGTCTATCTTATTTTACGAAAAAGTCTGTTGGTTCGTGTGCTTATTTTGTTTGTTATTGTTCGCCATATCCGTAGTATCGCGATCTTCAAATTATACAGCCTGCCCCGGCCAAACTTTTTGCATTGTAAGTTATTATCGTTGTACAGTTAAGCGTAATAATGCAATGTTAACTTTTATGCACGGATATAGTTTGTACGTGATGTTAATTAAACGGACAAATGTGACGAGAAATGAAACGGCATTCGGATGAAGTCATGGCGTCCGCGGACACAGTCGGAGCATACACCGCCACCGCTACCCGATCACCACCTAGATCCAGGCCCAATCTGGTGACTATTTCCAATGTTGTCCAATCAAATTTTGTTTCGCAAGCTATAAACAATCCAAATATACAGTTCAACACTGTACAACCTTTTAGTCCACCTACAATGCCAGTTTTAGCTTTGAATGATAAAATCCCTGGCTCACTTCCTGGAGGGTCTGCCATGCCAGCTCTTCATTCAATTCAAGCACAACATTCTATTCAACAAATAAGGCAGAAAGTTGTACCATCTACAACTATTATTCAACAACAGCAACTGCAGCAACAGCAGCAACAACAAACACAATTTCAGAGGCTCAAGGTCGAAGATGCCCTATCCTATTTGGATCAGGTGAAATTTAAATTTAGTAATCAACCACAAGTCTACAATGACTTCTTAGATATTATGAAAGAATTTAAATCTCAAAGTATTGATACTCCTGGAGTGATAACACGAGTCTCAAACCTATTCAAAGGTCATCCTGAGCTTATAGTAGGGTTTAATACGTTCCTACCTCCTGGTTATAAAATAGAAATTAAGAATAATGAACTTGGATTTCATGTTTCTGTGTCGATACCAAGTGGCCCAGCAATTACATCTTCCCAGACCATAATTCATTCAACAACTCAACATATTATGTCTAGCACTACTCCAATTACTACTACACCAGTCACTTTGACGACTACACCACCTGTAGTAATTAAACCAGCTGGACATTTACCTATAAATCAGGTCAATACTACTTCAGTCGTAATGAATCATCATACAACTCATAACAGTAGTATAACACCAACTGCTACACCTTCTAGTTCTTTTCATTCAACACAAATACCTTTGTCTGTAGCTAGTTTAAGCCAAGTGGCTTCTAATATACCTCAAGTATCAATACCTACAACTCAAGAATCAGCCAATTCACAAAATCAACCGGTTGAATTTAATCATGCTATAAACTATGTAAATAAAATTAAAAATCGCTTTCAAGGGCAACCAGAAAAATATAAAAGATTTTTAGAAATATTGCATACTTATCAAAAGGAACAAAAAACTCATAAAGATAATGTTGTTCCAGCAACAGAAAAAACACTAACAGAAGCTGAAGTATATCAGCAAGTTGCCAAATTATTTGAAAACCAAGATGATTTACTAGTTGAATTTGGACAGTTTCTACCAGATGCTAAAACACCTGATGCTAAGCAGGTTGCAGAAGCTATAACTGCTCCCAAGAAAACTTCTGTTGTTACTAGTGTGCCTCCAGTTACAGTTGCAGCACCTATAATTAAAAAAGAACACCCTGCTAATATTCCAACTACTAAAGAAAGCAGTAAAGAACCAATTGTTCCAAATGTGGCTTTGAAAAGAACTTCATCATTTTCTTCCAGTCAAAATTTACCACCACCAAAAAAACCTAAATCTCCATTTCCAAGTTTAGGAGATGTATCATATGTAGAAGCTTATAAATATGGTACATTGACAGATTTTGCATTTTTTGATCTTGTTAGGAAATCAATTCATAATGCTTCAGCATATGATGATTTCTTGAGATGTCTAGTTCTGTACTATAATGAAATAATATCAAAATCAGAACTGCTGAATTTGGTACAGCCTTTTCTTGGAAAATATTCGGAACTATTTAGAAGATTTAAAGATTTTATTGGAACCAGTGAAAAAAGTAATAATGCCACCACGGCTCCAACGGAAAATAAACTTTCTGGGTTGCCACACTTTTCATTACTCGATCCTGGTTCTAATCGCCAAGATAGATCTGCTGGTGATCTACCTACTGATATAGATTACAGTATTTGTAAAAGGTTAGGTGCGAGTTATTGTGCTGTACCTTCTGATTATCAAACGCCCAAATGTAGTGGTAGGACGAAAATGTGTTACGAAGTACTAAATGACACTTGGGTTTCTTTCCCTACATGGTCTGAAGAATCATCATTTGCTACTAGTCGAAAAACTCAATATGAAGAATACATGCATAGGTGTGAAGATGAAAGATTTGAACTTGATCTCGTCATGGAAATTAATTTATCAGCAATATATTCATTGGAGGAAATTTTAAGAAAGTTTAATAGAATGACACCTGATGAAATAGCAAAATTTAAAATTGATGATAGTTTTGATAATGAATCAAGCTCAATGTCAACTAATAGAAGAGCTATCAAAAGACTATATGGTGATAAGACAATAGATATACTCGAAGGACTTAAAAATAGTCCAGTAACTGTCATTCCAATAGTTTTAAAAAGGCTGAAAGGCAAAGATGCAGAATGGAGAGATGCACGAAATAATTTCAATGACATATGGAAAACTCAAAATGAGAAATATTACCTAAAATCATTAGACCATCAAGGTGTTAATTTCAAACAAAGTGATATGAAATATTTAAGATCAAAATCATTATTAAATGAAATTGAAACTTTATATGATGAGCGTTATGAACAAAATGACAATACACCTAGACCTCATATGGTGTTTTCCTATACTGATAAGTCAATTTTAGATGATGCTGCTAATTTATTGATACATCATGTTAAGAGACAAGCTAGTATTAATAAAGAAGATAAACAAAAAATAAAATCACTTATCCGACGATTTATTCCTGATATGTTTCATCATCCAAGACAGGAGTTAAGTGATGATGAACACGATGGTCAGAATGATTGTTCTAATAATAATTCACCTGAAACAACTAAAGCTTCATTGCGTATCTCTGAAGAAAAAGATTTATTGGATATAAAAATTACAGACAACGATAAATCAAAAGCACCTGAACATTCAAGTACGGAAGAATGTTACACATTATTTTATGGAAATAACAATTGGTATTTGTTCCTCAGACTTCACCATATCCTTTGTGATCGACTTACTCAAATGTATAAAAAGGCATCACAATTGGTTCATGATGAATGTATTTATCAAGCGACAAGGTTAGAGTCTGCTGCTGCAAAACTACGTCTTAACCCCAAATCAGACATTTTGTTAGAAGACTATTACCCAGCTCTACTTGAAATGATAAAAAACGTTTTGGATGGCAATATGGATTCAAATACCTATGAAGATACATTAAGAGAAATGTTTGGAATTCATGCGTATGTAGGATTTACTTTAGATAAGGTTGTTGTTTATGCTGTTCGACAATTGCAGCACTTAGTATCAGATGAATACTGTCAAGAGTGTTATAGTATGTTTTTGAAAGAAAGTAAAAAAAATGGAACTGGAGGCCTTTGTAGTACAGCATGTCAAAGAATTGTCCAAGAAACAGCATATCAACGTAGAGCAGAAGCAGCTTTGAGTAATGATAATAATTGTTATAAAATATTAATTTATAAATCTAATTGCAAATTAACATTTGAGTTGCTGGACACTGACACAGATGATAATCAAGATAGTAGTAAATGGACAAGTTTTGATAATGAACCACTATCTGAAACTAATGATGAAAAACAAGAAGAAAACCAAAGTCCTAAAGATTAATATTCAATTTCTTAAAATGTTCTAACTTTAAATAATTAAGTATTCTATACCTTTATTATTATTTATTATTAATTTTTTATATAAATTGTTTCTACTACAATATGTAGTCTAATTTAATTCTTGCTCTACATTGATTCCAAAATCTTGACTGAAAGATTACTTTAGAAGGTAATATTATATATTATTCATTTATTAAATGTTATTAATATTTTTGTGATTATTTCAGTTTGGAGAAGTTTGTATATACTTTATTGACATTTGATGAGGATTAAAATCAACCATTTACCTACTTTTTTTTTTTTTTCATAAAAGTAAGAATATATTTATTTACTGCAATATAACTCACTCAATATATTTTTATTGATTATTAGTTTTTTCCTAACCATCATTTTTATTTAAATAATTATACAATTAAGATTATTTGTATTAAATTAATATTATGTTTGGTTTTTTTTCAGAAAATATTAAGTTCATTTCTTTGAGGATTTATTGATTGAATACTCCTAGAATATCTGAGGTAATTATAATATATAAATGCTCACTAAATAATATAAACTAATTTTAATTGTTGTATTTCGAATAAACAGAAAGGAGTTTTTATTATTATGCCTAGAACTATTTAAAACATTATAAATAATATTTAACATAACCTATATTATATTATCTTAAAACTTAAATTAGTTAATATATAAATGTCATTGTAAATTAAGTCATGGTAAAAAAAAAAAGCATTCAAATAACCTTTAAAGGATCTCAACTCATATTCAGCCTACTAATATACAACATACAAGGGTGGAAGACGAGGATTCGTCCCCGGGCGTAAAATTGTAAAGGGTGTAATTTTTGTAGTTATTAACTAATTTGATATTTTTAACTTTGTTAAATACTGATTAGGTTAAAACTCAATAAGTATGATTGTATAATAATTATTAAAAAAAAATTCTGAAGAATAGTATTTGATTATTGGTCTATGATAGGGCGTAATTTTAACATTTTCCCCAGGTGTCAATTCCTAGTTTCATCTCTGACTACATAACTAAGTATTAACATTAGCAACTTAAACTGTAGTGTTTATTTTAGATTTAGTTTCTTTATCCTATTTTAGGACACTTAAAAGGAAAAATATTTTTAGACCATGGCATATTTTTCTTTTAGAATATAGTTTGACCAAAGTTATAAATATTTAAAAAATCTAAATTTATACGGCTAACTTCTTTGTTGGTCTATGTTCTACAAAAAACATGTCCAAATCTTTAAATTATTATTTTTTTATAATATCATAGTTTTTATCGGAAGTTAATTTAACTTTATGTTTTATTTTGCTTGCTCTTGTGCTCTAAATGCATTCTACATAGTTTCAATATTTTTTCCAATTCTATCTAATTTTTAGTTAAACTAACAATGATAACCAAATATTAGCTGATTTCCTCTTAAATTAGTGTGTATTAAAATATTAACATATTTTATCATCCTGATACAATTCTTGAAGTTCACTAAAAAATAAGTGAAATACAATAAAGTAGTATTTCCATATTTTGAAATTTTTCAAGAACATTAAGTTGAATAATTTAATTTCTTATAGGTACATTTCATACTAAATATAATTTTTTTTTTTTTCAGTTGACACATTACTATCAATTACTGCAACAGTGATTATATTCTATCTTGTAAATACTGAAGATTTAAATTTGTATGTTTTGACTATTGTTTAAAAAATGAATATTATGTATAGAAATGCTGTATATATGTATATTTTTTTATTTAACTTTTTCTGTAGTAAATAGATAAACATTTGAATCAGTTACCAATGAATGTTTTTTAGGACATCAATAGGAACTATTGTGAAAATTGTTAAATTTAATTTTTCACTATTAGAACAAATAACCAATTTATTACAAATCATTAAATACATTTAACTTGTGAATGTAAAAACATAGTATAAATTAAACTATAGTTTTAAAATGTATCATGCAGCAAAGTAAAGTAATGTAAGCAATGTTCAAAAATGGGTTCTTCCATTGTGCATAATTTTTTTTAAATCTGTAAACAAAAAATGTGTAATTATTTTGTTACAAATTGTTTTTACTCGTAGCCTATTTTTAATGGTGTAAATAATTTATATATTTTTCATTATAAATTAATTTCTTTATATGTAGAAATAATTGAATTGATTATTGTATTATACATGCCATAGAAATGTTAATATTTATTTAATAAATAGGAAAATATTTTTTAGAGAGTAGCATTTTTAATAAATTATAAAATTAGGAAAGAAAATTTAAAATGCATTATTCTAAATGAATAATGTCAATAACGTGACCGCCATTTACTAATTTTTTTATCATTTGATTATTTTCCTTGGTTGCTTATAGTATTTATTTATTATGGTTTTTATAAGTTGATTGAATTGTTTGCATTGATTGTAATTATATTTTTAGTTTCTTTATAATGATTAATTTATTTGGAAAGATTAATTAAAGTTTTATTTTATACTTTTGGAATTTAATTTTATATTTTACCGTTACAAATATATATATAATGATGCTTGTAAAACAATTAATCAAACATATTGTGAATATTATGAAATATTTTGTCATAAATTTATTGTAATGAGTTCTATTCATAATTTTATATTTGAAAATGTTACCTTGATAACAATTTTAATATGAAATGGAACATAATTTTATACTAACAGGTTTTATACTTTTACCTATGAATCTATAATAAATGTAATTAATAAATTCATAAGATTTGGTTTAAATAATTTTTTAATATCAATTAAATAATGAAAAAAGTTTTAAAAAGTAATTTATATACCAGTGATTTTTATTTAAACAAAGCAAATAATTGACTGTTCATTAAATGGTTACATTTTTTATATTTTTATATAAATAGTTTTTAACTAATTATTAATATAACTAATTGCTAGAATTTCAATTTTTTTCATAGCTTGATTACTTTTGCATTAGTCTCAAAATCTATAAATACATTATCTTGTCATATGTATACTTTTAATGATAAAATTAACAGTATTGCTCTACATTTGATCATTACTCATCTTTTAAATAAAACAACAATAAAAATTCAATTAAATTTAATTTAAAGCAAAAGAAATTGATGCTAGAATTTCTAAATAAAATTATCAATGTTTTTGATAGTATAAACATGAAAACTTTTATGTTTTAAAATTTATATTACATTCTAGCCTTGTGAATCTTTATGTTTGGTTTATTGTTAATTTTTGATAAACATTGTTTTGTGCCTAAAAAAATTGATTTTCCCTTTTAAATGATGACATTTTTTTTTCTTAAAAAGCCTAAAATCCTTGTTTAAAAAAAAATGTAATAGCTGGTTTTGAATTTAATAGAATTTTCCCCCGTATAAGACTGATAATCAAGTGATTTTATTGTTGAAAAATATTCATATTATTTATAGAATATTTATGAGTGAAATAAAAACAAATCACGTTACAAGTATTTTGTGCAGTAATATTTTTAGTATGTAAGACATATGTATTTTTTAAATAAATGTAAATTTAGATATAAATTAAATAGGAGATATTATTTTAATTATGATGGAACTATTGACGATTAACTTGTTAACAAGTGTTTATGCAAATGGAATGTCGAAATTAAATCTAAATCTAATATGAATAACGAAGTACTCTTTCAATTGAAAATTTCTTATGAAATATTCCTTAATAGATATTTATCTACAATCTTGATTTTACCTATTACACGTGTTTCAATTAGGTAAAATAATTATTGTATATCTTCTTACTTATTATTGTACCATAGAGAACACTGAATAATTTTAAGGTTAGTAGTGATGTCAATATATACTTTTTCCTCCATGAATAAAAATGCTCTCCCACCCCCTTCATGACTATCGGAGTTTTATTTTCTCATCCTTTTACTCTCTTTATATGATACTCGACCACGTTATTTTGTGAGTGTTAAGTTATTTGAAGTTTTATTCTATTTCTAGTTAAAATTTCATTTTCAAATGGCTCCAGCTGCCGCTAAACAGGTATCGTTGATTTACACTACGTATTATTATTCAAAATCTACACTTGTTAAAGAATGTGTGTTTAAGTTTTACTATTGTGAATCAAGTAACTTAATTTTAATCAATATTTTATAATTAATGGTTATTATATTATAAAAAATAAAGTATTTTACTAATATTTATTTATTTATAAGGCTAAAGCCCCAGGTGGTGACAAAAAGCCTGCGGCTAAAAAACCGCAAGCCCAACAACCTGCCAAGGTAAAACAAGAAGCTCCCAAGCCAAAGGTTGAACCTAAAGCTCAACCAAAAAAAACTGAACCAGTAATCGAACCTAAGCAACAGGCCAAGAAAGATACCAAACAAGCAGCATCCAAGACTGCACCTGCTCAGGACAAGAAACCATCTAAAGAACAACCCAAAAAAGAAGCTGTAAGCATTTAATAATCATTTTTTTAAATTGTTTTTATTTTAATTATTATTTTAAGGCCCCTGTTCAAAAGAAGCCTGCTGATAATAAGAAAGGACAAGATAATAAAAAGCCTGCTGCTGCACAGCAACCATCTAAGGCTAGTGCTAAAGCTGAACCAGCTAAAGAAAAACCTAAAGCTTCAAAATCTGATCCTAAAGGTAAAAAGGCCGAACCAGAAAAGCCAAAAACTAACGTACCCGAAGTAAAACAAGTTAAAAAGAGTCAACAGCAAGCAGCATCTCAACAAACTAAGGGGAAAAAAGAAGAACCTATTGGTAAGGCTACAAAACGACCTGCTGAAGATGTTCCTAAAGCCACTAAAAAGGACAAAAAAGAACCAGCTAAAGTAGAAAAAAAACCAGAACCTACTAAAACTTCAAAAAAAGAAACTGAAGTTGTAAAGAAAGCTCCAATTGCTGTTAAGAAAACTGCTGAAACAAAACCTGTTGTTGAAAAAAAATCTGTTACTGCTTCTGCTCCAGCTAAGAAACCATTGACTGGTGCTGTGACTATAAAGAAGACAGTAGCTCCTCCAACTTTAAAGAAAGCACCAGGTGCTCCTACAAAAATTTCTCTTTCAAAGAAAGCTAATACTGTTCAAAAAAAACCTAAGGCAACATTAAGAGGTAAAGGAGCTGCTTTGAAGAAGAAGAAGGAAACCAGAAAGATGACAATTGATTGTACTCATCCAGTAGAAGATGGCATTATGGATGTCAATAATTTTGTAAGACAATTGTTGATATCTGCTACTTTTTTACATGTTAAATGAAAATTTATTTATAGGAAAAATTCCTCCAAGAACGAATGAAGTATAATGGAAAAACCAATAACTTTGGTAATGTAATTTCTTTGGAGAAGACGAAAACCAAAGTTATTGTCAATTCTGATGTACCATTCACGAAGAGGTATATAAAATCATTTTGTTTTATTAGATTTATGTAATTATTTTATTTTACTTTAAATCTAGGTATTTGAAATATTTAACTAAGAAATACTTAAAGAAGAATAACTTGAGAGATTGGTTGAGAGTAGTCCATAGTGGACCAGACAGCTATGAGCTCAGATACTTCCAGGTAAATACAGTTAATTAAGATTTAACTAATTAGGTATATTATCTTTATTGAACATCCTTACGTCCAATGCATATATATATAATTTGATTTGTTCATTTCTTATTCTGTTTTTTAATTGATTACAGTGATGTGTAAGTTTCTTGTGATTATTGTTTTAGTTCATAAGTCTTACAGTTTTCTATTTTTAGACATTGGTATGAGAATATGTTTATTACATTTTACACCTACATCGGGCTAGGTACACAATATTGATTAGCAAAAAATGTGGTAATTTAGTATTAAGTAATAATTAAATAATCAGATTTACTATAGTATCTCATACAAATATATATCTGCCAATTTCCTGTTGTATATTTTAAAAAGTTCATTGCATATTATTTTTATATATACATAATCTGGTATGAGTGAGGAGCATTTTTATATTTTATATTTTAATTCAATAGAAAAACTGAATTACTATCCACACATATTTGGTAACGTATATTCAATAATGCTGACATGCAAAAAATGTTTCAACGAATATATGTGCAATTCCTGAGATGATCTTTAAACAAATATTATTCTGTAAAAAAAAATACTTTAGTTTTTCTACTAAGAAACATCTATTTTCTTTTTATAAATGTCTTCAGTTTTGTTTTTTTTAAATAAGTAGTTGGATGAGGATTTTTTTTCTTTTGGCTTTGTAACATTTTGTAAATAAAATGTATTTATTATTCACTACAAAAAGACAAACCACATATAAACAGGTCAGATATACACAAATTTAAATGGCGAAACCAAATAAAATATAACAGTTGGACTAGAAAAAATAAAAACTCTTGTGGTACATTTTGTACTTTAAGGAATTCATCATTGAATTGCATGACAACACTTCGGCTCCACATTGGATGCACATCTACATATCTCAGTTAATATACATATTCATTGGAATCAGTAATTGTTCATATCAGGAAATACAGGATTATTTATATATATCATGTTCTAATCTAATATAATACAGTGTGTTCAACGATAAAGGTAACATAAAATATTTCCAATGTATCGCCTTGTATTTTATTTAGGTTTTTTTTATCTCTAAAAAGACTTTAATTCAGACTATTTTATTGGAATAAGAACCTCTATTTTTGAGTTCATATTTGTATTGCAATTTTTTCAAACCATTTCTTCGACTTCTAAAGTTTTGTACTTGTAGTCTTGAAAATTATTTTTCAGTAGAAACTCAATCAACCGTCACTATCGGAACCGGCACTATGACGGTTAATCAAATAAGCAGTTAATAAAACGTTTGCATTAAGAACACATTTTATGTGTAATTTCAGAAAAAAAAATAATTTACATATATACTATATATTACAAACCATACTAAACTAAAACTAACAATTTTAAACCAATTAATCTGTTATTTTATTTTGTTTCTTATGTGATTTTATAAGGCTTTGAGCTTTTTTAGCTTCAATATTTTGTATTTTACATATCCATAAGACTGGGTTATTCATCAGTCACTTATTGAATTAAAAATAATTCAATTTTTTTGTTTATATTGGATATGAGAAAAAAATTGTATACGCTTAATAGTTGCCACAACGAGTTTATCATGATTGCCTTGATAACAATTGTAATGATGAATTTCTACTATAATTTAAATATAAACTTTAAAATAAGTGTAAATTCAAGTCCTTATACTTATAAAAAAAAAACTTGTATAAAATATGAGGTAATGCATTAGAAATATTGTGTGTTCCCTTAATCTTTGAACGTGCTGTATACTGTATGATCATTAAAAATAATTATTTTTATACAAGATGCAGTATAAATAATGAACAATTTAACTTTTTTTATTTTCAATTTTTTAAGCTAAATGATCATCTTAAAGCATGTATATTTTTTATAAATTCTTATAATTAATCTTTGAGATATTTAATATTCATATGTGCTTTTATTACTCTTGGTATATACATGATAATTATGATTATTAATTCATATTACCTATTCCAAAGAAAATTAGTGAGATTTATGATTCAACATTTTTTCAATTGAAGCCCATCAATTAATCTTAAATTATTAATAGTAAATTGCTTTTCTTAAATTTGTATTTCATGGGCTCCTATTGAAAAAATGTTGAATCATGAATCTTGTAAATTTTCTTTTGACTACCCTTTTGTGCATGTGAAATTATATCCACCAAATTATTAAATGTTCAGTAAACTATTATGTATTAATTTATGTTCTTCACCATTATTATATTATTAAGCTATTATATATTTTTGCTTATTAGGAATATAGCGGGTAATATAATATATTATATTATACTTATGTTATGCATACTATGGGATTGCAATTATTAGACATAATAATTATTTATAAATTTTATTTTTACTGTTCCCTTAGTTACTATTTATAAGGTTTATTATTATTATTATTTACTATTATGTCTTGTGATAATTTTGCATTAATGTTCTAACGAGGATAAAATTTACTATCGAAGAGAAATAGCTGAATATAGAGGTCTTCTGTTGAGCGTTAAATTTGTATATGCTAAAGTAATCAGTGTATACAACATTTTAGAATTGCATTGCTTATAATAAAATTAGTTAATAATTAAATTACATTGGGTCGCAATTAAACACTAATTCAAAATGAACATAATTTTAGATTAGAGAATGGAAAATATTTTAAGATAGTATTTATTTCTTACTCTAACAGCCATATATTTTTTAAAAAATTGCGCTCAATCTTTATGTGTGTGTGCTTTGAATAGAGTCTTATTATGTTAAGAATTTTTATTTACCTCATAAACTGTAAAAAATAAATAATTGTACTATATATTAATTTAATCAAAATGTTGTTTCAGATAAATAATGCAGAGGATGATGATGAAGAGGATAATGCTGATTAAAGATAGAAATTTGTTTTTATTTTTAATTTTTGACCTTCTGTGTATCATCTAATAAAAAACCAAAACAAAATTATTTGTTGACTTAATTATTTTCAAACAATATATAATTTTATCTGGTACCTACTATATACACTTACTTATATACACATACTTAATTTTTTCTTAGACCTATATTCACTTTTTTGAATGCAAGACAAGCACAAACTTAAATTTTGCTTATAGATTATTACTGATAGCACCATTAATTATAGAAAGTTCTATTCTATCATCAATGATTACCAATAATTAGTCATATAAAATACAACAATTTATTTTAAATATTAATATTTGTATTATTGAAATGAAGTAAATGCTGCTACCTAATCAATTTATTAATTAATTTTAAACAAATCTGTGAAAAATAATCTGAGTTAGGTATGGTAGAGAAACAAGTTACGTTTTCTATGGTAACACCATTTTAGTTTGTATTTGATAGAACTATCAGGGTATATTGTAAGGCACTGTTGAGCATTGATTGCAATATCGAGAACATTTTTTTGCGATTTTGGAAGTACATTTTTATGTTGTTGATAATGTTATAATGATAATATTACGGGTGAGAAGGTTGGTGAACTCAGTCATGTAGCTAGATATTTCAAAAGGGGATGTTATTCAAAATTATACACAACAAAGTAAATACTTTACGTATACTTTATTGTACAAGAATACAAACACATTAGTACATTACACATGAACAGATATTCATGTGTAATGTACTATTGTATAAGAAAGTATTTAAATATTTTGTATTAAAATTTCAAATGTACATTTTTGTCATATGTATATATTTTAATACGACATAAAACCACGGCTTTGGTTTATTAAACAAAACGATGTAATGAGAAGCCCGATCCCGGCTTTACATTATTGTTATGTATATATTTCATTATGATAAATATCAGTGGCGTTGTCAGGATTTTTAAATGGGGGGCCCCCACCATCTACCACCTAGTTTCTAAACGTAATTCAAGCATTTTAGTATAGTTTTAAAAATATTTATTAATATATAATTTATAATAATAATAATAATTTTGGTTTCAAAGTTCTGTCACTAGCTCCACTCTGAGAGCTGCATCCTCTTAGGCGAATTTCTGGCAAATTCAGTTATTATTTTACTTTCATCGAAATGCTCTTTTTTATTTATATTAGTCATAGCTGACCCATTTAGTCTGTTTTCCGACATGGTGCTTCTTAAATAATTTTTTAAGCGATTAAGTGTAGAAAACGTTCTTTCCGGAAGGAAAGAGTTAACTGGTAACGTGGCGAATAATTGTAAAAGTATTTTAATGTTAGGTCGAAGATTGGTGCGATGAGAGAGTGAATCAAGAGCAGAATTCGGTTTTGGAATAGTATTTTGACTCCATTGTTGCCTCCATATGAACAGGTCAGCTCTGATTGTAGATGAGGTATCATCATGGAGATCTTAGACATATATTTTAGCAGCTTTTATAATATTTTTATCGTCATACATATTTAAATTGGCCGGAATAAGTCCTTCAAGTGGCATAACATCAATAAGCCTTTGATTAAAACGAGCATTGATTCTATTAAATAGTTAAGATACATTATACATATAAACACGGCCCATAGGGGACTCTATAGCCCCCTTAGCCCCCCTTGGCTACGCCACTGATAAATATGTTTTCATCATGGTTTATGAGCAATTTTTACCTTTATTAGACTTCAGTATAATGTTAACGCGGTTAAGGGGGTGGGGGTGTTACTACACTTGTAACCCATGGCTAAGGGCCTGAGTAAAATGGTTTGAAAATTATATTTTTGAAAAACCACCAATATCATAATTTTGTGAAATTACGCGTATATTAGTGAAGTGATTTTCAAATTTTTAATATTACATGTTGTATTATTTTACCAGTTATATGTATTATTTTAAAATTAATTTTTCGGAAGTCGATTATCTTATCAGTACTTGCCTACGCCGAACACAAACGTAGTTCTTTAATTGTTTCCTTAATTGTACTTGTTTGATTTAGTATTATGTATATTGTATATAATACACTATTTATATGCGTTATGAATATAACATTATAATAGGTATGCAAACCTTGGTTAGTTTTGATTCAGTTTCAGTAATTCCACCAATAATTATTTTACAAATCGTCGGCTTTTTATTTATTGTACTGGTATAATGTATTCATATTTGAAGTACAGTATTAGTTTGATTAACATTGCGATGAGTTTTTCTCTATCATACGAATATTATTACAAATATTTACAACTGTACCGGTCACCACATCTAGTCCTGAAAGAATTTTTTCAACATTAAGATGCTTGAAAAATTATATGAGGTCAACAATGGGTCAAGAGCACTTAAACGGTTTAGAAGTTTTAAATATTCACAAAGAAATTTCTGTAAATATCTATGAGGTTATAGACATATTTTCAAAAACATCTGGAAGGATGAAGTCGGATCAGTGGCGTATTTATGGGGGGGAGGGGTCCAGGGGTACTGGACCCCACCAAATAATGAAAAATTAACAACAATTCTTACATATTTGTAGAATTGGCTATGTTAAACATTCACAAGGAAGTTGAAATTACTGTTGATGAAGTGATAGAGGAGTTGGCCAAAAAATCGAGACAACTGGAATTTATTTTATAACAATATTTTATAATATATAATGCTAAATACAATATATAGGTACAAATATATAATATTACATAAGACTACGATTATTACATTACAGTGGCGGCTCGTGTGCTTTGAAAGTGGGAGGGCGATATAAAATTGCTTATTTATGTGTCGAACACATATATTATTAATAATAGTTATTTAATTAAATCCATTTAATACATATAAATTATTATATATTATATTTTAAATTATCAAAACTTTTTTTTGGAAAAATAAAAATACAAATTGAAAATTACAAAATTAAAAAAAAAAACATTTATAAGACTTTATACTTAAAATCTAAACGTCTATCTTTTGTTTCGCTAAACATATCAATCACTTTTTTATTAAAATTAGAGTCATTTGAAATCATTTCACTTTCAATATTCATCATTGTTAGAACGTTTAACCTTTCTTCTCCCATTGTGCTTCGTAAACATGTTTTAATACGTTTCAGCGTTGAAAAACATCTTTCTGCTTCGGAAGATGTCATAGGAATTGTAATTAATATTTTTAACAGAGTAAAGACTTCTCGAAAAGTTTCATTCATATCATTTGATATTATATATTTTAGCGTTGGAATTACACCATTTAAAGTTCGGAAGTCATCTCGAATATATATAACTTCTTTTCAGTCTTCAACCTTTCGGTATCAAAAAATGTGTAGCATTCAATTGTGCATTGAAAATATTGTAATGGAAATGTTTTAGAATATTCTAAATATTTTTCAGCTTTAAACAAGTTAGCGGCGGTTAAGTGTTTAGTAAATTCTAAACGATCTTTAGCTTTGACAATTATTGTATCGCAGACCTCAAGTACAGCATTTTTTCGCGATATATTCATGGTTTCATGTGATTCCAAACGTGATTTTTTTATATTTATATTAGGCATATTTGAAGCACTTTTATTAATATCAGTTACATTATTTCTTATTTTAGATATTTCGTTTTTAAATTTTTCGACTGAACTATTTATTTGTACCGGATCAGTATTAACGACTTGAACATTGTTATATAAAAAGTCTACATATGGCATTATTCTATGAAAAATAGATAACCAGAATACAAATATGAATCACTTAATAAACGTTTTATTGACCCAGCTTGATTAATAGTCAAAGTTTGTTGGGAAGATTATATTATTTTGTCCATGCACTCCGTTATTTCATATCTATACTCATAAACAATGTTAACCGTACGTATATTGAAATTCCATCGAGTTTGTACTGCCCGTGGTAATCTAATTCCAACTAATTTATCCAATACGGCTACTCTTTGCGGTGAGTTTGAAAAAAATACCGGTATTTCTGATAAATTTGAAAAAATATCCGAACTTCTTTATTTTGAGATACTGATTGTGTCATAATTAAGTTTAACTGGTGTGCATAGCAATGAATGTAATACGCATATGGATATAGTTTCTTAACCCTAACATTAACTCCACTCTTTTGTCCACTCATAACTGCCGCGCCATCATACGATTGTGCTATTAGTTTATTCGGAGTATTTTTTAAAATAGGATTTATTTCAGATAATATTGTTGATGTTAATGATTCTGCATTGTGTCCATCAGGATTTAAAAACCCCCAAAAACGTTCTACTGGTTGACCTTTAAGTTCATAGCGAAATACAATAACTAACTGAAACATATTAGAAATGTCAGTAGTCTCATCGACGATTATAGAAACAAATTGAGCAGTTTCTATTTCTAATAAAATTTGTTTTCTTGTTACAAGTAGTATACAATCTAACAAATCATTCTGTATTGTTTTAGATGTTCCTTTAAATACTTTTGAATTTTCAAAATGACTACGCAAACTTACATCTAAGTTTTTACATAACTCAATAACACCGAGAAAAACACCTTTATTATTAGAGTTAATTTTTTCATTGTGACCTCTTAATGGTAAATTATGTTGTCCACAAAATTTTATACAGTTCAGAATTTTTTCTAATATATAACGATTTTTATCTATTTCTTCATTATGACGTTGAATCCTAATTTTATAGCCCGAGTCAATTTTATCGAAAATATTGATAGTACCGAGTACTTTAAGATTAGCTTCATTTTGTAAGTGTTTAAAAGAATTCTCGTGTTTTTTAATTTTTTCAGATAAATGACCCAAATATGTTACACCTGTTTTAGTCCAAGAAATGCCACCACCAAAACATAAACAAGGAAAACAATAAACAGCTAGTTTTATATCACAACCACATAACCACTTGTGTTTTGCATAATAATCCGTATTAAAATGGCGAATATATTCATTTTTACCTTTTTTCGCTTTATTGATCAATCCCTTCATTCAGGGGTAGGTCTTCCAAGCTGTTTTATTTCAATTTTTTGTTCATAAGTATATGACGTAAAAGGTTTTGAAATTAAATTAATTGCTGCATTTTTAAGTGTGGGTGAATCCATGATGTAAAAAAAAATAATTCTAATGTATACGACCGCACTAAGTAAATGATAAACACACGCAAGTTCGGAATCCCGTGTATATCGGGCGATTAAAATCATCGCCCCGGCGGCAGCGTTATTGCTGTGTTACCCCTTCTTAGTTTTTGTATTCCGATCATGCTTATGAAGAGCGACTTTTAACATCGCCCAAGCATTGCATGCGTTGCTCACAGGTCCCGACAAATTGTTATCGGTTATGGATTCTCAGAAACTACAGTGTTGAATGATTTATTTTTAAACTCCTATTATCTGATAATGTTTTTATAATATTTATTAGTATAAATATAGGAAACACAATTTTTATTTTTGACAATATTATGCTCCAATATAAATTTGATATTAAACTTATAAATTAGTAATAAATGATAATTTTAGAAGGGGGGCGATCGCCCCATCGCCCTTATCTACGAGCCGCCACTGTTACATTATATATTTAGTTCAACTTCCTCCAAAAACTGCATAAGGACGTAACTATTACAATATAATATATAGTTTATATTAATTATGTATAAACTGTGGACCCCCCCCAGAAAAAATTGAAAATACGTCACTGAGTCGGATGATTGGTCCGATTAATATATAATTTGACTTATTTTATTACTTTATTAATTAGTAATATATTTAAATTTTAATGTTCAATTAAAATATGATTTTTTTATTATATAAATTTTAACACTTTCCATATAAATAAAAATTCAACAAAGTGACCCATTGGTCGATACCTATACTCCAGCAGGGGCCTGTTAAAATTTCAATTTTTTTTGTTGGTCCGGGCCAGTTATGATTTAAAAGTTGTTTTTTCTATAAACCAGGGCCCCTCAAAAATAGGTTTATGGTTGGACCCCGGACAAATAACCTGAGAAAACCGGTCTAAGTACGGCCCTGTATATAGAATAAAACTATCTTTAATAGTAATTGAATTATTTTATCTTATCATATATCTTATATTTGATGAAAAAGAATAACCTACAAATAAAATGTAAGAATAAAATGTATAAAAAAAATCTACATATATTTTTTAAATTAATTTTGCCTCCTCCCATACCCTAAAAAAAATGACTGGAGACGCCCATGGATGGTTAATCTTATGTTCGCACATATTTTTTGTGCGTTGATGACATATAAAGACCTACGTAAATGTATGGTCATTCTAGCAACTCATCAACAACTAACGCCTTAATGAACCACAGCCGAGTGACTCTGTGGCCTCAGCGACCCGCGGGAACAAGGAATTGAAATAATGAAGTTTTCGTCACGAAAATGTCGGCTGCTGCGCAGTAATCGTCGCGGAGATCAGCTGTGGGCCGCGTGCAGTTCCGGCAATATCCACGTCTGAATGTTTGCGGCGATTCGACGACCGTCCGCCATCTGGATCACTGACGGGTGCAATTCAAACCGTGATCGATGGCTGGACGTGCACGCTCGACGCTCTATGGTCGTGATGGATGGCCGTGGTGACCGACCGTGGTCATCCGTCGACGGCCCTGCGGTTGGTACGGCCGTCGGTCAGCTGACACCCGTACCCCGCTCTGCCTTACACGATGAAAACAACAAACCCCGCGCTCCGCTTTCGCCCACTGACGTTACTGCCATTGTCACGACTGTGTCTACTGCGCGTTTTGAACTACTGCTGCTCCGCGATCGTTCCCGTTCGCCAGTTGTGTTGTGTTGTTACTTCTGCTGTCGTGTCTATCTGTCCTACCCGTTCTGCGTCACCCGTCGACACAATGAAGTTTCAATATAAAGAAGACAATGTTTTCGAGAAGAGGAAGACGGAGGGCGAGAAAATCCGGAAAAAGTATCCCGAAAGGGTTCCGGTAAGAATTGTTTCTCCCGACTCGAATCTAATACAACTTTTCTCGTTTAATAATAATTAGCTGCTTCGTCACTATTTTTTTTTATCTTTTCTTCATCTCCTGACGTATTGGCCACTGTCCATGATCCGACTTTCATTTTATTTATGTCGTTTGATTAGTGCAAACCACAAAGGTCAATACCATGTTTACCTTGTTATTGTAATTGTTTTCATTGTTTTTTATATTTCCATTGTGTTTTCAGGTGATTGTTGAAAAGGCCCCTAAATCACGTATCGGTGAACTCGACAAAAAAAAGTACTTGGTACCTTCTGACTTGACAGTCGGTCAGTTCTACTTCCTCATTAGAAAGCGTGTTCATCTACGTCCTGAAGATGCTTTATTTTTTTTTGTTAATAACGTCATTCCACCAACAAGTGCAACTATGGGATCATTGTATAGTGTAAGTATTTCTTGTTTTTCCAAGGTCAATAGTGAAATGTACTAATAATTATTTATTTTTTCAATTATTTTGGACAGGATCATCACGAAGAAGATTCTTTCTTATACATCGCATATAGCGATGAAAATGTCTATGGTTAATTGTAATTACTGTATTATGTTGGTTGGTTGTTTTTTGTTATTTATTTCAATGCCCATACATTGAAAACTAAATGACCTATAACACATACTGTATTAAATAATTGAAATATATATACATATATTATATCAGAAAAAAATAATAACTGTTATTATATAAGTTTTTCATACATGGTGTTAACTTGTATACAAGTTATTTTTATTGAAATTAATTAAGATTGACTTATTCATTGTTAGATACTATGTAAATTTTAATATTGCTTAAAATATTAACCCTTTTTAAATTTCTTATAATTTTATTAAGCTTACTATGATTTTTGTTTGTAATATATTTAGCTAAATATTTCAGTGTGCTATTTTTGTGTGTAAAAAATATTTTAAATTATTTTGAATCATTTCAGAAATGATTTGTCTTACAAACATTTGGTCACTTATTTTGTATATACCTACTTATAATTATTTATAATAAATTCTTTATTTACATATTAGTAATTTTGTTTGTCTATTTATTTATTAAATTTCTCTTAAAAATTAAATAATACAGTCTTTAAAACATACATAAATTTTAATTCTTTGATTATATATTTTAAACCAATGACTTTTATAGGTATCATTTTTTAGTAAAAATATGATACTTTTAAATTAAATATTAAGACTCATATTTCTTAAAGTTATTATTAACTAGTAGCAAATTATTTATAATACTTTTATGTTAATCAGTTATTCATAATTGTAAAATGGTAAGTGAATATTTAAATTTTTCAGATGGTACCTAAGAATATAAAAATATAGATTTCTGCTTGTCTATTATATTTGTTTCAAAAATGTATTTTTGGGTTCAAATTAACAACATCAAAACATTTAATTATTACAAGCCCAGATTAGGATAATTTTGGGCCCAGGGCTTATTTTAGGGGCCTATATTAATAAATAATATATAGGGCTAGGATTATATGCATTTCCATGTTTTTTTCCTTAAGTCCAAATTGATTAGTTTTCAGAATGTCTACAATATGGCCTATTTTCGATTAAATAGAACTATTTTTTTTTTTTTGTATATTTTGAACATACTGCATATCATTTCATATTTATACATTTTTGAGAATCTTGTTAAATATTTAAGTTTTTATAATATTGCTAATTTTAAATGGTATTTATTTAATGGACATTTATTTTTCGAACCATCGTAATATACTTCATATATGACCTTATCTTGATTGGACGACCGATATAATTATTTATGCATTATTTAACGATGTACTTATTAGAGGTCTACACGGGCCAAAAATTTTAGGCCTGGCTTAACGGCCAGGTCCAGATTTTTTGCTGACGTATAAGGTATGTTTCACAGCCTTGACATTTTTTAATTATACTATTTAAGTTGAAAAACGCCACGTATGAACGTTGGGAAAGGCTGTGAAACAGGCTTTATAGCCTTAAAGATATTTTTCAAAGGCCGATTTGCCCTAATGAAAGGTTTATCACTAAAATTGAATTTTCGTATAAGTAGGTAGAAGTTTTCGTAGAAGTATTTCCTTAGTATAAACTAATATTTAATGTAATAATAACAAGTTATGATAAATTAAAAATAATATATATTTTAATAAATAATTTTAGAAATAATAAAAATTTGTTTTTATATATTTTTGCAAATGTTGGTGAATAAAATACGTATTATACAATTTTTTATTGCATATAAATCCTAGCCCTAGTAATAACAAAATAGTTAGGTATATGTTTTATAATCAAAAACAGTTTTATAACTATATCTTAAATACCTACTAATAATATTTCAACTTATGTAAATTTGTAATCGTAATCGACGGTATTCACGGTACTCGAGTATTCCTATAAATTCCTCATTACCATTATCATTCTACCAAAAAATAGACGATATTGTGGATATTATGATTGTATAACATATTATCTATTATTGATATAGTATATCCTATATGAAACATTAATGTATTTTATCCAAATATTTCTGATTTAATAATAAAAAAAAACGTACTATCCGCCAGAGGCCTATTATTGTTTGATATCCGTTGTGAGCCAGGAGCCAAGGCCCCATCTGCCTCCCTTAATCCAGGCTTGAATTATTATAAATTATAGTAAATGATTAACTGTCACAACTAAATTGTGATTGTATTATGTTCAATCTGTATACTTGGTTTAGTGATTAGATTATATTGTAATTACTAAATTTAAATTTATTAAATGATCCTTTAATTAATGTATGCTAAAATTATTTCAAGTTTTCAGTTTTTTAGGAGCGTATTAAAATTATATAATTTATTTTTATCGAAAACCTTAAAAGTTCATAGTATTCGTTATTCATAGGTGTATAATGAATATACATTTATTTTAATTGTGTACAAAATTGGAAATTATTAAAATAAAATATTTAATCAAAAATATGAAGGCCTTAGTTAAAGAAAAATTACTAATGAAGGTAAAAAAATATTTATTGTTCTATCATTGTTGAAATACTTTTATATTAAATAATTAATTTTGTTTTTCTACTGTTTATTTCAACTATCACTATAACAACATGTTAGTAATAATTGTTTTTTATTTATTGATTCAAGGCCAAATCATTCCTCGGATCACAATGAATATTAAGTTCAACGACTATTTTGTCGTCGTCGATAAAAAGGGAAATTTGAAGTTATCGTATTTATATTTCATATGTTCTTCCATGATATTGTAGTTTGTTCCATGCACATCTTATCATTGTTGGTTAGTGTTTTGTTGACTATTGTCACACTAGCGTGTCGGTTCTACCCATTACTTTTTCTCTGCTACAGCTACTATTAAGGTGAACTTAATTATTTTTTTTTATCCATTTCAATCTAATTAAATTTCTACACCGTTAATTTGGTGTTGTGTGTTTCACTTTACTTTATTTATATTTGGTCTGTAATTGCTTTCAGAACCAAACATGGGCCAAAGTGTAGTATTCAGGAGGCGGCTTTCGTACAATACTAAGAGTAACAGGAGGCGTATGTGAGTATTGGACTAAACCTAAGCGGTAGAAGAACACTTGTGTCGTATTTATTGTATTTCACGTACATAATTCATTTTAGGGTGCGCACTCCAGGTGGAAGGTTAGTCTATCAATACTTGAAGAAGCCAAAGCGTGTACCCAAGTGTGGTAATTGTAAAATTAAGTTGCATGGTATCAAGCCTGCCAGAGCTATTGAAAAGAGTCGTATGTGTAAGCGGAAGAAGACAGTCAAGCGTGCGTACGGTGGAGTTTTGTGTCACAGCTGTGTCCGTGAGAAGTAAGAATATTTAGTCTGGAATTTGCTTCATCAGCTTAACTATAGATCAGTTATTCCTTTGAAAATAGTATATTTTTTCAGTGCTGTAGATATTTTTTTAAATTCTTTGAAATATTCAATTTTGTTTTTGCAATTTGATAACTTTTAACTTAACAAATTTTTTTAATCTGATGTCCTTGTTTTATCAACTATCAGATCTAAATCATGTATTTAGAAGTGAAATGAATTATAAATGTCCAATATGAAATTGCTAATGGTCATGACAATTTTCATCCATGATAGAAGAAACAATTATAGAAAATCTTTAATAACATGTAGTATTACTAATACATTCTGTAGCAAAATAATTACCGAATAATGTCATATCTCAATTAGGAAGAAATATTTGAAAATTAATATATTATTTTTTTAACATAGATATTATTTATGTAAATGATGTATATAGTATGATGGTCATATTAATTTTGTCTTATAAATTGACATTTCATCGCTATGTACATTCTGTTTTATTATAACTAATAATTGTTATAATAATAGTTTCAAAAACAAATGTTGGCATTAAATATCCAGAAATTTCTTCTCAAATTTTTATTTTAAATTATTATGATTTTGTGGTACTATTTTTTTTTAACATTACATTTTTAAACAACAAATAGTTTTAACATTTAAAAAAAAGTGTTTTATATTTTTAAAGTTAAGTTTAAATAATGGTTTTTTATTTTTAAAGTGGGTGCTTAAATATAAATACTTTAGTGTATGTATTTATAATATATCTACTGGCAATATGAATAATTTAAGTATTATGTGTAATTCATAGGAGTATGGATAATATCTATTAGTTTTAGACAATGTGAATTAAACAACTGTTTTAGATATAACATAGGCATTACGAAATTCCTAAGAATTATATAAACTGCCATATTTGCCATTATTGATATTAAATACTTTATTCTATTTTTACTATATGCAACTTTGTGAGTGATATTTGAATAACAAAACAATATTTTCATTGCAAATTTCATATATTTATTATTTTTAAAACAACTTTGTCTCATTGATTATTTAAAATTATTACATTTTTACTTAACAAAACTTTTCTTCTTTTTATTTCCTGCTTTGATTTTCAAAGTTTTTATTAATTTTGACTATTTTTATGTTATTTGTTGTAAAATGTTAAGTGTCAATTATAAAATGTAGTATAATACCTTAATGGAAAATATGAATATGAAATTAATATATTATGTGTATTATATACTCAGTCTACATTTAAATGTCAGTGAATGGAGCAACTTATTATTCGTAATCGCAGATCTTACATATATATATTTAAGTGATAAGTTAATAGATACTATAAAGTATATTCTGTAATTAATGTTTGTACTGTATTACTTACTCCTATTTTAGCATTTTGTTCAATGCCTTGACATTTTTAGAATTATGTGCAATGACTAGGGATTTAGGTATTACTGCATAATCACAGATTATTCATATTGCTGTTGACATGTTCATGTAATATATTAAGATTTATTTTATTATAATAATAAATAATAAGGGAGTAAAGAAGGTTACATCATTAAAGCTGTTGTGATTTAATCGATACAAATTCCCTAAAGTAATTGCAGCAGTTGAACACTCTTAGAACTATTAAGTTTTAATCTAAGGCTACATGATGCTGTACATTAAATAATTAAAAAATTAAACATATTTTAAGTTAGTGGAAATTTATTTTTATTGCAACTATATTTCAATTCAGTGGTGTGTGGTCAGGGCAAGGAAGTTAAGATCCACATGTCTACTCAAAAAGAAAAAAGAAATTTATTTTATTTAAATTCATTTATTATACTCCATTATCTGTAATATAATTTTATAGTAATGGATATCAAAACTAATAAATAAAGATCATAAAAATATGCAATATATTGACAGAAGCACTTCGGATTTTGATTACCTGGCTTGTATCTAGTATAGTAGGTAGTGTGGTGCGACTATTATTATTTATACAGCAGTTGGAAGAGTTACATCGAGTGCTTAAAAATACTTTTGATGCACATTTTCTGATACAGAAGGTTCGATAATAGGACTTTTTTTTTACTATCTAAAGGCTTCGTCTTGTCGCTGAAACCATTCTTCTCTTTTTCCTGCTAATCTCTTCATTGCTTCATAACTTGGTAAGAATATACTTATGTATACTTATTTGTGTTATCTACGTTTGTATTTCTTGATCATCCTCTACCACTTTCCATTTATCTTCCCCTCCATAATATTTATAATGAACGTGTTGTGTTGCATTATGTGTCCAAAATATTTAATTTTCCTTGTTTCTCTAATTTTGATAATTTTCCTTGGCTCCTGAAGCTTAAAACTTCCTTGTTCGATTTCATTTCTGTCCAACTTCATCGTTTTACGCCACGTCCACATCTCAAATGCTTCTATTCTTCTTGTGTCTAGGGCACTCCAAGTCCAAGTTTCACTTCCATATAATAACAGACTCCAAGCAAATATTTTAATAAACGATTTCTTAATTCTAAAAGATACATGCCTGCTTGTTAAGAGATTTTGCTTTTTAGAGAATGCTTGTTTAGCCAGAGCTATTCTTCTTATTATTTCTGTTGTATATTTATTTTCCTGTGTAATGTAATCTTGTGAATGTGTAACTTATCCTTACTATTCCTAGTACAACTGCTTCAGTCAAAAGATCTTATTCAGCAACGAAATTAATCAAATCTTATTAATATTATTATTGTTTATTAAACACCAAAATGTCAATTTTACATAGTTTACAAATATGGTATTAAAGGTATAGGTGTGTTTAAATATAGTTACATAATTATATAGTTAAATACACAATTATTAACGATTAACACAAAATCAAGATTTATTGAATAGATCTATTAAAAATTAATTATTAATAATAACAACAAAAAAAGATTTAGATTAGTATAATGAAGTTACCTATGAATTTGTTAAAAGACATAGATGAATGGATTTTATTTATAATTAGGTGAATAAATACTGTTTAAGGTACTGGTCTAGTTGACCCCCGCCAGGAAGGCAATTCCCCCGCCACTCAAGTTTAGTTGACGCCCGCCACTTACTTACTTATCTCTCGTATTTTTGATGTTATAAAATGTATAATATACTGATATACTGCAGAGTGCAGATAAAAAATTATAGATTAAAATAGATATTTTAAGAATTATATTTGGTAAAATCCGTGTAGTGAAATTAATTATATAAGATAGGTATAACAGCGGGTGCCGTATATAACATATGAAGTATCTACCTCAGTTATTCAGTTGTCGTCATCTGAACAAAAAGAAAATGAATTTCTGACAAATTTATAGTGACGTGCATGATGTTTCATCGGCAATCATTTTTTTGCAAAACCAAAATATTATCCATAAGACTAGGACTTGTAACAGTGGACACGAGATGGTTTTGGATACACAAAGGGGTCAGTGGCGATGTCATTTAAGATCATGTCGAGCAGAAAAAGGTCTCAAGACCAATAATTGGATACAAAGTGCCAAGGTAAAGTTGCCAACTATTGTTCACTTAATTTATGGTTGGGCACATGAACTGACATCAGTGGAATTTTGCAAACATGAATTTGGAATGAGCAAATCTACTGTAGTAGATTGGAATAATTTTATGAGGGTAGTTTGTGTATGGAAAATTTCTCAAGGTGATTCCAAAATAGGAGGTGTTGGTTGTATTGTCGAGATCGACGAAAGTTTATTTGTTAGACGCAAAAATAATGCTGGTCGAATACTGCCTCAGCAATGGGTATTTGGTGGCATATGTCGTGAGACCAATGAGTGTTTCGTCGTATGTGTACCCGATCGGTTGGAAAATACTTTAATGCCAATAATTTGCGAACGTATACGAGTTGGATTGACCATTATATCTGATTCCTGGCGAGCCTATAATAATATACAACAAACCGACCATTATACACATTTAACAGTAAACCACAAATATAACTTTGTGGATCCTATAAGTGGAGCTCATACACAGAATGTTGAGAGGATGTGGGGAAGTGCTAAATGGGGCAACAAGAAACATAGAGGGACTAAGAGAAACTTCCTAGATTCTTATTTGTCAGAATTTATGTGGCGGAGTAAACTAAACGGTCGGGATCCATTTAAGAAAATGTTGAAGGATATAGCAGAGTTTTGGCCACCTGCATAATTTTTATTATTATTTTTTATTTTTATTTATTATTACCATAATGTATAATTTTTAATAAATGTATTTATTACTACCATAATGTATAATTAATATAATAAATTTATAACGTACATTTTTTTATAAATTATTGGTTATCGAAAATACAAAATGTAAGTGGCGGGCTTCAACTAAACTTGAGTGGCAGGGGAATTGCCTTCCTGGCGGGGGTCAACTAGACCAGTACCCTGTTTAATGTATATTATAAAAAAAAAAATGTTTACTTACCATAATTTTCCATCTGTTTTTAAGATTATCTCTGTCACTTGTATATAAGACTGGTGATAAAATTAGTGTAAATAATTATAGGTTTATTTCGATCTAAAATCATATTGCCAAACGAGCTGCTTCTGAATTATATTCAGCCATTCTTAATTCTTAATTCTTTCTTAGTTGATGAACTATATGGTTTCAGGCCTAACTGTTCTACCACTTTGAATCTATTGGTGTTTCAAAATTGTATACTTGAAGCTATTGAAAAACAAACTCTAGTGTATAATTATCCCTGCAATATTACCACTGTGCCATTGAAATACTAGCTGCAGTATTTATGAGTGACGCAGTGCAAAAATATTACACAAAATTGAATCCTTAAATGTTCTTCATTATTTTCCACAACAAAATTCCATAAAAATTTAAAAAACTTAATAGTTAAGTGTAATGTAATTTAATAATTAATGCTTCAAGTGAGAATTCATCATTGACTATAATCAGTAGCACAGGTAATAAAACTTTTCCATCCCATATTTTTTTTTGTGTATTCACAAAATTTTGGTGGCTCTCAAATTAATAAGAGGATATCATACCTGTATGTCTATTGTCTCCATCTTATAAACATAAAACGTACCAAGTTTAAAATCAGAAAAATCAATTTGGTAGTGTTAACTTTAATAACAGTGTAAACTTATCTATTATCAAATTTAATGTCTTTTCAAAATTACTATATCATAATATATTTCATAATCTATACAGTTATATTTGTATTACTTTATATTGTATTTTGATTCTTAGACTTGGCTCTCTATGACAATTCCTGCAACACAGAATTTGAATACCTCTGCTCTTTAGTATACCATAAACAAATATTTTGGGATTCATATTTTGTTTGTAGTTTGTGTATAAAATGGGTTTAATATTTCAATTAAGTTGCTTGTTTTGTTAATATTATTCTATAATTAAATATTATTATGTACTAAATTTATGTGATTTTGGTTTACAGGATCCTCCGAGCATTTTTGGTTGAAGAGCAGAAAATTGTTGTCAAAGTTTTACGTTCCCAGAAGAGTTCAACTAAGAGCAAGTTGAAATCTAAATGAATAGTTTAACTTAACCAATTTTGAAAATAATAATAAATAAATGTTAATTTTATAACAGATCTACACTTTTTTTCTTAGTGTTATCCTATTTTGGTACTGTCGCCTGATATATGTTAGTCATGTTAAATGGCTTATTATATGGTAAAAACATTATCTGCAGTAATTTTTTTTATATAATAAACAACCATTTAAATAAGAATATTTGAATACTATTCTTTTATAATAAGTATTGATATAATCGGTTTTTGATTGCCAAAACTTTATAATGGGACAATAATGAGTAAGTGGAGATGACTTATTTACTACTCTATTTCATCTACTTCTGATGAATTTAATTTGACTACTTTTATTGTTGACTAGCTGACCCGACAAACGTTGTTTTGTCATATAAATTATTTCTAGAGAATATTTTGCTAGAAAAAAATAACTAATTAAATATAAGCATGTAAGAATGTGGGTAAGGATAAGGATGTAAGGAAGAGATATGGAGTGCTATGAATGGTGACGAAATATAAAAATGAAAAAACATCAAACATTTATTTTTTTAATAATTTATTAAAATTGATCCATTAAAATTATATATATCGCTAATTACGACAATATTAATAAAAAACAATATCTATCTCTTAATGCAACAGAGTGTACAAAATTTTTTGTTATCCCATCTTTCGCCAACACAAACTGGATGGTTCGAGAGCACACCACGTATAATTATCCGTGTGAAAAATATGATGTGCTCAAATCTAAGCTACAGACATCGTTTGGCTTTGAAACTTATTGATAGTCATTGCAAATGCCAATCTAATTGGAAATTTAAGGCGTTTAAATTGTATTGGCACATCTATGGGTACAATAGAGATTCATGGTAATAATATATTTTCACCTCGGAATTTGCCATTTAAAATTATGGCTTCGATAACATTTTACATTAATTTTTTAACGACTTACCACGAGCGTGCCGCTATACAACCGTGATAGGTCAAATTATGAAGCAAAATAACCGGAGAACAAACCTTCAATTGTAAATTATGCGATGGCATGCCTGAAAAGTCCAATGAGTTTAAAAACTCTGTTAGATAATTTACAGCTTCAGTAGCATAGCAAACTATATCTATAGATTTGTATGACACCATGTCTCCTGGTAACAAATGTTTATCTTGAGATTCAATTCGTTGACGTCCACATTTTTTACTACTGAAATTGCCCTTTCTGCCAGCCACTCATGATTTGTGTATTGTCTGTGTACGTTGGAAAATATCTAGTCAATGAGAGCATCTTGCGAATAAATGATTGTGCAGAAATCGGTCGGTAATTTTATACATTCCGTTTCATCTGTAGTAACTTTCCCATCTCCAATATCTAATAATTGTTTTGAGAATCATCTGCACGCAGCTTTTTTTGATTGAATCGCAAGTATCAAAATCGTTCGCTCTCTATCTTTACATACATTTCGACCATGAATTGTTGACGAAGTTCATCATATCGTAGAATAATTTTGTCCTGGTCGCGTCTAATCATCAACCGATATGCATGATAATTTTTCGAACTAACATTCTTATTTGTTTTGACATCTGTTGCGGGATCTTTTTTGTTTAATATTTATGCAATACCCGTCATTTACTACCAAAAATAAAATTAATAGTTTTTAAATAGTTTTTTAATAGTTTTATTTAATAATTCATTTTCAATTGTGCAGTTATTGATTGGGTCAAAAATTATTAAATTAAACTATGATTTATTAAACAATAGCACTTTTCCAAAAAAAATTTTCGTAAAAACCTTCTCCTGGAAATTACGAACAATTAAAAAAAATTTGAGTTAAATCGGCCCAGCCGTTCTCAATTGATAAAAAGTTATACATTTTTGGCACCATTTTAGAAAAAGAAAAGGGCTATTTTTAGGGTTTTTCCAGCAATAATTCTAATTTTTCTCGCCGTAAAAACCATCCTTGAACTTCAACGAACATTTGAAAAAAATATTTGGCCAAATTGGTCCAGGCGTTGTTGAGTTATGCGCTTACCAACACATTTTGCGATTCATTTTTATTATTGTTGATTATCAGTGATGTTCCACAGCAGTTAAATCTTATTACATTAAATAGAACTCAATATTTCAACTATATAGCTACAACACTTGTGATTTTTCAAGTAGAAAAAATATCTAATGCAGAACTAAATCATATGTAACATTAGTAATTATTTATATTATTAGTTTAGTATAATTTCATTATTTATTTGTGAAGGAATGCTTATCTTCAATCAATATTTATTAAATATAATATTTCTTGTATGATTATGGTTACCAATAGGATAATTGGTATAGCTTATAAATAAGATTTTAAACTCTGCTATTAATATTTGTACTTAATAAAAATATTAAATTATCTTCACGTTAAAAAATTAATATATTAAGTTTCTCATTTCAAACAATAATACATTTACTAAAAATAGTAGTTAAAACTTTCATATTGTGTAATTTTTGGATTTATTATTTAATTGTATAAAATTGTTTATTTATTAATTATGTCATATTTTTATTTGTGTATAAATTGTATTCAAAACTACATTATTTTCATGAAAAATTGAACTAATTGTAGTAAAAGTTAGAACACGTAACTCATTACAGAAATAAAGTTTTGAGGGGTATTGTATATTATTTCCTCAGTCTAAACTTCATCAAAATTAAAATATAAAATTGAATATGTTTGAATTTAGATGTTTGGTATAATTATTTTAATTAAATGTAGACTCTTTGTATTCTTTACTTCTATTATCGGTTGATTGCCATGAGACCCTTATATATATAGGTCACACAATGTTTAACAAAATGTTTTTAAGTTAATGATTTTGTTAATACTGTTTTGTCATAACTTATCAAATTATTTTTTGTTTAATAGGTAATATATAGTAGTTATATATTATAATTTATGGTCTTCTAATATAGAATTTAACCATGTTTTGGTGTCGCACAAACTTTTTGGCAAGCAGCGGACACATCTAGGCTCTCGATTACAGTAGGTCTTGGTGTGTCCATAAGCCTGGCACCTGTGGCATTGAGGTAGGTCCGTGCGAGAGTGGGGCTCCTCGATTTTTATTTTAATGTAGCATAGTGAAGACAAGTTAAATATATTTACATTTCTAGAGTCTGGTTTCAAGTCAACAAAAAATATAGGGAGGGCGGTCTTGGTTATTTTGGACTGAATGTTTGTGATGTTTCTTACCGAAAATCCGATTTGAGACAGTTCATCTTTGATGAAGTTTGTATCGGTTGTTGGATGAAGGTTTCTGATAGCGACATGGTTTGTCTTCTTTTGCTTGGTAGGTAAAGTATTCAATTTTACTTTCATTTAGTAAGTGAATTATTTGACGATAGAAGCTGATTGAGGTAAGTGTAAGTTTCAAATGTTTCACAGTAGATTTGAATTCGAATTCATTTTCGCCAACAAGTAGCGCAATTGATTTTGCAAACTCGTTGAATTCCAGTGGTGAGGATATGAATATTGGTGGTGGAGGAGGAGGTGCATTATTTGTAGGCTCGTGGATCATTTCGTTGCTGTCATCAATATCCGTGTCATTAAGTGGCTCGAAGCGATTTGGCGAAATAAAGGAGGATTTAGTTTCATTTGAAATTTTTGGTTCTTTAGTTATAGGCAGATGGCCAGGCGAAGATAGGCGCCTTGCTTTGTTTGGTCTGCCACGAGGTGGCCCCAACTTCGTCACTTTCATTAGTTTTAAGAATGCATAGAGCTGGTTTATCTGGTAGTTTATTATTGGATTTTGATGCGTTCGAAGTTGTCGGACGTAATATATTACTGTTCTGAACGGGTATGCGTAAAGCCCCCCATACACGGTCAATTTTGAATGACATTCATGACTGACCATGTATGTGTATGACTGATAATGACTGACAGTCAAATTTTATGACTGATGAAATTCAAACACGTTTGAATTTTTATCATCAGTCAAGATGATTGACATTCTTGATTGGCCGTGTATGGCCCTTTTCACACTCACACGGTTTCCGTGTACACGGTTTTTCGACGGTTCACTAATGTATGGTTATTTATGGAAGATTTCACACGTTATCTCGACCGCGCCGTGTCCGTGTTGTTTCCGTACAAGTCCACACGGTTCAAACTTCCGTCACGTATCAGTAATGCATTATGTTATTCGATAACGTTCACACATACACGGCACGGACGTACACAGTCAATTATTTGTTCTGCGATCTCTGTCATTTTTTCCTGCCATTCTGCCTTGTTCTACCAGCACACACAATAATAACAATTATTATGGATGTCGATTTATTAATCTCACTCATAGAAGTTCGTCCAGTATTGTGGGATAAAATATCTAATGTATATAAAGATAGGATTGAAACAAAAAAGGGTATATATGGGTGAATCCAATAGATTCTTTCTCGTATATTTCTAACACGACGTTGACGACGTCTATTTAAAAGTATAAGAGCTATTTTTTTTTCTTATCCATTACCACAATCGTGAATAAAAGAATTAACAGAACGAATAAACTTCGACAACAAATAACAACTGACAACGGACACAAGTATCACGACTATGCCGTGCGGAAACCGTAAGAAAACCGTGTGTTAGAATATTGGTTAAATTAAGTTATTTTTAAACACGTTCGTGACTTTTTAAAATACACATGCTGATCATATAAATAACAATACAAAAATAAATATTACCCATTCAAGTGTTATCGTAGGCATATAAATAATTGTTACAAATGAAAATACAGTACGTAATAACTAATAATATTATGAGTATTTTATTCTTTATTTATTTTAAATTTAGTTTATATTTTACTCATGTAAAAATTATGATAATCATTCCAAACAATATAACATGATATTATAATATTATAAATACTGTTGAATTATTTTTTGAATTGGTTACATTTAGTGATTTTTATATTTAGTTTTTATATGCAGTTTAAAATAATGATACTAATAAACAAAATAAAAAAAAATAATAAAAAAAATAATTAAATATTAATATCTATTAAATCGTCTTGCCAATGGACTGCCCCGACGTTGTTGAAATAATTACAAAATTTATCTCGTATTTCTTTGGCTGTTACTGATGAATTTCTACCTTGATAAGGCTGTAGCTGACCTAATTGCTCATCTTGATTTCTCCAACTTCCTAGTTCCACGTATCCTGTTAAAATATTTTCAAAATCAACACTATCATGTAAAAATATTTCCATTTTATGTTGACGTAAAAAGTTGTAAAGATGGCAGCAGGCATGAACGATTATTGTGAATTTTTCCGGACATAAATTTATTGTTTTTAAAAGTATTCGAAATCGTGATGCTAGAATTCCAAAAGTATTTTCAAAATTCTACGAGCCCTCGACAATCTGTAATTGAAAATACGTTTTTCTTTGCTTAAATTTCTATGTGGATAGGGTTTCATCAGATTATTTGAAAACGGTAATGCATCATCCGCTACAAAAACATATGGAAATTTGTCACTTATTCCTGGTAGGTAATTTGGTTCTGGAATCTTTAATTTGTTTTCGTTAAAATTCTTGTAAAACAAAGTATTTGAAAATACACCTGAGTCTGAAACTCGTCCATTGGAACCAATATCCACCATAATGAATTCATAGTTGGCATTTTCAATTGCCATTAAAACAATACTGAACGTTTTTTTGTTATTGAAATAATACGAACCAGAATCTTGAGGTCTTATTATCTCTATGTGTTTGCCATCGATCGCCCCCAAACAATGATTAAAATTCCATTTTGATTCAAAGTTATTAGAAATAATTTTCCATTCTTCTTCTGATACAGGTATCTGAAATCGATAAAAAGTATCAATTAATTATTTATTTTATTTTATTTATAGGAATATATGTTCGAAACAAGCTCCCTTGAAACTCTTAAAACAACTTTACACGAACCACAAAAAAAGAAGAAAAAATGGAAAATTCTGAAGAAAAGAGAAAGAATGATTTGCTAGAATTAGCATGCAGCCGCCTACAACAATCTACATCCGATAACGACATTGTAGCAAAATCGTGGGCAATTGAACTAGGAAAACTTGAACCAGACCAACAACTGTTTGCTCAAAAAGCAATTAACGATAACCTGTTTGAAGCTCGCTTGAAAACTCTCCATAGAAACTCAGTAAAAATTAACCATTCTTGTGTACGCTCACGCTCTTCAACACCATCTACATTTATTCAACCTGCGCCTGTTTATATATCTTCAAATTCAAATTCATCACTGTCTGCTCATACATGGGAGACCCCATACGTTTCAAACACGACAGCTTACAATAGTTTCAGTGAACTTCTTAACGATACTTAATATAAAAATGAAGATGTATTACTTTTATTATTTTTTAACTTTAACAAATTGAAAACATTTTTTTAATTAATTAAAAATAAATAAATTTACCTACCTTTATATTATTTTTTAGTACAGTTATTATAGCCTCACATGTTTCTATGATAATTTTTCCAATTGTTTGGGGAGCGATTGCGGTAATGAACTTATGTTCTTCAAAATTAACGCCGGTAGCCAGGTATCGGAGCGTACATGATAAACGCTGGGCCGGAGAAATTGGTTCTCTCATACAAGTGTACTGTTTTTCTATCATTGGTGTAATCGTATTTAATAACTCCGAAAATGTCGTGTTGTCCATGCGAAGATAATTTCTATAGTCAGACGGAGAAGATAGTCGAAGTTCGTCTAGAAGATTATGATGGGAAAATGTGTTCCTTTTTTTGAGCCAATCTTTCATCCAAAATCTTTTGTTTCTTTTCGTTTTTTTTCGTTTTATCACACGCTAGGTAAATAGCAATTCCAATAATACCTTCTTCATTCATTATGCAAATTTTTATTTTCAATTTAAAATGAATTTTTTTTTCAAGAAAATTTAAATAACAACTACACGATTTATTTATTTATTCGTATGGCATAGACAATGTAACAATCTATATATATAAAAATTTCGTGTCACGATGTATGTTCGCGATAATCTCCGAAACTACTGGACCGATTTTGATGAAATTTTTTACACCGTGTGTAATTTGGTCCAACTTAAAATATAGGATAGTTTTTTTTCAAATTTTTTAATATTTTAAATATTTTAATTAACTTTTTAATAAATGTGTATAATTGCATGGTGTATTTCGGGTTTTCCCGTGACCGACCGCGACAGTATCTATATAGCTACCTGTAATCTGACCTTTTTTCTATTGTGTGTGTTTTATCGTTGGCGGCGTGTAGATATGAATTGTTCCGAGAATTATCTCCATAATATATAGAATGGTTTTTATCTCAATATTATTTTTTGCATTGCAATTGTTGTAATGAAGAAAGTTATAGAATTTTCGAGAAATGTTCAAAGGTATAAAATGCGAAGTTCGGTACGACGTATTCATCAGTTAATATAAAGCGCAACAATCTGACCGAGTCAGTCATTATCGAGTTAATCGCGCCGTCTCGAGTTTTGTTTGTTATTTTTATTTATACAGTTTAATTATACGGTATATTAGATACAACCAGGCTAAATTAAGATCAGAAGAATACATCCATTTACGAGATGCTATCACCGGAAACATCGATGAAAATTTAAACGCCAATGACATCGGAACTGCATGTATTTTACCTTCAAGCTACATCGGCAGTCCACGAATACATACAAGATGCGATGACTTATGTACGTCATTACGGTCGACCTGATTTGTTTGTTACATTTACGTGTAATCCAAATTGGGAAGAAATAAAAAGTTTGTTATTACCAGGCCAACAATCAATACATCGTCACGATATCGTTACACGTGTGTTTAAACAAAAGTTAAAATCTTTAATTAATTTAATCGTAAAATATTCAGTTTTTGGTAACACACGTTGCTGGCTGTATTCTATTGAGTGGCAAAAGCGAGGTTTGCCTCATTCTCATATTTTGGTTTGGCTTGAAGATAAAATCCGTCCAGAAGAAATTGACCAAATAATTTCTGCCGAAATTCCGGATCCACTAACTGACTCAGAATTGTTCGATATTGTTTCCAGTCACATGATCCACGGACCGTGTGGTGCTTTTAACATGGCATCACCATGCATGGAAGAAGGAAGGTGTAAGAAACGTTTCCTGAAACCCTTTACCAATGATACTATTACGGATATCAATGGTTATCCATTGTATCGCCGCAGAGACCCTGAGCATGGTGGTCACACATTTACAATTCGAAAGTCGAATTCTATAAATGAAGTTGAAATTGATAATCGGTGGGTAGTTCCGTACTCACCATTGCTGTCAAAAGCGTATAAGGCTCATATTAATGTCGAGTTATTGATGAAAACGAAATCGTAAACTTTCCAACTGAATTTTTGAATTCTCTGGATTTGCCAGGAATGCCACCACACAACCTTCAATTGAAAATTGGTTCACCAATTATTCTTCTACGTAATTTAAACCCACCTCAATTATGTAACGGTACACGTTTAGTCATAAAAAAAATGACCGAAAATATTCTTGAAGCAACAATTTTGTCGGGAAAATTTAAAGGAGATATTGTCCTGTTGCCACGTATTCCACTGATAGTATCGGAATCTTCAATATCGTTTAAAAGGCTCCAATTTCCGATTTGTTTAGCTTTTGCGATGACTATAAATAAATCTCAAGGCCAAACAATGTCTATTTGCGGTTTGGATTTGGAAAACACATGTTTCTCACATGGACAGCTATATGTTGCCTGCTCACGTGTAGGAAAACCATCAAATCTCTTCGTGTTAGCGAAAGACAGGTTAACCAGTAATGTTGTACACAAAGTAGTACTTAGATAATTTTTAGTTTTAATAATTTAATTTATTTTTGTATGTTTTTAATGTATATAGTATTTTTTGTAAGTAGGTCACTGATTACAAACAATAATTTAATAAAAGATGAATAAAATGTAAATTCAGAAAATATATATTTTGGTTTGTACTTAATTTCAACTTTTAGATACTTTACCTATTACTTTTAAATTTTCTCATACATAATAACACTAATACATGGCCTACGAAAATGCTAAAAAACCAACTAATACGCGGGCAATGCCGTGTCGGGACAGCTAGTATATATATAATTTATAATTTATGTATAGTAATAAGCAAGTAGCAAAACAGAATATAGAATATAATGATGGTGGACGAACAGCACATTCAGCATTGAAGTTGCCATTAGACATTCATAACAAACCAAACGCAATGTGTAACATTAAAAAAAAAAGCGGAATGGCTACAGTGTTGCAAAAAAGTGCAATAATAATTTGGGATGAGTGTACTATGACTCATAAACATTCACTTGAAGCATTTCATAGAACTATGCAAGATTTGAAAGGCAACCATAAACTTTTCGGTGGTACTGTTTTACTACTGTCCGGTGATTTCCGGCAGACTTTACCAGTTATTCCTCACTCTACTTTTGCCGATGAGATCAACGCATGCTTAAAACAATCGTTTTTATGGACAAGTGTTGAGACACTTCGACTGACTATGAATATGCGAGTACAATTGCAAAATGATCCAACAGCACAAGTATATTCTAAACAATTGCTGGATATTGGAAATGGTGAAATTGAGTTGCATCAAAATACACAATACATAAAATTACCAGATATTTTCTGCACTGTTGTTGAAACGAGAAATGAACTAATTGAGAGTGTCTTTCCGGATATATTGAATTATTATTTAGATCACAATTGGCTCTGTAATCGTGCTATTTTGGCAGCAAGAAATGTTGATGTGAACGAAATTAACTTCCATATACAACAGATTTTGCCCGGTGATTTGATGTCTTTTAAATCAATCGACAAGTGGTATAACAACAGTATGAAAGTATAAAAATATAATGACTTATAGCATAATATCCAGGCTTTTCATCCATTTGACAGCTTCGGGGGACGCGTTAAAAATGTCCTCAAGCTTTCCTTCGAACTTTCTCTTAGGGCACTCTCGTATGATATGGTCTATGTTCTGGTTGGGGGAACCACAGTCACAGCCTGGGTTAGGGGTAATGCCCCATTTGTAAATAAAATATCCCACTCTTCCATGACCTGTACGTAATCGGTTTAAGGTTGTCCAGATCCTCCGTGGTAAATTGAAGCCAGGTTGTTTGTTTGTAGGGTTCTTAATGAGCGAAGAGTTACTTTATTCTGATTTTTCCCATTCATCTTTCCACCATTGTGCTGCGTCGTATTTGGCAGTGCTGAGTCTAATAGCAGTTTCCCACGGAGGTTTGCGTGACTTAAGTCGGCGTGTGCATAGGTTGTTACAGAATTTAGAGTGTTCATGGATTGGGTGGGAGGTATTGTTACTGAGTTTTGGCCACAATTTAAGTAACGCTGTTTGCCGGCAGTGTTGGGGAGGTATGATGTTACTGAGAACGGGTAGCCAGTCGAGAGGAGTAGTCTTAATTGGGGTGCTTAGATAGAGCGCTTCCACGTAGTGCACCCCGGGCAACGTCCTAAACGGCTAAAGCTCTATTAAATTTTGGCAATCGTACCTGTGGACTCCCACCCTCACAGGTCGGAGTCACCAGAAAACAGTCCTTTTCAGGACTACCGGACTCGGAATGTAGGTCCACAACTCCGCATTCTTCAACTGAATATTGAAGGGATAAGCAAAGCAAAAACAGAATACCTTATTAAACTGCTATCTATACATAAAATCGACGTGATATTACTTGAGGAAACACATGCCTCAAACGAAGAACAATTACGAGCTAGAGGAAACATATCAGGCTTCTTGTTAGCCGATGCGACCTACGATCGCAGGTATGGATCAGCAACATATGTAAGAGAAACTATTATAGACTGGCAACCCGTAAACACTCTTGTAACTCACGATATCTCAATAATTACAACCAAAGTTGCTGGAATTAACATACAGAATATTTACAAACCACTAAATGTAAGATGGCCAACAAACACTCCTACAACTTTAGCACACCCAACTGTCTTCATGGGTGATTTTAATAGTCACCATCAATCTTGGGATTATTCTGACAACGATGAAAATGGCGAAAAAATCTATGAATGGTCTTCTCATAACAACCTCTACCTAGTGTTTGATGCTAAAAAAATAGGAACCTTCCATTCTGGCCGCTGGAATAAAGGGTATAATCCTGATCTATGCTTTGTCACAAGAGACTCCGAATACAAACCACTAGGTACTACCAGAACAGTCTTACCAGCATTTCCCCGTAGCCAACATAGACCAGTTATTCTCAACATAGGCTTACAAGTACCAATTATTCCCTCAATTCCAAAACCTAGATGGAATTTCCGAAAAGGTAATTGGACTAATTTCAAACTACAACTTGATAATGACATAAGATGGATCCCTCCAGTTCCTCAAAACTACTCTCGCTTCACTAACCTGGTTACCGCAACAGCAAAGAAACATATCCCGAGAGGATATCGCAAATAATACATCCCGTACTGGGATAAAGAATCCACCAGACTATTTAACCTCTTTAACAGAACACCAAATAGTGATATAGCGAGAAAACTATTGGATTCATTAACTTCATCTTCCAAAGAAAGATGATTGACCACGGTAGAAAGCCTGGATTTTAAATTCTCTAGTAGAAAAGTCTGGCTACTACTAAGAAAATTGGATCCAAATTCCAATAAGAACAAAAGTAAACCATCGAACATAAACCCTGATGTTATAGCGAATCGAATAGTAGAAACCTCCAGGGCGCCCATGGACAAACCATTTAGCAAGAGTGCAAACGATGAACTACGAACCTTAAAACAAAAGGCTGAATTCAAATCAGAACTTGCTCGCGATTTTTCGCCCAAGGAAGTAGAAGTGTCTATAAACAGCTTAAAAAATGGGAAAGCATCTGGGATAGATGGTATTTTCCAGAATTCATAAAGAACATTGGCCCACGCGTAATTTCCTGGCTCACAAGATTTTTCAATGAAATTCTATCCACTGGCTATCTCCCACCAATCTTTAAGAAATCGAAGATAATCGCAGTTCTAAAGCCTGGAAAGCCCCATAACGACGCAGCAAGCTATAGGCCAATCGCTCTGCTCTGCACTTGCTATAAACTACTTGAAAGGCTCATCTACAACCGCATAATACCAACCATCAACCAACATGTTCCTATTGAACAAGCAGGATTTAGACCTAACCGAAGCTGCTGTGACCAAGTTTTATCTCTCACTACTTTCATAGAAGACGGCTTCGAGAAGTGCTTGAAAACAGCCGCCACATTTATCGACTTATCCAGTGCATACGACACAGTATGGAGAAAAGGTCTGCTCCTCAAGTTCTTACGTATAATCCCTTGCCAAACATTAACAAATCTTCTAAATAATATGTTAAGTAATCGCCAATTTGTCATCAACCTCAATAACGACACAAAAAGTAAGAAGAGAACGCTGAACAATGGTCTACCCCAAGGATCTGTTTTGGCTCCGTTGCTATTCAACCTATACATTAGTGATTTACCCAAGACTACCTCCAAGCAATTCATATACGCGGACGATATATGTATCGCAAATCAGGATAAACTTCTTGATAATTGCGCGCTCACGCTCAGTTCAGATCTCCAAACTTTAGATAAGTTCTTAATACAACGGAGACTTACCCCAAGTCCCAGTAAAACTGAAACCACAGCTTTCCATCTCAATAATAAAATGGCAGATTATAACCTGGAAATTACCTACCGAGGAACCAGACTTAAGCACGTACCCCACCCAAAACTACACGATACACTACAACGATACACCAGACTTGCAATAGTGACAATTGTGTTGACTTAAAATAATATAAAATAACCGAATGACAAGATTGTCCGTTTTGATTGACCGTATATAGTTGTTATCAATTGTCAGTCAATGATCAGACTTGACTGTCAATCACGTTGATTGTCATTCAAAACTGACCGTGTATTGGGGGGCTAAATGAGCTGTTTTTATTAGAGGACGTAGACTTTGATTGCGTCGGCATAGTCGACGCCGGTGTAGATAACGGCATACGGTCTGTAATTTAATTACGTCGATAAGGCCGCTTAGATAGTGGACGGGCGGATGTACGGCGCACTGCCGCCCGAATTAGATATAATTAAATTTGTCACCAGAATTGAGATTTTCGTTGGTCCACTGATCCAGCAGAAGAAGTAAGCAGACGCAAGAAGACGTTTAAGTTTGGGACGATTTTCGGTTTTTAAACGAAGAAAAACGAATGAGTTAAACGTGCGGAATAAGATAAAGTACGCGGAGCGACGAAATAGCGATGCTACTCGGACGACTGGCATGGCGTGACTGATTATTTGGATTTTAAAAACAATAGTTAAGTCAATGGAATATGTACTGAAGAAAATTATTGATATTGAATGATTAATGTCAAATTTATTGAGTTTTAAGATATTTTTCAGTTATTATTACTATTTTGGTTGATTTAATTATATTAGAATCTTCACATTTCTATCATTTATTAATAAAATAGTATAGATTTTAAATTTTATACCTGCCAGAAACATGTGTATTTTTATATAATGTGCTCCATTATACTTCTTAATATTTCTTAGTCTTAATTTTCCTATTATACCTACCTAAATAATAAATACCTAATGAAGATATATTTTATTCTGTTTGATAAAAATGTTAAAATTTTAGTCAGATGAAAATGATGCACATACTCAATTAGAAATTCAAGCATATGCAGCTTTCTATAAAATTCATGATACAATTTGAATTAAAAAAAATGAATGCTACCCAATAAAATTTTAAAAAAGTACAGTAAGTAATAGATGTTAGTTAGGTATAATATAATAAAATATACATATATACTTGTATAATAATAATATATATATATATTGGTCATTAATATAATACTAGTTGTTTAGACACAGATTCATTTAGGTGCACTCACAATAAAAAAGTTGTAAACATCTTGAACTATATTAAAAAATGTCTGAACTTTACTAGAGCTTTTTGCCGCATCAAATATCACTAAATTGAGGTTTTGAGTACAACAATGTACATAATCATCGTTGGGAAAATCAGATCGAATTAAAGTTTGAACACCTGAGTGCTGTCCGCTCATAACTGCTGCACCATCATATCCTTGCCCGAAACACTTATTGATACTAAGACCAAACGTCAATAATGTTTGACGTAAAAGGTTTGCATAGTCAACAGCATGATGTTTATCAAGTACAAAAAATCCCAAAAACGATTCTTTGATTTCAAATTTCTTATGTTCATAGTTAACTAATACATAACGTATAATAATACTTACTTGGTCAACTTTTTTAATAACTTGAGTTGAGTCCAATATTATTGAAAAACCACAAGACTTTCTAATGTCATCACCAGGGCTCGGAACTTTATGCATTTGCATCTTTCTCAGGAAGCTGCATATTTCAAATCTGATTCGATACAAATTCGTTTCATGAACCATACAGTTGAAATACAAAAGTTGATGTTGCATATTTTTGCATATTTTACCAAATTTATATGATTATGCATATTTAAAGATTTTGAATATATAAATGCATTTTATGGTAAAAATTTATAAGAAATCAACAACAAACAATTTTTTGATAATTGAATATTGTAAATTAAATAATTTAAAAATAAATAGCCGCCGCACACTGTTTCCTATTCTATATTTGCTATGCTATCAATCATGCTCGCCCACATGGTTTATAGGTTTTTACTAAGAAATAAGAATTGGGTCGTTACTCTTACCGTAATGACCGCCCAGGTTTTATTTATATTAAAGTCGCTCATTAGATAAAATCTATAAAATCGTTGTATATTCGTGGTGTGTGTTAGTATATGTTTGATCGTGTGTCGAAAACATATTCGATAACGGTGGTCTGTTACTTAAATAAATTAGTGTGTTCGTAGTTCGTATTGTTTGCTTACCGTGCTCGATTACCGCTTATGTGCCACGTAATATTCTGATTTTAATATTTGTTGAACAAAAATTAAAATGCCTAAAAAAAAAAAAAAAAATTTAAGTAGTCGTTTAAATACTTTCGTGTCTGAGTTCGGTAAAAATGTTTTTGTATTGACACTAGGGTATTATTTTGCAAATATTGCGAAACGAAAGTCGATTCGGATAGAAGATCCAGCGTAATACAGCACTTGAAAACAGAAAAACATTTGTGTTCTGTTAAACGTAAAGAAAATCAACAAGAGACCAAGTGCCAACAACTATTAACCAATGATTTACCGTCTAAAAAATCGAAGTTCAACCTGGATTTATGCAAAGCTATGGTCTCGACTAATATACCACTAAATAAACTATCAAATATAGAGTTTCGGACATTTTTGGAAGTTTATTCTGGAAAAGATGTCCCCACAGAATCAGTACTTCGAAAATTCTATTTAGACGACTACTACAACGAAATGATGGAAAAAATTAGGCTTTTTGCGTGTTTTCGACCGAAAAATTTGGGTGTCACTTGATGAAACAACAGACACAGAAGGTCGGTATATAGCTAATGTAATAATAGGGACTTTAGAAGAGGATACTGCTGGTCCAATTTTTTTACTGAATACTGAAGCACTAGAAAAGACCAATCACTCTACAGTTTCTAAACTTTTTGACAAATCTTTAAGAATTTTATGGCCTAATGGGATAAGACACGACAACGTTTTATTATTTTTGTCCGACGCTGCGCCGTATATGATAAAGGGTGGAAAATCTCTGAATGCACTCTACTCTAAAATGGTACATGTGACTTGTGCTGCTCATGGCCTCCATAGAGTTTCGAAGGAAGTACGAAATCAATTTAGTACTGTTGATAAAATTGTAGCTAATTTAAAAAAAATGTTTAAAAAAGCACCATCACGCATACAAATTTTAAAAAATTACGCTCCGGATATCCCTTTACCTCCAGAACCAATTATAACCTGATGGGGTACCTGGATCAATGCTGTACTTTATTATTGTAAATATTACGAAAAAATTCGTGATGTTGTAAATATGTTGGACTCCAATGATGCTTTAAGTATTAAAGTTCCAAAAAAAAAATTGGTAAAAGAACACGTTCAAAATAATTTGGTGTATATTACTTCAAATTTTAAAGTTCTTTTTGAATCAATTTTGAAACTGCAGACAAAAAACATGCCTTTAGCTGAATCGTTGAGTATCGTGGACAATGTTCAAACACAATTAAAATCCGTTCAAGGTGAACCAGGGAAAAAAGTCTATGAAAAAATGGAAAATTTTTTGTCTAAAAATATCGGATTAAAAACATTAAAACAAATCTCGTCAATACTTAGTGGATCTATCTCCACCATGGATGGTCTTCCCGAAGATCTGTCAACAAATGACCTTATTTTCTACAAGTACGCACCAATGACGTCAGTGGATGTCGAAAGATCATTTTCTGTTTACAAAAACCTTCTGAGCCAAAACAGACGATCATTTAAACTTGAAAACATAAAAAAGTATCATATCATTCAGTGTAATTTAGGTAAATATAACAATGAATACCTAACATGATTTAATAATCGCTGTATTTGATAAATTCTATTTTTTTTAAATTTAGGACTCTGGGAATAGATCCAGTGTAGAACAGCTTCATTATCAAAAGAAAAATACAAATAAAAAAAAAAAAATTTTGTTTCTATAATTATTAATTATGCTTTTAAACACATATTTTATAAAATAATAAATGCATATTATACCGCATATTTTGGTGTTTTTTAGTGCATACGTATGCACATATTTCATGGTTTTTTTAGCGCATAAAGTTCCGAGCCCTGGTCATCACAAATTATTTCACGAACTTTATTAACTAATATTTCAATTAACTCATTCTGAATTAATGGACTTAAGTATTTGATTTTGTGTTAAGGATTACTCGATAGATAATTTAAAATTGGATCAAATTCCGCCAATAAATTAACAGTACGTAAACAATTTCCTTTTGAACACTTTTCTACAGATCCAATTTTTCCTCTATGCTCTCTTAAGGCAGTATTTCCCGCTGTTAATGATAATATGATTTTGTTCAAACGTAGTAAAATATTTCTCCAAAATGTAGTCTCTTTACTATATTGTATTTTTACTTCCTGATCTATCGTTCTATTTTTCATCCATATGATCCGCATATTTGTTGATTCTACATTTTGAGTTGATATTTCATGACATTGAATGCTTTGAGATAAATGTTTTCAATCATTGATTCCATTTATCCATTCAGACTTAAAAGGAGTACTTTTTCTATTAACAAGCAACCAACATGATTCACAGTAAGCTCTATCTAAAACTGTAGAATAGCATAACCAATAACGAGGTATTTTTGAACCAGACCGTGCAGAAACAAAATAGAAATTAGAAGAAAATTTTCTGCCATCATTATTTTTTGAAAATTCAATAGCTGGCTTACATAGACCAAATTATATAATGCTTCTTTTAAGGTCACTGTTATCTACTTCTTTATCAAAGTGTGCATAATCAGTTGGATTAGTCAATGTAAGATTCAATACATTTTGTTCTGCAAAAATCAAATCATTATTTGTTAGTTGATTAACCAACCAAAAGTTCATACTTAAGATAATTAAAAAAATAAATAGTTAGTATTTAGTGTTTGTCAGTTACCATTTTCTTCTTTATAATTATTATCATGTTCAGGTATATTTGAATCATTGGTATTGGTACAAAATATTGAATTTGTCTTTAAATCAATTTTTCCTTAAAAATAAAAATTAGGTATAATAATTAATAAATAAAAATAATTATCAATATATTTTATTCAGATTTATATTGGGTTTGAAAAAATTGTTTTAAAGTTTTAATTTAGAAAATTTTGCGCAGACGTCCTCTAGTGCTTTAAGGCTTTTGATTTGTATTAACAAAAATATAATTTTATACCATCTATTTAGAACAATTTGAATCTAAATCCTGTCATGGTTCCATAACTTAAATTTATTTCGCAAAGCAGTCAGCTCATTTTCTCGTCTCCGCTTTGGCCACACTCTTCTCCCTTCATACTCCTTTAAACTATCTCTTAATGATTCGCTTCTCTGCATGTTTAATGTTTAAAGTTTAATGTTTAATCATGTTTAATCTAACCCTCCAGCCATCTGCGATATAAATCATATTCTGTTTAAATGTCCTGCCCTGCACGCAGAGCATCTACGTCTTTTTTCCATTCTCCACTCTATAAATATTCCTCTTAATTCTTACCATATACTTACTTCTCAATCCCACTCTGCTATCCTTGCAACAATTGCTTTTATCACTAATTCTGGGCTGCTTATATAAATAATTTCGTTGTATATTAATATCTGTTTATATAATTTATATAATTGTCGAGACTAATTGTCAAAGTTTCAATAAAATAAAAAACTTACGATTTATAAGTGCATAACGATTGCATTACGTTTGAATCACGATTATAAAGAATTTTATAATCGTGGTTTGAACGTATTTATTTTCTTATACCACAATTTAATACAATCGGTTATTTATGGAAAACATTTTTCTGAAGACTGCGGCACATCACTTTACCGCGATACTCAGTTTGAAAACCACTGCTATAGACCATATAGATGCATAGTACTAATACAAGGCCCGTATTTCTTAGTACTTTTTTCAGATATCAAAATAATATATCTATTTTTGTGAAATTCTTAATTGAATGACGAGTATAGAAATAGCCAATAGGGTAGGTATTGTTAGTTGGGCTGGGAGCGCTGGAGTTCCCTTCGGTCCCGAGACCCGTGGCATTTGCCCACCTTGCACACTCGCTATTTACGCCATTGGATATAATATACAGAGATATCAAAACTTGTCGATTTGGAAAAACCAATATTTTATAGTTTATAGATATTATGCTTTTTGTTTTATATTCAAGAAAATATGTTGTATAATTTGTTAATTTATTTAAGCGTTTATTAGTTGTTAATCATACAAATACATCAGTGGCGGTCAAATGATTTTGTCATGGGGGGAATGTAGTTGATTTTTTAATAAACACTATATATAAAAAATTTTATTTTTTAACATGGAAATTATATTATATTAACGATATTATTAATTATTATTATTGATATTTATATTATTAAATCTATTTTTCTGGTTTTTTTGGCCAATTCGTCCACTACTTCGTCTACAGTTATATTGACAACCTCACGATGAACAACCATAGTGGTTAAACCATTGAGACGACTCTAAAATAATATAATTACACAATTCATATAATAATATAATATATTATGTTAACCATTAAGTACTAAATATGGGTTAGGTTAAGTTAGAGCTAAGACCAAAATAATTAAAGGTCTATTCACACATTTATTTTTTATTTTTAATTTTACATTTTTACAATGTGACATTGCCACAGTTTACTTGGGATGGTTCCTCGGTGAGGTGGCCGATCAAGATTGAGTTATATATTAGGGATTTGCCGATAATCAAAAAAAAACCAAAAGTGTGTTTGAAAAAGTGTATTCCACGATTTACAAAAAAAAAATAAGTTGAACACCGGTTGCGGGTGTGCTTTGGTGACGATGGTGAAAAAGACGACGACGGTCTAGCTTTCACGACAGTCATGAGTGAAAAGTTGGTGACTTGAGGCGACCGGTCGGTACGTTGCCACCGGTTCCGATAACTTTTCCCACATCTGCCCTATTTTCCGAGGAAAGTGGGTAGTATCGGAAACGGTATTGTCGTTGCCCGGTTTGTGGCTGGGTAGAGAGCGGGCGCGGCTCCGTGATAGTGGTATAATTAATGTACCTGCACCACAGCGGGACCGCGTCAAATGCCCATCCCATTTAAGGTATTCTTTTCATTAAAAATAAATAATTACAAATCAATCTATGTATACTAAAAAAAAATGATAGAATAGGTAAGTTATTTTGATAACACAAATTAAATGACATGACAGCCGTTTATAATACGTAAATTAAGCTAGTTTATCTAAACTATCTAAACATTGTCGTTAAATACGGATTTGGTTAGTCTGTGGTAAATCATAGAGTAATATCTAATAAATAATATCATTGATTATAAATAGTAATACTATTTATAATCAATGATAATATATATTGACACGGCCTCAAGTCGGTGGTAGGTTTTCCCTCGGTGAGGTGGCCAGTCAGAGTTGAATGAAATGGATCGTTTTTTTTAAAAAAAAAAAGAAGAAAAAAAAGAAAAACCACGAAACCGAACTGTATATGTTTTTCACGAGTTTATTGTCAAAACGAACAAAAACAAAATAGGTACGGAATGTGGTCCTCTGGTGACGGTGGTGGAGTCGGTGTGTCGGTGTTGACCAAACCGGTGTCCGTCATAAGATGGGGCCCTCTTCCGTAGACACAGCCCGCCGGCCACTGGTGCGCTACCTTATCGGCATCAAAAGCTTTCCCCCTCTGCCCGGTGTCCGAGGTAGGTAGGAAAGTGTTGGTGCGATATTATCGCCACCCGGAATGTGGCTGGAGAGAAGCTAACGCGGTGCACGGTGTCGGTGTACATATTGTACCTACGACATCACGGTACCGCATCAATATATTAGTGCCATCTACTAGACAAACATCTAAATAAAAAAATGGCAAATGATAATGAACTTTGAGGTTATATATCTACATTCAATTTAAACGTTAATCTGTTCACGATAACAGCTAAAGAGCGTTTTGTTACATGAAATTTTGATTTCTAGTTTTCTTTATCTGATTACCAACACATGTCAGTTGTTGAATTCTAAACATTTGACGTTCTTCGTTTCAATTTTAGGGTCTTTATGTGTATTTTTGTTTAAAATTTTTATATTTTGTTTCTTTAAGTATTTATTTACGATAAGTTGTAATAATAAATATTAATTTATCAAATTATGGGATTCAAACAATTTATTAAAAATAATTGGCGATTAGTAAATTCCAACACTTTGTCCATGAACAGGTTAAATTATTTTAAATGTATTTTATTTATTATTATTGTTTCATAAGAAAATTATAAAAGTTATTTTTGATTAGATGTGTAAATTCTGTCATTGAATCTTATAACATGGGATATGCTAAAAAAGCAGTGGTAGAAAATACATTACAATTGCCAAAAAGACCAAAAAAACCAAATCCTCCATTCTTTCTATACCTTCAAGAGAAACGACAAGAAGTAACAGAAAAACATAATTTAAGTTTAAAAGGTGAAATCTAATATTTTAAAATCAAATATATATATATATATATATATATAATTAATACTGTTTTAATTTAAATTGTTTAGATGCTGTTCGAGTTGTTAGTGAAATGTGGAAGAATGTTGATTCCGAAAATAAACAAAAAATGAATGAAGTATATAACAAAGAACTTGAAAAATACAAAAAAAATGTTGAATTGTATAAACAAAGCTTGACTGAAGATCAGAAAAATGAGTTATTTCGTTTAAAATATGAGCAAATAGAACAAAGAACTAAACGCAAACTTAAAAAAGTAATATTTAATATCAAATCAAATCAAATTAATTTTTTATTTTATTATTTTTTTATTATAGGAATTAAAGGATTTGGGTAAACCTCGTAAACCCCTAACTGCTTATTTAATGTTTGTAAGTGAAGAAATAAAAAACCATGGAAATGTACCTGTACAAATATATATGACAACAATTGCTAATAAATGGAAAGAAATGGATGAGAATACTAAATCTAAATTCATTAAAGCGGCTCTACAAGAAAATGATAAATATAATAATGCACTTCTTGATTGGGAAAATAAAATGATCAAAGCAGGGCGTTTGGATTTGGTTAGACCTCGTGCTCTCTCCAATGATAATATTGACATAAATTAAAATTATAATGTAAAAATATTTTCCTAATTTATTTTCATATATATTAATTGTGTGTTATTGTAAAATGTAGTACTACTCTTAATTTGTTTATGTAACATCAAGAATATTATACTCTTATATTTCGTGTTTACATAAAAGAACCATGTACTGATTTTTTTTTCACTTAAGGATTAAAGTAAAAATTATTTTGATATTGATTAATTTTTATGTTATATAAATATTCATTTAAGTATGTTCAGTAATAAAATAATAAAAACTAAAAATTAGTAAATTTTTAATATTTGTATATTAATATATAAACAATTAGGTTATATATATATATATATATATAATTAAATAAATAAATAAATGCTTAGCCTGGAATATCGTTATATGTGTAAAGTACAAATTAATTTATAATAAATTCAATACATAGTCAATAAAATCGCAACTGATTAAAAAAAAAAAGAAAGAATACATTGAGAAAAATTGGTCATTTTACATTAGGTGATTAATTTTAATAAGAGAGATTATTTAAAATGATTTTTTATTAGATGTAGATATTGTTAAGAAATTATTTATTTATTTCTGTATATTAACTATTTATTTTTATTTTTATTTATGTATGCCATGATAATTTATAAAAATATAACTTACAAAAATACTCAAAAAATGACAGCATTATTCACATAGAATAAAGAATGAAGTATATCTAGTGGAATAAATATCTATGCAAAATGAGTTTCATTTCTAACTGATTTTGAAGTATTTTAGTTTCTGAGTAAAATTAGAAATATTGATCTTTTTTCTCTCATCAAACTTTTGACTAGTAAAAATCCTCTGAATATTTCTTATGATTATAGAAGAATTTTAAATTAATTAAAAGTATTTTCAAATTGATTTTATTCAATCCTATAAGTTTAATAATAATTCAACCACTTATCTGGTTTTATTTTTATAATGCACTATTTATATTTTTTATAATTTTTTATATAAATATATATACCTATATATATATATATATATAATTTTATATTTCTATACATTCTTTTTAAATAAAATTTTTATTAATTTTAATTTAAATAAAAAAATATAGTGTAGTGAAAAATATAATATGAATTAATTTATTTTAGTATGTGTATACCATATATGTGCAGTAAAGATTTTTGATATTTATACTTTTTTTGTCTATTAAAATTATAGTAATGGTTTTAAAAAGAGTACTTAAGATTCAGTGAATTGCTTGACGTTAAAATAAATTATAATTTTAATTGGTAGGTAATAATAATTTGGATATTTTACATTTATAGCAAAAATGTATTGAAATTTTAATAATGAAAGTCTTTTAACTGTTGCAAAATCTAGCCTGGCTTAAATGTCTCGTTAAAAAAATAGGTACCCCTATTTTTAAAATCAATTTATGAAGTGAATCTCCGAAGCCATTAAAGAAAAAGAAAAATGTAGTTAAATTCAGTCGGGAAATTAACTGCATCCTTCTTTTCTAAAATCATATAAATTGAAAATAAAAAATTTTAAATTCAAATTTAATAAAAATCTTTAATTTGTTCGTTTGTTGGTGACAAAATAGCCCAATCTTGAAACCATTACAGTGATTTAGGAGATATATTTTGAAAGTCCGGGTTCACGTTTTAAATCAATTTATATATTGTGGGTATTGGAATACAGAAACTTATAATATTCATTTTACTATTCGTTGCTTGAAATTCACTATTGCCTAAGCAAAATGTATATTATTTTGACCGGTACATCACATTAGTTTTAGCGTCTAATATTGTTGTATGTGGCCATAAGTAGGCTACTTTCAAATGTGAATTAACTTTATCAGCTCTTAAAAATCATAGGGTCATTTTTTGTAATCCATAGTTACATAATATCGCAGAATAATCTGCTCGACCATGAACGTCAATACCATGTATCATTATTGAACTGTTCTGTTCGAACTATACGCATTATTTTGATGTCATGTCTGAGATCGACCAATGTTTGACTTTATTCTAAGCATGTAAATCAATGTTAATGGATTAGTATTATTTTAATTTTTCTCAATGTATGTGTAAAAACGACTAAAGACAACAACATCCATAACAACTCTTATTATTCGACCTACCGAGTTTCAACATTAATAATTTTTTATACCAATAAATTATACTTTCCTCATCTAACAGTATAAACCACATCGAAATACATTCAGCATTCATATAATACTTGTAATATTCTATTTTATATGTAATTAAATAGTAATGTAATGTAATGTAAATAAATAGTAGTAAAATACAATTTAAAATAAGTTCTTATAATTTTAATGAAAATAGTGTTTACCATATGACTAAAATTAATTGAAAATATGAGACTCTTGGTGAATATCTGAAATCAATGTTTCAGATCTCTAATGAATACTAACATTTTCCTAACCCTTCCAAAAATAATAATTTAAATAGTGACAAAACCCGTAAACACGTGATATTAATATTTTATGTTATTATTTTGAGCCTCTAAACAAGTAACGCCTCAGTGATGACGCCCAGTAATTGAATATTCTTAAAAAGATTAACTTTAATTCTAAATTATTTCCGGCAGTAAAAGTATATTGGAAAGTAAGATGTAGTTATTATTTTTTCTCAATACAAGACCATAGCTAAAAATTATAGACTCATCAATCACTATGCAAAGAACTGTTACAGTTATGAAAAAAAATATTCCTATTATGAAATGTTTTTTTGCGAAAATTCCCATCATACTCTTATAAGGGAACCAACAAACTTTTGATTTTCTTAATTCCATTGAAATTGAAAATTTATCTTTAGAGGATTAAAATAAATGAGAGTTAGAAATTTCTGAAGACGTTAAACTTAAAAACTGGTATCTTAAAAATGGTATATAATAGATAATTTTCATGAAGAATGATGTATTAAATAAATGTAGATGGTTCTTTGTTATTAAGGAAAAGAGTGAGAACGTAATAGATAACAAACATATCTTTGAAAAACAATACATGGAAACAATCCAAGTTGCCGACCCATAAAAACGTTTGACTGATAGGTGTCATGGTGGGTAACTAGCAGAATTTAAAAATATTTTTCAGCAACTTATAAAATAGTTGTTAGATTGAAATAGAGTAAGCTTATAATAAGATCTCATATGTATCAAGAGCTGAGCCAAATAGTCATCGATAATACTCAGAAAAAAAAAAAACAAATAACGAATCGATCATCGGATCATACCGTTGACAGTTGGCACACGTTTATTTTTTTCAATTAGGAATTAAATATACTATAAAACTTGTTAACGCCGAATTAAATTGTGTTTTAATGAAAAATTAGCTGAATATAAATTTGTAGTCCTTATTTTTCATAATATATCTACTTATGATGTACATAAAAAATATAAGTTTATGATACTTTTATTTGTTTTTCAAAATTATTCTTGATTCCATTTACGACAAAACTAATTTCAAAATATTTTGTATAAAAAAATATTGTGTTTGAATTATGCCTTTGTAATGCCATTATAATCAATTTTTTGAATCTACATGTAAACTGTAAAAACATTTAGATAAACATTAATTGTTGCAATAATTAAAATAATCAAAGATAAAAATATTAAATATGACATATTAGTATCAAAATAGTTTGAATTTATTTGAATCGAATTTGACAAAAAAAAAAAAAGTATAGCTAGTCAATAATTTACATTAGATAAGTGTTATTTTAGTATAAACATTACATTTTAATGTAGATACCTATTTATATTTTTTCTAAATAAAATCTGTTTAATTTTAATTAAATAAAAATTCTTACTTTAAGATTCTTTATATGTACAATAAATAATCATGTAGTTATTTAGTTGCTTTAATCATTTTCTAAATTAGTTATCATCAGAGCGCGGATTTATATGCATTTGTATATTTTTTCTGGTTGGTCGTATGATATGCTAATTTAGCACAAAATTTGTTTTATGATATAACTATTTAAACATTTAAATATTTTAGAGCATATTTTTGCATTTTTCTATATTTGTACATATTTCGATGCATAATATATAATTTTAAATGTAATTTTTTTTTATGTGTTATTTTAATAAAAATGAAATTAAAATTATAATTTATTATTTTAATTAATTTCAAGTGCATATTTTTTTTCTTCAATGCATATTTTTACACATTAGTGCATATACTTAGTATAACTAACTCATTAGTGCATGTTTTAAGATTTTTTAGTACATATTTAGTTGATTTTTTAATGCATGTAAATCCGCACTATAGTTATCATCAACAATCAAGAAATCACAAGGTTGAGTAATAAGGCTTATATTATTTTATAGTACAAAAATATGTTCGATTGTGGGCGTTAGAATGTTTAGTTGTAGCTCATGCCTCATTAGCTATTTTCATGGTTTTCATTATGATATAGTTTGTTTCTTCAGCACCTGAATAACATTTTCTAGTGAATCTACTATTAATATACCAACACGTCATATGTGTAGTATAATAATAACTAAATTAAAACGAAAACACTATGTGGTTTTGCAAAATATGAATTGATTTTTTTTTTAGGTACATTAAATATTAACTACACAGAAAATTAATTTTGAACTGTGGCCGAACCGCCGTTTATGTTAAAATGCTATGAACATTTGAAATAAAATTAATTTAACGTTATTTTACCCAAGAATTTCTGTTATTACTCGCTTGAAATATTCAAGTTCTTTGAATACCTATTGTTATGTGTAAATTGGCGTTAAATATTTTAAGCAGTATGACAGGGACACAGGGTGATATTATACATTTTCATATTCATAGAGGTGTAAGAATAGGCCAACGGAATGCCTATCTATTTTTACCATATTTCTTTCATGAGTCTTCTAAGCTTTCCCCTCCAATTAGAACTCAGGCAACAAACCGCTATTTACCTAGGGATTCGAACTACAAACCTCATCAGCATCACTATATTATAATACTAACCCAACAGACAGATTCATAAAAATGGTAAGTGTGGTATATCAAATAAATAACTTTAAGGTAGTAAATACGTTGAGATAATTATGTTGCAGGATGAAGATGATCAAAAAGTAGCCAGTAAGTAAAAAATTAAAAAAAAAATATTAATCATTGATATTAAAGTTTACTTATAATGATTATTATGAATGCAAGGAATATGCGTTCATATAATGCTATATTTAAATTTGTATTTTTAAATACATATACATATAATAAAAGTATACTGTAAAATGAATGGTATACGATGTCTTGGGTGAATTGCAATAGTAAAACTAAAATGTTCAAAATAAATTAATTGAGTTTAGTAGTCAAAAATATAAAGTCCTTATTTTAAAGCTATTTTGATTTTATGAATTTCCTGTACATATTTTATTAATTAGTTTTTGAATATTGATTTACATAAAAGTATTTTAGAACTTCAGAATAATTTCATGTATGTAACCCATATAGTAACTAATAAATTATATTTATAAAATAGGATTTTTATAAAACGTGATACAATTTGGATTTCTTATGGTAAATTATTTACAAAATATAATTAATTAGCACGATTTTTTAATGTATCATTTTCTCAGATTTCGATAAATTTGGCTATTCAAAACTCCTTAATCTTAGACGATTAATCGGGTAACATTTATGGTCGTAAGATAAAAATATTCAAAATCAATTTATGGACGTGAAATAGCAGTCACACTAACAAAAATTAAGGTGCTTCTATTAGTTCAATTTAAAAAATGTAAATATGTTTGAGTTGGTAAACAAGTTTACTTTGCATCGGTCGAAGCACTTTTTAAATTTTAGCAAATTCTTGACGAGAATAAATATTTTACATTTTATAAATTTTTCAATTTTTAATATAGAATATATTAAAAAATATGATCCGTCCAATGCAAAGTAGACTTGTTGACCAATTCAAACATCTTTAGATTTTTTAAATCGAACAACTACAAGTACTTAAATTTTTGTCAGTCGCTAAGGTCGTTTTCGTGTAAAATTAATAGGGGTTACAGGACCCTTAAATCATTTTTCAAGGCGTGTACACAAAAAAATATCATATTTTGTGTGGATGGTTTTAGGTTGTACATTTTCATACTTATATAATCTATAAACCATCTGTACTCTATAAAAACATATTTAATAATTTTTCTGATTTCGGTGGGGATGGGAGGGAGGGATGAAATCCTAAAACTCCCCTTGTATACACAACTGTTACTTGTTATTTGAATACAATCAATATCTAATGGGATTAAAGACGTAGGTGGCTTATAAGATTTTTATTTAGACTTTTTGGAATTAAAAATCAATGCTTCTATGTTTTTGAATATTCAAAAAATATGACTACCGTGAGGTCTATCTGTAAAAGACAAATAATAGGAAATTTCCCTTTTTTGGCTTTTTCTGATCCATATTATAACCATTCAGATATTTCTGAGAAAACATTCAGGTATCAATTGATTATCTAGGTTACATTGATTGTCTACATTTACTGGCTTTAATAGGAATCAGGATTAGATTGTCAAACACACACTTCTGCTACCTCTCTTTTAGAATTATAAAAATATGTCAATCAATTTCTTGTAATAAGATTTAATATTTTCAATTAGGAATAACCAGTGGCGTAGCGTGGGTACAGGCTGCCCGGGTCGGAAGACAATTTTGCCGCCCTCTTAATTAGGTATTTCAATTTAATGTATACTATACATTATATACATTAATTCTAGAGAATTAGAGGGCTGTAGCCTACCCAGATATTTTACCTTAGTTGCGCCTATGTACAAAGGTATTATTTAATCATGCGATTGTCGAGGTGAATCCTAATTTTAAGTAGGTAATAGAACCTACTTATAGATACTTATACTTATTATAACTATCTTATTCCGCCCCGATTTCTTTTATTCTTTTCATTTTTAATGATATATTGATGCTAAAATTCAAATTTTCACAAAATTATCCAATAATTTCATAACCACTACACGTACTTATTTGCACAAAAATCACAGTTACGAAACAGTGTGAACTAAACAACTGAAGATCCATGAATAAAACTTTCTTTGAATTATCAAAGCATCACATACTTTCTTAAAGGGATGTAATAAACAATATTGAACTTATTATATATATGTAATAGAAGTCATTCTCACTAATAATAGGTCATAAACAATCCAAGCAAAAAATATCATTCAAAGAAAGGGAATTCCCAAATTCGTCACAGAATAAGTAATGAAAAATTTCGTGCTTTTTTCATTCGGTCCGAATTTATAGTTGTGTTAAAAATATGAAATGGTTAAAATATTTACAAAATATTACATTTAATGCAGTGAAACTAAACTTGAAATGTAGCATGTAAACAGTTAAATAGATTTTTTATTCCTTATGAACATCCTTCATTATCCATTCTTTATATTTTATATAAAATTATTAAATTTAAATGTGTCATTAGTTGTATTCAATTAATTTTAAAGAAAAATAAATGATATTTATGTTTCAACAGTCAAAATTAATTTCAAGATTATTCTGTTAAAATAAAATGCACTATTAATTAATGTGGAAAATCACTAATATTGTAAATAAATATTAACATTATATTTACTTATAATACATATTATTATTAAGAGAAATCTGCTAAGATTTATTTTAATAAAATTGACTACAAACATTCCATTATAATATAAGCCAATAAGAAAATTATTTTTACCACGCTTATGATGTTACCATTTTAATTTCTTCAATTTTACTAAAATACATTCGAAAACTTGGTATACTTTAGGAGGCAATAAATTATATTGTGTCATGTTTCCGTTGATACAATTACTTATATCAAATTACTTTAATTGGTAGAAACAAATTATCCAAATTTGCATTAGCATTTTTATTATTTAAATAAAAACCACTAAAAAAGATAAATACAACTATAATATGTATTATAATGTATAATATATAATATGTATTAAAAATAGATTTGATTTGATAGTTCTAAAAAGAGCTTTTTCGTCATAAATAATTATTAATGATGAAAAATTAATACTGATTATAATCAGTCTTTAAAGCACCATTGTTTTTAATAAAAATACTGTAGCCAGTAAAATATATAGATTTTATATATTTCCTTACAATCGAGTTTCCCAAACTTTTTGATCTATGATTTTTTCAGAGCACCTTTCTCCAAGTCATAGCATGACTAATCATAAGGAAAATTATATACCGGATAGTATTTCATGACGGCGCGGCGGCGCACACTTTGGGAACCGCTGCTCTACAACGAAAATTCTAGCTATAAAGAATAAATTACCATAATTTTTAGTGAGATTATTTATCCGGCACTACCTCAATTTCCGTTTATTCTATTATAATTATTTGAATTAATTTTTATTTTTTGGCTCGAAAATTCCATTTAATTGGTACCTATACTGAATGATTATTGAATAAGTACTCTTCCAATGCTGGATAGTAGCTTAGATCGTTTGAAGTTTTTTGCGATAATAAATAATTTGACTATGAGTTTATCCTATTTATGTATCTGTAAAGCCCATAATTTGTTAAAAGTGAATTTGGAACAAATTTAGGATTTATATATTTAGTAAAGATATTTTAATATTTATATTAACAAAAATATGTTAAATAACTTATAATGTAAATGCAACATACAACTGGACACATTTAGGGATTGAATAAGCAGTTTGACATACTATAAGAGTAATCATATAGGACTTTATGAAGAATACAAATACTCTATTTATATACTACCTTTGAAGCTATAAACTATTATGTACATTAGTATGGAAGTCAAAAGTAACTACATGACCTTAAGTAGGGGCGTATTTAAACTTACTTCTTAGAGGGGGCCCACTCAATTTTTTTCTTTAACTCAGACTCAACATTTACAAGTTAAATTTTGATAATTTTTAAATCAGGTGAATCTTTAATATTTATGTTTTTTTTTTTTAATCTTATTCCGGATCCACTTGGAATCGATTTTCTGTAGTTCTTTTTTAACACCTGTCTGTGTTTTGAAAGTTACGCTTGATCTTATTTGATTTTTCACTAACCCGACAAAGAGCACAATTCAGTATTCACAGTCAAGCGTAATTTTATTTCATTATAAAATGATCCATAATAAAAAAATTTGAAATATGAATCTTTCATAAAATCAATTTCTTAAATACGGATTCAGAGGGGGGCGATCGCCACTTCGCTCCTCCATAAAATACGACCATGCCTTAAGCTTTATCAATAAGTAAAATAATGAAGTACAATATTATATACATTCTTAAAATGTTTGAATACTAAAATGAATTGCATATTTTAACACTTAAAAAAAATAAATAGGTGTAACTACTAATTAACTAATTCAAATGCTGTTTACTCACAGATTGATAACAGAGCTCGTAAGTTCATGCATTTGCATATCAATCTTGCAAAGTTGTATTTAATTCTAGATGACATAGAAACAGTGGCGTACATTCAATCTTGCTCTGGGAGGGGTTTAACAAAAATAATCGTTATCTTTTTTTTTCGTTGCACAGATAAATAAGATAAATAACTGCTATAAATAGATATTATTTTATATAACTTTTTTACCAATTTACAGTTTACTTTTACATTACAGTTAATTAATAGCTATTGGAATATAAAAACACCATAGTTAACAAAACTTTTCAAACACCTATCAATATAATTATTTAATTATCATAATATTTGTATAGTTGTATATTTTAAGTTCAATGCGTAATAATGAAACTACGAATATATTACACGTCATCAATAATAAAACAATTTTTTTTTACGAACCCCCCCCCCCCTATGTACGCCACTGCATAGTAATCCATTTCAAGGTACCACGGTTAAATATGTGAAATCTAATTTTGCATGTTTTTGCATATTTGGCATATTTATGCATATTTCTATTTTATCGGGCATATTATACAACATTCTATTAAATTCTAATGAATAGGGAACGGATTTGTATGTAAATGTATATTTTTATTAAAACGAGATATTTAAGATTCGATAAGAAATGTTTATGATTTAAATCAATCCTATTAAAATTATGATACTTTTATTTTACATATTTCTCTAATTTTTAAATATTTTTAAACATATTTTTATCATTTCATCATTCATACGTCTTTTTCGTACGAAAATACAAGAAATTATTTCAAAATTAGATCTAGAAACTTTTATCGCTATTGGAAAAGCTCAAAATATTATGCAAAATGAAACATTGAAAGTAATTTAATTTTAATTAAAAATAATTCAACAAAATTATTAATAAAAAATATGTCCCCAATTGATAGAATGTAAATTGTTGAATCAGCGAATAAAACTCGTAAGTGGACCAATAGATGTTGTAAAAAGAAAATTCATGCAGTTACAGAAAAAAATTCCAGACTATATTGATTTTAAAATAATCAATGACATAATGAGTGGCAGACACTCTTCTAAAAATTTGGAAGTATCGCCTTCTGATAGTATGCTCTTGAAATATGCTTTTAATTAGGGGTGGGCCGATCCTAGAACCGATACTTGGTATCGGCCGATATTGGTGGTATCGGAAATATCGGTATCGGTCTATTTTCAAAACCGATATTTAAACCAATACCGCAAAAACTACTTGTGATTATAATATCGGGTATTGGTTTTATATCGGTAAATCGGGTGTCGGTAAAAAGTGGTATCGACCTATCCCTACTTTTAATATATCGGTTGATGTGAAACGATAATTTAGCCGTTTTAAAAATATTTTGATACCTAATAGGCGACATTTAACATTTGATAATTTAAAAGATATTGTAATAATTCAATAATCATTTCGATAATTTAATAATAATAATTTTTTTTTTAGATTTTTTTTCCCAACATATTTGGATGTTTTCAGCACATATTTTATAAATTATACTTACATATTTCTGTATTTTTATTACATATAAATCCGTTCTTTACAAATGAATCTATATGGAAAAAATATATAAAATTAAAAATAGAAATTGTATTATCTTTTCTTTTTTTATCTTCTTGATACGAAAATATATCGTAATATGTATAAAAAAATATCATTTAACAAATAAACTTGTTTCAAAAGTTTCAGATTTAAAATGAATTACTAATAAAGACGTACACGAGTACGCAGTTCATGAAGGTTTAAGAGTAGTACTAAATATCTAGTATTTAAAATCTATTTTTTTTTAATTGTGATATAAAAATATAAAATATAACTATAAAAAATTAATGGATAATTTATGTTATTTTAAAAATTATTTTTGATTTTTGTAAGTAAGTATTTTTTAAGTGCATAATTTTAGGTATTTAGTGCATATAAATGCATATTTTTGAACTTTTTAAGACATATTTCAAAGCATATTTTGCCATGTTTAAGTGTATAAATACATAGTTATTAAGGCATTTTTTAGAGCATGAACTTACGAACCCTGTTGATAAATGTACAACCAAAGTTACTAAACTGATTCATTTGACATATTGATGGAATATAGGTACTAATTATTAAGTATTATTGCATTAAGATTAATTATTAAAACATAATTTGCTCCTGGTCGGCATTAACCCATAATCCGGCACTGATTCCAATGTATATGTTCATGTACAGTGTATAACCAATTCTTTACAGTGTCTCCCTATAGTGGACCTTTTTTAATTCCCCGTGGCTGTCCACGATATAGGGGTTTCATTGTATAACACTAATTATATTTAATTAATTTAAAATTAGTTATAATTTCATATTAAATAGCTTAAACCAACCCAACAATATTGATAATAAAAAATGTGTGGGTAATTTAAAAAAATTTTATTCATATTGACTACTGTCTCAGTATAAGGTAAATATGAAGAAAGTACCTGATATTGTATCATTGATATAAACCCATCATAGAAAAGTTGCTAACCCACTATAGCAGTTTTTGTATTTTTATACATTTTAATAAAATATATATTATAATTTACTCTTTCTAATTCAATAACTTGTTTAATAATTTAAATTTGTTTTAAGTAATGCGAAAAGCATTTCAAATGTTTGACACTTCCAAATCGGGATTCATTGATACACTAAAAATAAGTACTATATTAAATACCATGGGTCAATTGTTTGATGATTCCGAATTAAATGAACTAATAGAAGAAGTTGATCCAGATGGTAAATTATTATTTACTTTTATTGAGGAGTTACTTATAGCAATTATCATATATTTTTGTAGCCACAGGTAAAGTCAACTTTGATGGATTTTGCAAAATTGCTGCCCATTTTCTTGAAGAAGACGATGCTGAAGCTATGCAAGAAGAATTAAAAGAAGCTTTCAGACTTTATGATCGAGAAGGTAATGGATATATAACAACTGCTACTTTAAGAGAAATATTAGCAGCATTGGATGATAAACTTGGTCCAGAAGACTTGGATGGTATCATTGCTGAAATTGATACTGATGGATCAGGCACTGTTGATTTTGATGGTAAATATAAATAATGAAAGCTAATAATTACCATTAATTTATTTTTGTATTTTCAGAATTCATGGAAATGATGACAGGAGAATAAAATTACAAGACAAAGATTTTACTTGAGGATGTGAATTTTTTTTCTTTTTAATGGAAACAATTGATAATTATAATAAACCATCTCCATATATCTGCATTACTTTGTATTATTTATTTATCATAAGTATATTATAAATTGAATTAAAAACTGTAATAAATGCCTAAATTAATCTCATTCAAAATACATCATGAATTATTAATATAAACATTATTTTGACCCAATATCATCATTATCAGGTTTTTTGCGTTTTTCTGGATTTATTGGACAAGCATCATCTGACTCTTCAGCACTGATATTAGCTTGCTGAAGAGCTCGTACAAATTCTTCCATGTTTCCTTGATTTGCTGCACTCACGGCACCTTCTCCTAAATCAAACTGTTGAACCACAGATCCCAGTTGGCCAGTTTGTAAAGCGTTACTAAACATGCTTACAGCCTAAACAAAATATTTACATGAAATTTAAAACTAATTAAAACACAGAATGCTGATATACAGCAGGGATTAGTTTGTTAGAATTAAATAAAAAAAAAAAAGATTTATTTATCAAATATGAGTTTTAGTACAGTTTAGTACAGTAATAAATTAAAAGTTATAAATTTATGTTAATTATTACTGTCTTCAAAAAAAATTTAAATCCAAATAATTTGTGAAAAACTATGATTATTTTTTAAAATTACTGAAATAACAGTAAAATTAATAGTAATACAAAGTAATACTAAATAGCTGCACAAAAGTGATAAATTATTTCTCGCGTTGTGGATTTTTTATTTATAATTTTGTTGGTTAACAGACTGTGTAAATTTCAGAACTGAATAAACAATTTTTAACCTGTTCAAAACTATGAATTTGAAAATACTGATGAAAATGTGAAAATTTGTAAACTTTTAGTACAAAATATTCTTAAAGGAAGTTAGATTTTAATGAAGAAGAAGAAGACAATGAGCTGGATATTGACCCACCAATTACAGCTAGATACGCTAAAAAATGTATTGATTTGTTGCAAAAGTTCTTCATGCATGAGGTAATGAAAATAGTCTATTTGATAAGCTGTGTACTCTTTTTGTCAACCAGATCTATATTAAGCAGCTATTATAATATATTGTACACCATCTACATCCAAATGAAATTTTATTGATTCCGCATAACTATTCATTTTTATTGAGTATGTACTATTATTCATTATTAATTTATATTTGTATTTGTATTTTAGTAAACTATTAATTTAATTTATAATTTTTTTTTAATTTTATGGCTTACGTATGCAAAATAAAAACTTCTTAATGTTTTTAGACCAAGCTTGGTTTATATGGCCAACCACTAAATGCAGGTTTTGTCTTAACGTATCTGTGTTAAACGAAATTTACTGTATATGTAAAAAATAATTAAACATTTTATTATTTTATGATTATCAAAAGATACGACATGAATTTAGGTGAAAAAAAAATTTATTTGTTATTAAATAAAATAAATTTCTATTGTAGTTATTTGTTTTTATTTTTCTTAAACACTTAACATTTTAACAAAGAATAAATTGTTTAATTTAATAGTATGTAGATCAAAAAATACTGGTAATTAAATGAATCATAATTGATAAGTAGTATATAAATTATTTGATAAACAAAATTAATAAGACTCAGTCCTCGTGAAAAATATTCAAGCTTAAATATTTCTAAAATTATATTGTACTAACAAACCTGTCTAAACTGTGGGGAAGTAATAGTATCTTTTAAATTGTCAGGTGTTGATTGACTAGTTGGTGTCGAATCTGATGAACTTTCAGCAGTTGGTAAATGCTGAGCTAACTGGCTTATTGCACCTGTGTTTTCAATTACACTTTGTAAATTTTCCACATCCATAGCAGCCGATAAATCCACTATATTATAAAATTAGAATCCATAATACTTAATACTATAGATAGAATATAAATTGAAAAAAAAAAAATTGTTTATCTAACCTGGAGGTTTGTCAGTTGTTCCTTGAGCACTAGTCAATCCAGATAACATAGATTGGAGGTCTCTCAGTTGGATACCAGTAGCTGATCTTTGTTCTGGATTTTCTACAAAAATCAACAAATATTTCACAGTTAGTTTCTGCAAATATAGTAATATCAAAATATATTTATATAATTACCTGTAGAACCTGAGTTCACACTACTTGTAGGAGGAGGAGAACTACTAGAGCTAATTGATCGATTACTGCCACTAGTAGTATTTGTACTACTGCTAGTATTAGCAGGTTGAGCACTAGATGCTTGAGTTGTTGATGATGAACGTCCCGTTTGACTTGATCTAAAAATCATACTCTCAAAAATTAAGTTAACATTTAACTGTCTAATAATTACCTCATTGTTCCAAGTAATGATGATAAGCCCCCGATTTGACCAACTCCCCCAAACAACTGCATTAATTGTTGTTGAGACATGTTACTTAATAAATTTTGTAAATCACCATCTACATATAAATAGATAAAATTAAAAAATATACTTTAAGATATGAAATTAACTGTTTGTTGGTAAAATAATAAAAACTGAAATCTTAACAGACTAGGTTCACTTATTTACAGCAGATGAATGGTTAGGTAGAAATACAAAAATTTATAAATTATAATAGCAATTATTTTTTAAATAACTGAAGCAGTTTTTCAATAAAATATCAATTTAATAACTTCATCATAACACTACGTCGTTGACACAAAAAAACCTCTTATGTGCCAAATTTTCGATTTTGAGATATTGGTATCCCTGGGTTCAGAAAAAATAGGCGGTCATTTTGATAAAAACTCCTATGTGCTATCTCCATCGTAGAATTAATGAAAAATAATATACAATTCCTCCTATGTGTTACCATCCATAAATCGTTTATAAAATACCTCCTATGTGATTAAAAATTTGGTCAAAATTACATTGGAGATATTGGCATGCATAGTAGATTATAATTTTCTATAATTAGTTACCTATAAAACAGAAAAGTGATAAACTATGTTTTTTTTTCAACTATGATAAGAAATCCAAAGACTGGTTACTATTACATTACTATTTTTAACTTTTACCTAATTTGTTATAATTCTAAAAAGTATATTTTAAGTATTTTGAGTAAATATAATTTGTTATTTATTTTATTACCAGGACTGAAAAAGTGGTTAACTATTTTTTATTGTTTTTTTGTTGTAATGTTTTACATTTTATAATTAGTTATAACTTATAAAAGTTAGCAATTATGTTTTGTTAGTACATTGATAATATTATAACTATAAAGTTTAAAGTTATTTTGTTTTATAATGTTAAGTATTTTATACAATTATAATTTGTTAATAAATATTTATTTCTTAGATAAAACAACTTAGTTTATTTTTTATAAAATCGTTCAAAATAAGTCTTATTATTATTTCTCTGGCATCAACTATTATTCAAATAACCTCCTATGTACTGTTTGGCAAAAAAGATTGATTAACATAACCTCCTATGTGATGAAATATTGACAATTTGTACAATAAATACATATATATTAAGTTTTTTACTTCAATTTTTTTCAGAATAAAAATGTATATTTTATTACGTTTTTTAAATGTATTTTCATTAATCATTGATGATTTGTGATTTTCGTCTCTCCTGAAAAATTAGGTTTAAGCACATGGGAGATTTTTTCGTGTCAACGACGACTATATTATGGCTTATAAATAATAATATAATAAAATGTTTTTTTTATAAAAGGAATTTCAGTATTCTATTTCATCACCAATATATAAATATTAGGCTTCTGCTAAAAATACTTAAATTAAAAATGGAATTGAAAAAATATTTTTTGGGAGTGAATTACAAAAATAAATAAATATTATTTTGATAATATCTTAGGTGCATCAGAACAAATAACAAGATATATCAGAACTATTATAGGAGCGTTTCAGAAATGCTTATAATTTTAAGAAAATTGTCAAATTTTTAAATTTTAAGTAGAAAAAAAAAGTAAATTAGTATATTTATAAATTCTAATTTTTTACTTTTAACCTAACCAGTTCAGGAATTTAATTACTTTACCATGTATTCATATATAACATGGTTATATATAACTAACATCTAGTTTATGAACGAATTTAAGATTTTTTGTATTTAAAACTGCTATACAAACCAGGAGTTGTACCACCACTGCGGTTTGAACCTGGAGCTGGAGGGTTGTTCATGACATCATTTACACGACGACAGTTTTCATCATCTTTGTCAGTTTTTGGTTCCTATATTTCATATAAAAATAAACAAAATAAATAAAACATATAATATTAAATAATTACTATATCAAATCAATATAATAAAAAAATTAAGTAACCTGTAGCCAAAAAAAAGATTTTTTGTTTGATGACTTGAACTTTAGCACATAAACTCTTCCAGTATTACACTGTGGCACAAATTTAAACTCACAATCATCAGGGAATATTATCAAGTCCTATATTGTAATAAAAAAAAAAAAAAATTATAGGTTGATATTCTACATACTTATTTAATTTTTGTAAATGAATGTACCTAGATAAATTGAAAACAATATTTTTCTTACATGTAATTATATCAGTGGTCACTAATTAATATTTTTAGAGGGCCAAATTTAGAATTTTGAAAATTTTTGTGGTAATCTAAATTCAAAGTAAATGTTTTTAAGAAATTATTTTATAATGCAAACATTATAAATAGCTGCTTTCTGGTGGAAAATCAGACAAACTAGCTAGACCTCTGAGCAGTCCACTAAAACAAAACAATATAATTCCATCTACTCAAACAAAAACTGTCCATTTTCAAATACAACTAAATTAATAATACAACAGAAATTAGGTTAACGCTAGTGGACAATAATTGATGAATTAGCATTGATGTGTAATTAGTACATTCCATAGACTGTCAAACCTATTCAAATTTTAAAATATGCTAGGTAATCGGCATAATATCTGTTTCTGCCAGTAAAAACCAATGTATTTTATTATTGATGTTAATTTTTTTTTCTTGTCTGTGAGTCATATTAAATTTGTCTGCTGACCAAAAATGGCAATTAGTAATTATAATATAATATATTACGTGATTAAACTAAAATATTTACTATCATTACAAATGGCAATAATTTAAGAAGGGGTAAATTTATTAACAGAAGGGGTATCTGCCACCGACTACCAACCACAAGATTTTGAAGGGCACAAATTTTTTTATAGAATATCCTAGAGTCAAAAACTATTTGCCATTTACTCTTTTAAAAGAAAAACTTAATTGATTTGTGGTTTTTAATATTGAAAAATGTTTTGCTTAAATCTATTTCATGGAATGAACGTATTGACTAATTCGCTAAACAAAAAACATTTTTATAAAAATATTATAACTAACAAAAATAGAATAATGTATTTACATAATTTACCTTGCAGAACTATTCAAACACTATCTATATGATATTTTCAAGCCCCACCCTAATATATTCTCTCCTAACAACATAAATTCTGTGGAAGAGTATCTGAAATTCCCACTTCCATTTTCTTGCCCAATCAAACACTTCTCACCAAATGAAGTTAAATATGCCATTGATAAGCACCCTATTAACAAATTTCCAGGGTTTGATTAAACCCACTGCCAAATTTTCCAGGTACCCAACAAAAAAAGCAATTATTCATCTCACACATTTTTTTACTTTGTGTTCAGGTTCTATTATTTTCCAGCACTCTGGAAATTTTCAATCATTATTCTTGTTCCAAAGCCCAATAAATCTTCTGACTCTATCTCCTCTAACTGACCTATAAGTCTGTTACCATTCTTCGCAAAAATCTTCAAAAACTTATACTAAACCAATTTCTACTGCGCTTAATCAAAAATTCCAGTTTATTGTACATATATATTTTTGTTGAAGATAAAATGTTGAAAAGAATTGGTAATTTCATTAAAGTACATATTTGTAATAAAATCAAAGAATTTTTAGGACCAAAATAATACATTACTACCCTACCAAGATATTAGATAATATTAAATGTAAACTTAAATGAATAAAAATGTAATAAAATGGTGAAATATAGAATATTTTTCTTTTTGATACATATCTTAAAGGTATGTTAGATACACTTATCACTATTTACATCTCAATTATTTCAAAAGCTTTAATAGAATACAATTATTTGAAAAATAGTTAAAGGTACAGAACTATATTATGTAATTAAAAATTATTACGATTTAAGATAGAATCAGAAATAAATATTTAAGAATAAAAATAAAACATACATAATATTTTGGAAAAATTTATTTTGTGAAATATTAATATTTTAAACAATAATATCATTAAGTTTTAAATCGAAATTTGAAGTTGACTATTATTTTAGTGCCTTAGGTAAAATAACTTACATCTTCAACTACACCAGATGAACGATCTTTCCAGCAAAAATGAATCAAGGAATCATCAGACTGATGAATATACAACAATCCCTTTCTCTTGTCAGGGTATACCATTTTTCCTCTCATAGACATTTTTCCAGCTTTAAACTCAACAAGATTCTTGGATTGGTTTCTACCAGCCGTACTTCCAAACAATGCTGTTGCTCCAGACATCTTTGTTATTTTGAAAACGATTCAAAATAAAAATTTCAGTAATTTAAAAATTATTCAAAATATAAGAGCAAATAATATATTGTGTATTTAACTATGAGAACAATCAACATAAAACACTATGGTTATATTGTTCATCCGGAATATATTATGAAAATTGCTTTATCACGATGCTTCAAGTGCAGTGTAATCAAAAATAGATGACGAATGGGTTATAACGATAAAGCAGTGTGACCTTTTTCAAGATTTCTTACATTATCAAAAAACCGAGTTGTGAAAACTTTTTCAATTATCATTGATTTGCAACTGCGGTATTTAATATGATAAGATTCGAATTCTAAATTTTTAAATATTCAGTATTTATAAAATTTTCGGTTTCGGCGTTGTTGACCAAGAATCTAAATTCTTATTACCTACTTAATTGTGAAATTTAAACTTATAAAATTATGATAGTATATTTATCGTATTATGTATTAGTTGAAACAAAAGTAAGGACATCTGAAATTATATAATAAGCAATAAAAAGAAAGAGAGAAACAATTTTTAATTAAAAGTGAGTTGCCCATCGTGCGGGTTGTCTAAAGACAGCATACTATTCAATATTCAAACACATCAGAACATTTTAATTTACAATAAAAATAAATGGACGAAATTTATAATAAAAATAGGTAAATTTAACAAATAATAAAATTAAATATTTAAATAATATTTGTATGTATTAAACCACGAAGACCAATTTTATTACGAATATAAATGATAGTTTATCATGTATATTGAACCTTTTAAAATATAAATGCACATTTGGGCAAGGTCTTCAGAAGCGAGGTTGTATAATTTTAAGAATGATTTTAGGAATCCTGTGGTTGTACCCCAAGTCTTCAAGTATTAAAAACATTTTCAATTAACCTCTTATAATCCAGTATATGATAAATGATAAACGAACTTAATGATGAGTATACGACCAATAAACGATTTTAAGAAATATAAACTAATCACATTTAACAGCGTAATACATTAATGATATTATTCCTTATTTTATGCAATTATGGAATCTGTGAAAACAAAATTCCAGATTTTGTTTAGTAGAATAATATAATTAAAATAAAAACTAATGTTAATAGGGCATTATTTAGAGGTTTTAGGACTGTGTATTTTATTTAAAAAAAAACATTTTTTAATGAATAATTTTTACCTATTTTTAGTTTCATTAAATTAATTTGATCATTTCTAATTTATTTGTGTATATTACTTAATAGTATACTAAAATAGCTTTAAAATGCAAAAAAAGTTAAAAAGTTCTGTTTAAAAAATAAAAAATAAGTATAAGGTTCGATTGTTTAAAAATAAAGTTAATTACCAATAACTTATATTGTAATGAAGTTTACCTCCCCCCAGTGTTTCCATTATTTTTGGTATACTTCTCCCCGCGACACAGCGAATATGTTTACAAATTAAATTTTGATTATTTATTAAAAACAAAAGACTATCTATGATCTTAAAGCAATCTGAATATGAAAAAACTTACTAAAAATTTAAAAATATATACACTCATGAGCAGTGGCGTACATTCAATCTTGCTCTGGGAGGGGTTTAACAAAAATAATCATCTTTTTTTTTCGTTGCACAGATAAATAAGATAAATAACTGCTATAAATAGATATTATTTTATACAACTTTTTTACCAATTTACAGTTTACTTTTACATTACAGTAAATTAATAGCTATTGAGATATAAAAACACCATAGTTAACAAAACTTTTCAAACACCTATCAATATAATTATTTAATTATCATAATATTTGTATAGTTGTATATTTTAAGTTCAAAACGTAGTAATGAAACTACGAATATATTACATGTCATCAATAATAAAACAATTTTTTTTTTTGGCCCTGAGGGGGGTTTGAACCCGGAAACCTGCCCCCGTATGTACGCCACTGCTCATGAGAATAATAATATAGGACCTATTGCATCAAAGTACAACATATTACAGTATAATCTGTAGACGAAATTTGAAGTTTGACAAGTAAATGAGTAAAAGGAAATTTATTATTACAATTTCTTAGTAAATAATATTAAATATCAGTTAAATTTATGAACAATAAAAATCAAATTTTTATGGCTTCTGAAAAGTTACAAGTATCATGGGTGGATTTTGCGCCTTTAGCGATGACTCATGTCACCAACCTCTACTCACGACCATAGACTGTATCTTTACCTCTTTACCTAGTTGGAATATAATATATAACAAATAATAATTAATGATCATTATATGAATTAAAATAACGAATAGAGGTTTTATGAATTTATTATTTAATTATAATTATTATATTGCTTATAATTTGTTTCTATGTTGGTACCTAATTTTTATCATGTTAGGGAGGGAGGATGGCGGTTTTCATTTCCTCACTCACTCCCTCACTCTATCTCGTTCAATCTTTTTCACTCTCTCTGTCACTCTTCCTCTCACTCTCTCTAAAACAGTGATCGACGCTCGCCCTACGTATAGATAAACTACTCGTAGCCGACTACTGAAGTTCGAACCGGCGACTATAGCTTGGCTGTGTTGCCGCCTTATCCAGTTGGCCACTTGATTGCCTTTTTTTCTTCGTTTTATGCATATTTAAATAAATTTGAACTATGGTTCGTAGTGGAAAGTAAGTTTCTTTTAACTATTTGTTAAATAGATTTATTAATTTATTTCATTTTTATGACTGATAGTGATAGACTTCATCGTAAGAGATCAAGAAGTCGTTCTCGTAGTCCTCGCAGGCATCGTCGTAGTCGATCGCGGTCAAGATCTCCTCGTCATAAGATACACAAATCAACGTAAGTATTTTTATGAAAATAAAATTTCACTTTCTACTTTGCTTCAAATATTTAGCAAGTAAATAAGTAAAATACACTTGTTAGAGATACCAACTGCTTTTTTTATTATAAAAGTATTTTTTCTATCCCTTTTTATGTATATAATTTTGTATTACTAAAATATTCTTAATTTATGTTATGCTATTGTATTTCAATTTTTTATCTAAAAATCTTGACATATTACTGTACATATTATTATATTAATAATTTTTAGTTTTTATCATTGTTACCTTCAATTTTGATACTTAATATATTTTAATAAAATATTGTGTTTATGTATATCCATAACAGTTCTTTGTTGTATAGCACTATTTATTAAAATATTTGATGTTCATTTTTAAATTTGTGATAGAATTTATATAATTTATATCTGTAACAGACGTTATAACCTTTTTAGACTATAACTCTCCAAGAGTATTATTACTTAGCTGTTACCAACACACATTTGTTCTTTCCCTTTTCCTCCAATCATATCTGCATATTGTTTTAAAGTCCTGATTCATACTATAAAACTGTTAATACTACTGACATTATAATAATGTGGGTACATTTTTTCGAAGCATCCGAGTTGGGTCCCAAGTACTAGGGGTTAATCGCAGGTAGTATACTAGTTGTGTCCCTGATGTTTTTAGGTACTACACTAGTTGGGTCCCAAATTTTTATAGGTACTACACTAATTGGGTCCTGGATTTTTATAGTTACTACACTTATTGGGTCTTGAATTTTTATATGTACTTCACTAGTTGGGTTCTGAATTATTTTAGGTATTACACTAGTTCCTGAATATTTTTTGGTAAGAACTACATTATACTAACATTTTCCTTCCCATTTTAACATTTATAATATTATACTTCTATACTAACTTTCCAATACTATTATATAAATTATAGAATTTTTAAAAAATGTGGTCTTGTGGTCTAAATAGATCAAAGACAGTCCTAAGTCTGTTAAAATAGGAAGGAAAATGTTTGTATAATGTAGTACTTAGCAAAAATATTCAGGAACTAGTGTATACCTAAAATAATTCAGGACCCAACTAGTATAGTACCTAAAATAATTCGGAACCTAACTAGTGCAGTAATTTTAAATTTGGGACCCAATTCGAATGCAGCCTATTTTTTATATAAAAATATAATATATGAAACTAAAAGAAAATTAACTTTTTGATTTAAATTTTTAAAATCAAATAATAATTACATAATATTTAAAAACAAACTATTTAAGAACTTAAAAAATTAAATTAAGAAAAAAATTGAGTAAAAAAGTAAAAACAGAAATGAACGGTTTTTCTTTTGGTCTAATTTTCTGCAGTTTAAAATTATTGATTAAGCTATCAAATTAAGCTATGTTTTATAGTTAAATTATATTGCATAATATATAGTATGTTAATGAGTAATTTTTTTTTGTCAATTATAAACTTTGTTGATTATTTATAAAATAATTTTTATTAATTTGAATTTTTAGTTAATAATAATGCATTATAGATTATATATAATATTATTTGTACTATATAGGAGGGATAGGAAAAAGTCAAGATCTCCTCGCCGTTCTCGTTCACCACGTAATAAAAGAAAGTCACCAGAGCGTAAACTTGAAGAAGTACCTTTTGATCCAACCAATCCAGATAAGGTTAAATTAATTAAAAAATTGTTAATATTTAAATATGTTTAAAATTTACTTTAGCCAACATTATTTTCTTTGTAACGTTAACTGAAATATCTTTTTAACAGATCGTTAGATGGCACTGATGGCAGTCCGTCCAAATTGAATATTCAGATTTACTGATCATTGAATGATGGCTAAAATAAATTTAAGCAAACATTTTTAATTGTATTTTAATATATGGTAATACAATTAAATATTATATTCTATATTGAAAATTATTGAATATATTCTTTTTTAGGAAACCGAACAAAAAAAGCTTGAATTAGAAATGCAAAAACGGAGAGAACGTATTGAGCGTTGGAGAGCAGAGCGAAAAAAAAAAGAATTAGACAATGTTAAGAAAGATGTACGAACTACTATCATGTGTAAGACCTAATATATTGTTATGAGTTTTATGTCTTATTATTTCTGTAATTCATTGTTTTAAGTAACTAAAAACTTATTAATAATTAATATGAATAAATATACATTTTTAAGTATTTCTTTTGAAAGTGGATTTATTCTAGATCAAAATTATATTTGTTTAATTTTATTGTTTACATTTGGATAACTGTTAAAATAAATTTCTATTGAATATTAATTTTTAAATACTTAATTATAGCTAATCTACAAATACCATCAAAAAAATGGAATTTAGAAGATGACAGTGATGAAGAAGAAGATGGAAAAAATAATGCAGAAAAAATTGTTGAAGAAGAAGAAATTGATCCTTTAGATGCTTTTATGCAGGTAATAATCACCAAAATTAATTTCAAATGATATTTGTATTGTTAGTACCATTAAGATTTTTAGTGCAAGAAAATGTATGAACTGATGATTATTTATGTAATTATTATAATTGTACATCTACTATCTACAATAGTATTTCAACTCATATTTTCAAATCTAAAATATTAAAATTATACATTGGTGTTGGCAGAATTATTGACCTATTGTAGGTTAACTCTCTTGTACCCTCTCGTGCCTTATAAATGCATAACAGTATATAACAAAGAAATTAATAAATCAGTATTATTTAATAATTATCTTTTTTTAAGGGCGTTCAAGAAGAAGTGCGTAAGGTTAATAAAGTTGATGGACATCGAAGTAATATATCTGAAAAAAATTTCTCTAATGATCTTAAACAAAATCCAGGAGTTGACACTACTAGTTCTGGAGTTGTAATTGTATCTGGAGTAGCAAAAAAAAAGGATAACAACACCAGAGGTGAACTCATAGAACAAAATCAAGATGCTTTAGAAGTATATTAAGAATTAATATTAACTAGTATTTATTCTATTTATGTATAATTTAAAATATTTCCAGTATTCGTCTGAAGAAGAACAAGAAGATTTGAATATAGCAGCTGCTAGTTTAGCAAATAAACAAAAAAAAGAATTGCCTAAAATTGATCATGCTGGCATGAGTTATTTACCATTTAGAAAAAATTTTTATGTTGAAGTACCAGAAATAACACGTATGACTACTGAAGAAATTGAAAAATATAAAGAGGTATTTAAAAGTTAAATAAATTCAATTAGTATATTTAATTCTTTATTTTACTAGGAATTAGAAGGTGTTCGAGTAAAAGGTAAAGGCTGTCCACGTCCGATAAAAGTATGGGCTCATTGCGGTGTCAGCAAAAAAATAATGGATAATTTAAAAAAACATAATTATGAAAAACCTACACCAATTCAAGCACAAGCTATTCCTGCTATTATGTCAGGGCGTGATCTTATTGGTATTGCAAAAACTGGAAGTGGAAAAACTCTGGCATTTTTATTGCCAATGTTTAGGCATATTATGGATCAGCCTCCTTTAGAAGATACTGACGGACCAATTGGTTAGAATAGTTAAATAAGTAATCATTGATGAGTTATATTTAAATGAATTTGTAGTTGACACTTATATTTTCAAATAGCTTATTTGTATAAAAAATATCTATTTTTAAAATTTTATTTTAACTTATTTAATTTAAAAATATATCTTACAGAAAATAATGATTTAATTTAATATATAAACTAGGGATGGGCAAAATTGTTTGAACATCGATATATCGATTTTTAAAATATAGATGTTTTCAATTTATTGGTGAAAAACCATCAATGTTTAAGAACATTGAAAAAAAATATTTTCCCTCTAGAGCTGCCATCTGTTGCACACCTTATATTATCTGTACAGTGTACTATTTTTCTGATTAAATAATAAATTCAAGAGTTAAAATACTGACATTAAGTTTTATTAGTTAAAAACAGTACCACGGAAATGATGTTATTGCGCTCCACTACCACTCTCCTTCTATTGACATGTCCATTACTATCTATCTATTTTCGTCTCAATGTGTGTTCATTAATTATAATTTTAATAAAATGTAACCGAAGAAAAAATATAACTTTTAAAAATGCTTATACATTTTTTTCGTTCATAGTTAAGGATTTTTAATGCATATTTGATCAATTGTTAGTGCATTATTGCATGCTTATTTATGCGTTGTTTAGTGCATGAACTTATGAGCTCTAATTATAACTGTATGTTGTACACTGCAAACTAAAATAATACAAACAAAAAAAATTTGAACATTTCAATCATGAACATCGATATTTAATTATTAATCGAAAGCAAATCATAGATGTCAAAACAATGATATATCGACCTAAAACATCAATGTTTTTTGCTCATCCCTAATATAAACTATCTAAATATATGACTTCAAGTATTTGTATTAAAAATAAGTCTTAACATAGTTATTTTTATAGCATTATATTTTAATTTTTATTTATTTTGTTTTAATTTTTGTATATATTTCATTGATTTAGCTATTGTTATGGCACCCACAAGAGAACTATGCATGCAGACTGGAAAAGAAGCCCGTAAATTTACTAAAAGCTTAGGGTTAAGAGTTGTATCAGTTTATGGTGGTACTGGAATATCGGAACAAATTGCTGAATTAAAACGGGGAGCTGAAATTATTGTTTGTACACCTGGTAGAATGATAGATATGTTGGCTGCAAATAATGGTTAATATTTTAAAAGTTATAATCATTCTTTTGATCATGATTTGGATTAAAAAAATCTTAGATTTTTTTTTTTTTTTTTTAGGTAGAGTTACCAATTTAAGAAGAGTGACGTATGTGGTATTAGATGAAGCAGATCGTATGTTTGACATGGGATTTGAACCACAAGTAATGAGAGTAATTGATAATATACGTCCTGATCGTCAAACTGTTATGTTTAGTGCTACGTTTCCTCGTCAAATGGAAGCTTTAGCAAGACGAATATTACAAAAACCAGTTGAAGTACAAGTATGTTTAGGTCACCATATTTGTGTTAATAAATTAAATGTATATTTAATTTTTGTAGATTGGAGGCAGAAGTGTTGTAGCCAAAGAAGTTGAACAACATGTAATTATTGTTGAAGAAGAACAGAAATTTATGAAATTACTTGAAGTATTGGGAATATATTATGAAAAAGGTAGCTGTATTGTTTTTGTGGATACTCATGAAAATGCAGATACTTTACTACAAAAGTTGCTGAAAGCTTCATATCCCTGTATGTCTTTACATGGTGCTATTGATCAATATGACAGAGATAGTACAATAGTTGATTTTAAAAGTGGTCAAGTGAAGTTGTTGGTGGCAACATCTGTTGCAGCCAGAGGATTAGATGTCAAAGATTTAATATTGGTTGTTAATTATGATTGTCCAAATCATTATGAAGATTATGTTCATAGGTGTGGCAGAACTGGAAGGTAATCAATTAAAAATTAAATACCTAAAATATTAAACATTAATAAGATGTATACTTAAATACACTAAATAATCTAATTTAATATAAATTTATTTTATTTGCAATTAAAATTTTAGGGCAGGTAATAAAGGATTTGCTTACACATTAGTTTCCCCTGACCAAGAAAGATTTGCTGGTGATTTAATAAGAGCTCTAGAAACATCAAATGTTCAAGTACCAGAATCATTAAGGACAATGTGGTTACGCTATCAAGCAAAACAAGCAGCTGTAAGTAATATAAAAGTATAAAATATGTTTTTTTTTAAATTTGTATTATTTCAAATGAAATTATGAGATTTAGAGAATAAAATTAAAATCAACATCATAATTCCAACTTTGTTTCCCTTAAGTATGGGGTGCAAATTATGACTGACCTTAAGCAAAAATGGTAATTAAATTATCATTTCAATATCAAAAATATTTGAGGTAGATGATTAAAAACATAAATATTATTTCAAAAGTTAAATACTAACAAAAATGTGTAGACTATATATCTTAAAATAATCACATACAGGTGTTTCTGAAACTAGTATACACTTATTCTGGAGTGATCAAATAAAAAATCTTTTGAAATTTTTTTTTTATTTTCAAACCTGGGTTTTATCTAATTGTCTTTAGAACATTATTTTAAATCTAAAAATTAATATTTTTAAGAGATTTCTTGCAAATCTCTTATGTGAATCAATTTGTGACATTGATTTTGGGCTTGTCATGCATTAAAAAGTTTTTTGTGATCATCTAGCAAAAAAAAAGTAAAATAGTATGATACCATTAATAGAAAATTGGGGATCATTGTTTCAATTCTGATATACGTTCTACTAATAAAATTATTATTGTTTCTAGGAAGGAAAACAAGTTCACACCGGTGGTGGTTTTAGTGGGAAAGGATTTAAATTTGATGAAACAGAAGCTGTTATGGCTAATGAAAAGAAAAAATTACAGAAAGCTGCCCTTGGACTTCAAGATTCTGATGATGAAGATATTGAAGGAGATATTGATCAACAAATTGAAACAATGCTTGCTCCAAAACGAATTGTGAAAGAAGTTAAAGCTAGTGCTATAGGATTTCCAAATTTTACTGGTTTAAGTAATTATTATTAATTATCTATATGTATAAATGTGAAATTATGGTCACGGGTTGTGTCAGAAATTATTCATGCAATTACTATTCAAGTTTTTTTATATGATAGAGTTTTTTGGAGAAAAGGTTTTTTTATAACTTCGGTTAGTTGAGTAATAATTTGTAACATGTTTAATATTGGTAGTATATTAACTCTATCAGTAACCCTATTGGGAAAATATTTTTAGCTTCAAGTAAATATGAAGATGTCTTATTAATTTATGTTTTTATAAAAAGATATAAAATAATTGAGGAAACCGGAATAATAAGTTTTCATATAAGCCTAAAATAGCTAAACAATTTTAAAGATTTTGAATGAATCTAGGAATGTATTGGTTATAACCATGTGATGATGATAACCATTTTTTTTTTACTACCTATTTTTGACCAGAACTTAATTTGATCATCACAATCAAGGTTTCTAATGGGCAATGTTGTCTATTGTAATTTAATAAAGTTCTTCATACATATCTAGATTTAAAAAAAAAGTTTACTAGTGTTCGAATACTAAACTTTTCAATGATATTGTGTGTATATATAATTAATAACGATTTTGAACTATATTAATTATTTAGTTATAATTTTATAAATATTCAATTTATTGTCTGGAAATATTTACTAAATATTTACATAAATATATTAAAGACATTTCACTGTTTTGTTATATTTTAATGAAATTCTGACTGTTTTATAGACATTTATTTTTGATTCTTCTCAAATTTTAATGTATTATATTTTGATAACACTGGCGAATTTAACAATTTATTATAATTTACTTACCTACCTAGATATCTTCCTTTTTGCAAAACATGAACATTTAAAAATTCTAAATAAAAAAAGTTTCTTTTACTACATCAACCATTTAAAGACACATAAACTGATCCACCTGATCTCTTTCATTAAAAATCTTTATTTTTAGAATAATGTTACATTGATTTTAAGTTTAAAAGACCAATACAGCAATAACAATCATCCATCACTGTTATCTTATCTGATATAGAAGTTTTGTCCATTTTTTCATGTAATATTTTTAAAGAACTTTTTCATTCATCAGTTAAAATTTCTTTTTGAAACCCTATTTAATTTTATTGTCTAACATTAGAATTATGTTATCTTTTATACGTCTGAATTTTTATGAGTTTATAAAAGACTCATTTTATAAATTTTTAGTTGATTGAAAAAAAATTAAATGCCAAATAATTATATTATGTTACTATTATATAATTCTTGTAACATTTAAATGGTTATAACTTAAATTAAAATATTTTTTAGTGGAAGTTAATGGAACTCCTCAAGCATCAGAAAGACTTGAATTGGCTAAACGTTTAGCTTCTCGCATTCATATAGCTAAGAATCTTGGTCCAGATGCTAAAGGTGCTTCACAACAAACGGCAGAAGCTATATTTAAAGGCGGACTTGCTAGTTCTCAACCAGTCATTACTGCCAAGACTGTTGCTGAACAATTAGCTGCTAAATTAAACACACGCCTTAATTATCAACCTAAAGATGAAGATGGTGAGAGTGAATGTGGAGATGGTCAAGAAGCTGGAATGGAAGAAACATTTAGAAAGTATGAAGAAGAATTAGAAATTAATGATTTCCCTCAACAAGCTAGGTGGAGAGTTACTTCTAAGGTAAGTAAAAAACTTTCTGATTTTGGTCTAAATTTTAACTGTACTTTAACTTAAAAACACATTTTAGGAGGCTTTAGCACAAATATCAGAATATTCAGAAGCTGGTATAACAGTTCGAGGTACTTATTATCCACCACCTAAAAATCCTCCTGATGGAGAGCGTAAACTGTTCTTAGCTATTGAAAGTACTGATGAATTGGCTGTTTCTAAAGCCAAAATAGAAATTACACGTCTTATAAAAGAAGAATTATTGAAAATGCAAACTTCTGCACATCATATGGTTAATAAGGCTCGATATAAAGTCTTATAATTACTATTGTAATATTTTTTTATTAATAAATTACATTTTCTTTTCACATGATTTTAATTTATTTTAATATAATTAATAATTTTTATGCAGTTGATGTATTTTCTTCATATGCAGAAATGGATTTCTAAAAAAGAAAAAATTCACATATATATAAGGACAATATGCTAAAGCTACTATGAAATATTAAACATTTTACATACTTTAAATGTTTTTTTAACATGATTTAACATTTTATTAAGTTCTTGAATACCATGTTTAAAGACATCTTCAACAGTATTTCCCTCTTTAACTTTTAATCTTAAATACATTTTATTTTCTGATGGATGTCTAATGGAATAAGCACAAAAATCCGTTTCTGGAAAACTTTCTAAAACATAAGTTATTAATGAACCTAGTGTATGTCCTTCATCTTCAAAAATAAATGTTCTATCTAATTCAGAAGGTCCTATGTCTTCATCATCTTGCAATTCCTAAAAAAAATTTTTAATATTTATTAATAAACACAAAGATTAATTTTTAAATTAATAAAAACTAACAATTATTTGATGATTGAAATTAATCATCACTTTACTTCAAAGTATTATTGAGTTATTTATTTAATCTAAACACATTAGCTATTATAAGGTATTCTCTAATCTTTAAAATACAAATAATTCAATAACGTTAAAAAAAAAAACATTTTAATTGTAATCTAAAAACAAGAAATTGTAAAAATCGTTTAAATTTTAAATTTTATATATATATATATATATATATATATAATACTTAATATATAATATCTAAGTAGCTGTAATAAGCTGATTTTTTAAGTTAACAATTATGTTGTCTAATAGATTTTAAAGTACTTCAATTTTTTTTTTTCAATTCTTAGATTGATTCAATGACTTCAATGGAACTTCATTACATCCATTACTGTTTTTTCATAGTAGTTTATATATTTTTTGGAAGAAAGGCTTTTTCAAAGTTTATGAACGTTATATACTTCGATTTATTTACTTTATCTTTTCCATGATTATCCTTAGACACAATATTGTTTCCCAGGTTCCTTTATTTTTCCTAAAACCAAATTGATCTTCCTCCAAATTATTATTTATTTTTTGCTTCTATTTTTTTATGAATTATTTTTGACAAATGTGTTATTAGACTTTCAGATTTCTTTTATTTTTTTTGGTATAGGTATCAGTACTTCAATTACTTAGTTGTATTTTTTATATAAACATTTTTAAAATATAATATTAGTTAAAATAAATAATTTTTTTTTTTTATAACAAAACAATACAACAACAAATTAAAATATAATGTAGACATTCAAATACTTACAGCCATGAAATCAAATTAAACACTACAATGATAAAAATTAATCATACAATTTTATAGTAATGTTATTAAATATTTGTGTAGACGATTTGACAACACGATCGACAAAAAGTGCTTAAATTTCAGCTACAACATGTTAAACACATTATTCGTTATCAAAGGAATTATGTATGATATTCAGATTGGTCAGTTACAAAAACAGCTTGTCCATTTATAATAACTTAATTATCGTAAGTTATATAATTTGTATTTTTAAGAGGCTTTTATCTTCATTATGAGTGATAAGTAACCCTACAAAACGTCATAACCTAACCACTTTATCTTTCTTCGAACAGAAGTTATTAGATTTACGATCTCAGTGGCCAATAGTTGAAAGATTTCCCGTCTCTTTTTTCCACTGACAACTTTTACATTGGTGAATTAATAACTGAAAGTATCCTGACTGTGAGCTGATTATTAGCGTAAATCCCGGACTAATACGAGTGTTCGGTGGAATTTCAAACTTTATTACGTAAGTTGTTAATTATTTTTACACGTCATCGTCAATCCGTTGGGAATTAAATGTTGAAACGCCTCTTTCCGACTCCTTTTTTTCCAACCTTATACGATTAATTTTACCGTTTTGGATCGTGCATAATTTAGGTACATCCATTATAATACTAAACCATTTAATTATTTTCTCGTCATAGTAATCATGGATAACTTTGGTGACAACTTTGAGGACGGAGACGTCGATCCCGCCGCAGAATTTTTGGCTCGTGAACAAACTCAACTAGCTGGGTTAGAAGACGATCTCAACACGACCAATGTACCGATAGGTGTTACACAAACATTGTCAAATGGTAATTATCATTAGTTAATCTCTAGCAAAATACTGCCATTTGCTTGCTTTGTGAAGCTTTTTTTTTATTATATTTTCCTTTTTTCTGCATGTTATGTTATGCATTTTATTTATAATTAGGTTCTGGAAGCAGCTTTGAAATAATTGATAGTGCAGAAAATCAATTAACAAATTCTGCAAATGGTGAGTTGTCAGATTCAAATTGTGATCAAAGTATTTTCCTTTTATTCTTATTATTCTCAGTTCATAAAGATTAGTTGTTCCAAATGTGGGTGCAATTTAATATGATTTATGTAATATTAAATAAAACTTTATTACTACTCTGGTTCTATTATACTTCTTTGTAAAAAATGTGTATTAATACGTTGATTATCATAAGCCTGCTGGCAGTATCCTTAAGAAGTCTTTATCTCTAAGCCATATAAAAATATAGTCGATTAAAATCAGTGGCTTAAATCACCAGCAATCTAAATTGTTCCACATTAACATACTTGTCTTAGGTCGCTGACAGGCTCATTGCAGTCAACATGTTAAATTAATTTTAATATTTTGTATTGTTTAAACATTATTTACTTAAAAATATTAGGCAAATGGTATAAGCTCTTAAATGTATGAATGATATTAGTTTTGAACTTCTTTAATATGCATTTTTCAACTATTTATAGAAATACTTAAACTGACGTAAATTTTGTTTTAATTGTTATAATTTCTTGTTTTATTTATTTTTTTATAAAAACTTCATCAAATTAAGAATAGTAATTCAAATGTTGTAGAAAACATTTTATTCAACATTTAAAACACATTGAAGTGATTGAAAATTATATTTCAGTTCCAAAATTTCATGTTGTGTATTAAAGTTTAAAATTAAATTGTTTAACTATAAAATCATACTATAAAATCAAACTATAAAATTTTATAATATTTAAATATGTGATTTATTAGTTTTAGTAAATATATATTGTAGATGTTAATTTTGGGAAAAAATGAATTCTATAGTATGAAAAAGAAAATTATTAAACTCACAAATATCATTATTTTTTTTATTTAATAATCCATTAATTTGAAAATTATTTGAATTAATTTGTTTGTGTTGCTTTTTTTTTATTATTTGCAAGTGCTGTTTTATTTTTATTTTTTATTCGTTTTTAGAAAATGGATTAACTAATGGTTTTACAGCTGCACATAGTGATGATGGTAAGTAAATATATGGGAATATGTTATAATTTAAGTTATAATATTAATATACTGCATATTGTTTTGTTACTAATTACTTAAAAATAATTAGTTAAACCCTAAGAATTTAATATTTACAAGTATATTACTTGTATATATATTTTGTTTTGTAAACTTGTTATAATATTATTTTAGTAAAATGTTTTGAAAATTAAAAATTTAAAACCTTATATTTGTGATTAATATTCACTTTTTATTGACTAGTCTCCTAGTCTTATCAATACTGGGTTATTATTTATCAAACAAAATTTAAATAGTCTGAAATTTTGTAATATAATTTATAATTTAAAAATAACACAAGTGGAATGGCATTAAAAATTAAAAAATTAAATTTTGTGTATGATGAATGCTCCTGTGCAAAACATTTATTTAAAGATACTAGTTATATCATTGGTGTTACAGTTATTTTATAATTTTTACATGTCTGTGCAGTAAAATTGGTATCACCTAAAAAACTCAGTGAGTAAATTAATTAGGGCGTAATTGATATAAAAAATGTATTTTATACTATTTAATTATTTTAATGACTTATTTATATTTTATTTGTATTAGATACATCATCACCAATAATTACACCTAAAGTTGAACGAGAAGAACCTGAGAAAATTAAAAAATGGCGAGAACAGCAAAAAACTCGATTAGAAGAAAAAGGTAAAATATTGTTTAAAAATTATAGCATGTATAAAAGTATTTAGTTCATTCATTTTGAATACATTTAAATAGATGCTGACGAAGAAAAAAAAAAAGAAGAATTACGGCAGGTAGCTAAAAAAGAATTGGAAGAATGGTACAAGATTCACAAAGAACAAATTGCTAAAACTAAGGATGTTAATCGGTAATTACTTTTTTATTTCAATAGCTTTTATTTTTTTACTATACATATACTTTTTTATAATGCTTCCCTGGAATAGAGAAGCTGCAATGTAAGTAGTATAATTTGTGATTTATTAAACTGATAATATTAATTTTTTAATTGCAACATAAAAGTATCTTGTACACTTCATAATTGATGACAACATGATATAATTTTAATGTTAATTTAGCAATGCAGAAAAACAGTTTGTTGCTGAATCTGATGAAATTGAACCAGGAACTGAATGGGACCGTATTTCAAAACTTTGTGATTTTAATCCAAAATCCAATCGTGCTAGTAAGGATGTTACACGCATGAGGTCTATCATCCTTCAATTAAAACAAACTCCACTAAAAAAACCTGTATTGTCTTCAAAATAGTTCTTATTTATGATTTCCTTTCCGTTTTTCCTAAATGGTAAATTATTTATTAATTTGTAATATTTACATTAAATTTTATGTTCATGTTTGTAATACACATTATTCCATTGAGAGTTTTTTATTTTATACTATTACTATACATAATGATATTCAATAAAAATATAATAGATATATAATCATTTTTGTAGCATATTAATGCAGATTTAAGTATTATATTAATTTGCTATCTCTAAAGTATTTACTAAATTGAAATATTTAAGAATTTAGTTGTTATGTGTAATAAATAACAAATAATTATAAATTTGTTGTATTGAATTTTTTTGCATTTTTAGAAACCCGAATGGGTTATGAATATTAGTATTAAAAATATTTATTTTTTTTCATCTGTATATAATGTTTTGTGTTTATGTATAAAACATTTAGTACTCTAGAATTTTCTATGCTAGACAACTTCATTATCTCTTATTATAAAATTTTATGAAATAGTACAGAACATACTTATATGTTATATACTTATATAGTTACTTTATAGGTCATATAGCTTCAAATTTAATTTATTTTTACTGAAAATAATAAAATTTCAAAAATATTTTTGGGCTACATTTTGATAACACCTATTTTATGTAGTATATATTTTTTTCAAGAAGCATATCAAATTAAGATTATTACCAAGTTACTTATTACCTACTAAATTACTTTTTAAATTATGAGTAAAACGAAGTGTATATTTTTTTCATGGCAAGTTTCTGATAAGAAATGGTATTTAGTTGTTACTGAGGAGGTGCATAGTCATTTTTTGAATTTTTCATCAGTTTTTTGAATAATTAAAAAGAACAGACAATAACCTAGATTAAGTTTCGAACTCAGCATTAACTAATATTTTCTTTAGTATTATTTCATTTGATTATTTTAAATTTTAAAGACATTTTAAAATTATCAAAATAATCTAATGTAATTTTTGCTGTTTAAAGGTACTTAACATTTTCTATTAAAAGAATATTCTATATCAATTGTTTATTTTAAAATTTTAATTTCACCAAAGGATGTATTTTAAAAATTATAATTTAATATGTAAATACATTAAAAAAAAAAAAAATAAGGTTTACTAATTCTATACAAAGATAATGAGTATTTGTTTATTCTTTATACAACTCATTATAATATACATATGTATTATGTATTTCCAGGAATTCATATGAAATATAACTAATTTTCAATTATAAAAAATATTAATGATAGTTAAAAATATACAAAAATATGAAATTGAAATTCAATCAACATTTATTATTAATTAATACCATAACATATAATAAATCATTACATTTAAGACTATTTTTATTGTATATTATATTAATACAAAATCTCAAATACAATTATAATAATTTAAAGTACATAATATAAAATATAAAGCATTAGTTAATCAATACTAATTAAATAAAAAGCATAAAATAAATTAACATTTTTGAGACAATTTATATTATTTCTACTATAAATAATCAAAACAACTTTTCACAAATTTTTATTTAATCAGTCTAATTAAGTTACCACAAGAAACTAAATTTTATATGGATTAGATATGTACCTAGCATGTATTTCAAAACCATAATATATTTTCTTTATCTTTTGAAATTGATTGGTTAAGATCAGCCCTTAAACTTTCAGCTAATTCTTCAAGTGCTTCTGCTTTTGATAATAACATTAGCTATATAATAGGATAATATATATTAAAAATGATATATTATAAAAAAAATATCTAAAATGTTAAATCCATTAGTAAGATTAAAAATGTATTTACTTTAGCAGATGCAATCATTTCACGAGCTACTTTTATTGACAAATGACTAATATCATTGCATAATTTTTTTTTATTAGCTTTAGCTACATCATTCAATGTTTTATAGCCTGCTTTATAGAGTTGAGTTGCTCTACCCTATTATACGAAAAATTAGATTTTATAATATATAATTAATAACTGTCAAATTATAAATAATTTTACATTATATACTTACAAATCTTACTGAAGGTAAACTCATTAAAGATTCAAGATCTGATGAATATCCTAAAACTCCAATATTTAGTTTAGGAATAATATTTTGGAATAACATTGGAAAATGATCCAACTTCTTATCTTGTAATGCCTAAAAGTTTAAGCAAATATGTCTTAAATTCTACAGTTAAATATTTTATTTCAGCTAAAAATGTACTTCTGTAAATCTTAATATTGACGAAGCATGAGATGCAGTTCTAGATAAAAAAGAATGTATTGTTCCCCTAGACAAATTATATGTTTTGGAGACTGTCCAAATAGATTCTTTATTCCACAAATCATTCAAAATCAAACTCATGATAAACTTATTCCAAATTATTTCTGAAATATTCTAATCAATGCAATATGAAAAAATAAAAATATTTTGATAGTATAAATAAATTATCCATTGTTAATTTTTGAGCATAATTCAAATTCCAGCATTAACAAAAATATTTAAAATATAATTGATTGAATATACTATCACAGAATCAATAATATTCTGTGGTACTATTTAATAATATATCTTACTTTGATTTTTCCATAGCTAATAAACTGTGATATGCATAACTCATTTATCCCCAATCGGTTAGCCAATGCTTGCTGGTCCCCTTTTAAGTTCGTCATCTATGAAAAAGAATGAATACATCAAAAGATTATATTACATCTGTAACATTATGTGATATATTTACTATTTCCAAAACATATTGACGTTCTAATGTAATACACTCTGTATATGGAACAGCTAAATATAATAAATGAAGTTTGTTTATTAATAATAATGCACTTGATGCTTCTATCAATTCTGTGTACAACTTTTGGGCTTCTAATATATCCAAATTGGCAGCAACTGCTGCATTTGCAATTGGTGTTAATTTTAATGTACGTTCTACTGGCTTATTGAATGCATTTAGTGATCTCAATTTGTCTAAACACGATTCTATTAAATCAGATGCAACTGTACATTCATCATTGTATTTCTCAGCTTGTTTTATAAAAAGTGTGCATTTCATCAGGTTTACTAATTGTTCTTGACTAGATGTACATCCTGTACTAATAGAACTTAATATCATCGAATAAACTATGTTTTCTTCAGTGCCAAGACAGCTATCAATATGTTCAACACCATTTTCAAGTAATATTTTAATCTAAAATAATATCGAAAAATATTAATTTTGTTTATATATTTTTTTTTTCAAAAATCATAAGTTAACAATAAAAATAAAATAAATAATTCATTTATAATCGAGTTATTTGCAATTAACCTTTTCTTTATCATTTTCTTGACACAATAATACACTGTCGCCACTTTCTGTCAACCCTGCTCTACCAGCACGTCCTACCATTTGTCTGTAAGTACTTTGTTTCATAAAATCTCGTCCCACAAATGGAGATGTTATTATTACCTAATATTAAATTAATGTATTAAAAAAAAATGTATACATGCTCCATATATTTATTAATGTCAAATTAAATTATAATTTATTATTATTATTAAGTTTGGTTGAAAACTCAGTAAAACTGATAATAATATAATAGTAATTATAATAATAATAATAAAAAAAGAACAAAAAAATGTTTTCCAGAGAAATAAATTATAATAATATGCTACTTTAAGTTATTAATTATTTTTTAATAATGGTATTATCATATCTAAAATGTTTTTAGCAAATTATTATTGCTTAACCAAAATCAAAACCACCAAAGTTTTAAAAGTTTACATTCATGATACATATGTAATAAACGTTTGATGGATTAGAAGTATAGAAGTATTAACTATTTTGTTTTTTAATGTCAAGAAGGAAACATTCAAGCATAAGTTTAATTTTTAATTATTAGTATAAAAATAGAAATATGCTTAGTCTGGAGTGTTATTATATTTGTAAAATACGACCAGTTTTTAATTAAAAATTCATTGTCAGGTAAATACAAAATCAATAAATATCGAACTTTACAAATATAATAATACTCCTGGCTAAGCATTTATTTATTAATACATTCATTTTTGAGTAATAACCATTTAATAATTTTTAATTTTAATTTAATTTTTTATTATTTAATTATTAGTGCAATAGTGAACTTGATTTACTGACAGTATATGTCAACTGATTTCATGTTATGAAAAATTGGCTAATTACTTTATATTTTTTTATATAAAATTCAAAACATAAATCAAATTCATAAAATGTTGGTTCGTGTTCTAAATACTGTCAAGGTAAATAGACTTGTAAAAGTGACCAACGTAATTACATATTATGTAAGTAGCATATTAAATAAATATCAGAATTTATAGTTCTAAAAATATATTTCATTTCATTTTACTCTTTGAGCTGGAAGATTAACACCAGCTGCTAATGTAGATGTACAACAAATACATTTGATAATACCACCAAGAAAAGCTTCTTCTAACAGTTTTCTTTCAGCATTTGTTAACCCTAGATATGTGAAATTTAACTATAAATATCATAATTATAATATTAATATTATTATAGACTTAAGTAAAAAAGTACTAACCTGAATTATGATAAGCAACACCAAAGAGGATACTTCTGGTTAACAGTGGACATACTTTTCCATCACCTTCTTCTTTAAGAGCTTTATATAATTCTTCTTTTTCTTTAAGTTGAACACATGCTTCTTCTCTATTTATGTTAATAAATAAATAATTATTATCAATAACAACAGAAAAATAAAGGTATTCTTTTTTAGTATTTACTTTCCAATACTTTTATAAATAATTTTAGCAATACTTTGACAACTGCTCTTAGTAGGACAAAATACTAAGCAGCTACCGTTAGGTAATATTTCACGCACAAGAAGCCCTATACCACTTGGGTCTAATCGCTTCATGTCACTTGTATAAATCTAAGTAAAATGAATAATTTAATTTAATTGGAAAAATATTCAGAGTAAATCTTACGTCAAAATTCAACTTTCTATCAAGTTTGATTTTCATAGAGCCATCAACATCTTTATTTATCACAAATATATCCTGATTGATTTTAACACTTTCTTTTAATTGAACTGGTCTAAAATCTTTTGTATAAACATAGGCATTTAAAAAGTTACCAATTTCATTCATGTTTCCAATTGTAGCAGACATACCAATTATCTGAATATTATCTATGGATTAATGGGCTCTAGTATTATAATATAATAATATAACATAAAGATACTTAACTTACAATTAGAATAGAGAACTTTAGTAAGTGTTGTTTCTAATAAAGCTCCTCTCTTTTGCTCACCAAGAAGATGCAATTCATCAACTACAATCATACCAACACTTCTTCCACCTAATTGTCCATTATCAGCCAGCATACAATCAACTAATCCAGCTCCCCTTTCAAGTGTACATACGTAAAGTGTCGATTTACGTTTACGTTGAATTGGAGGATGCTTGCCTTTGCCTCCAACATATTCTTCAACATTGAATTCTAAATTGAGACCAAATGGACATAAAGACTGTACCTGTGATCAATTAATTTTTATTTTATTATGCACATAAATAATCCTAGCATCAAAATGTTAACCTTTTCTTGAACTAGAGCTACATATGGCAAAATAAATAAAACATTACGTTCAGATATTAAAAGTTCTTTTAGCATAAGAATTTCAGCTACTAATGTCTTTCCACCACTTGTAGGCAAAGCATAAATCAAATTTGTTCGGTTTTTAACAGCTTCTAAGTTTAAACATTCAATTTGCCAATCTATATCAAAATTTTATCATTTAATTAAGCACATTAGATTCCATATAATCATGTACATACCATAAAGTTGTGTAATTTTTTTGTGTTTCTTAAACATATGTTTTACTTTAGATGGTAAGCCAAAGAAATCATTGTCATTATCCATATTAGAACGCTTTGAAAAGTTTCCATAAAATGTTGTTTCTAACTGGCGTTTTTGTTTTATAACATTTGACGTTAAGTTAGTGCTCTTCATCTTCAATTCTTAAAATATATAAGAATAAGAACAATCTTTATTTTATATCAGTTTTTAAAATATTAGTAAAATCAGAAAATAACGTAGAATAACAAGTTTTTTAATGATAATTGAAAACTTGATTTCAAACAATTGGTTTATTAATGAATAGTTACAAAATGAAACTTGAAAAATTGTAATTGTGGTTACTATTCATAAAATAGGTTAAATTAGGACTAATAACCTGTTCAATTTAAGTGAATTGAATTACATAAGTAAAACATCGAATTGTACTCAAAATTTTAACTTTTAACGGTTATAAAATTATTTGAAGTTATTATCAGTTATTGTTCTAAATATTATTACCTACTGCGCCTTATCAACTGAGTATTTTGTACACAGGATAGAATCTCGATTTAAACTATAGAGTAACATAGTTACGTTACTTAATGGTTTAAAATAAGCTACTACAATATATTGAAATTATATTTAATTAGGGTTGCCATAAATTTATAAGGCGAAACCGGGACAAAACAAACACATCTTGAGTAATATACTTTTTATATATAAGTTTCAATAAATCAAGAGGACCAGTGGCGTATACAAGGAGGGATTTGAGAGTCAGATCCCCCTAGGCCTTTTTTTAAATGTTACAAATTAATGTTCTTAATGTGAAAGTTTTAGAAACGTAAAAATAAATAATGATTTGTTTGCAAATGATTTCATCCCCATACAAAAGTTATGTATATGCCACTGAAGAGGACCATTAATGGCCGGCAATATAATATTCAAAAATATTTTTGTGAAATAAAATATATTATATATTTATATGTGTAATTTACAAATTTAATTTTTTTTATATAGTTAATCAATTACTATAAAAGTGTACTTTGAGATAAAATGGTCGAAATTATAAATTAAACAATATTATATTTCCCCTAAACGTCTAAGCCGGGACATACCTATGGACGACCTGAAAACATTTTTCGGGACATTGGGACACAAAGTCCAAAACCGGTGACGATCCCGGTTTTCCGGGACGTATGGCAACTCTATATATATATATATATATATAAACAAATATTACATTACATAGGTATTTATTCAAATAATATATTTTTATTTTATTACACATTAAATGCATGCATAACCATAGCCGTATACACCTATACGCACTGGATCATTTAGATGTTATGTATATGACAAATCAGTTTTATTAAAAATAATGATATATTATTTTTGTTTAAATTATTATATTTCTTACTTATACTGTTTATGTAGTTTTCCAAAAGATACTATACTCCGTGACAAATGGATTATAAACTTAAATATAAACTATATATTTACACCAATTGTACATACAAGAATTTGTAATAATCATTTTGACGATAATAATTTTATTAAGACTGACCAACTAAGGCGTCTGAAACCAGATGCTATATCAACGAACATGATGAGTATTCGTTGTTCGTTATTGTCATGTAATATAAAGATATTAAAGAAGTTGACCCAGGAGCAAACTGGAGAGAAATAGCAGAAAATAGAATAAATTAGAGTGAAATTTGTTTTGCGGGATGGTCTTAAAGGCCGGAAAAACCCCAAAAAAAAAAACCTATATCTATTTATTTATTTTTATTACATATGTATTGATATATTATTTTTTATTCTGTGTAATAGATTTCCAAAGTTCTTCAAATGAAAATGTATGCGATCCATCTACCTCCAATAAGCAATTATTAGATATGTAAAATTATATCTGTGATGGTACTTTAGTTGAGGAAACGATTATAAATGCAGACAAAAATGAAACTCCTACCAAGTAATTTAATTTTAAGAAATACAATTATAAATTATTGATTTATTATCAATTATATTATTATTTTAGTAAACGTAAGTATTATTGTTATAATGGAGATTTCTCAGAAGAAGACTTGGAAACCCCTAGAAAAAGAAAACTATTTTTGAACACACTTACTAAAATGTTATATGAGAAAAATTAGAAAATAAGACTTCTTGAACAAAAAAATCGAAGATTGGAATTAAAAATCAGTAGTTTGAATACATTAGTTGATGAACTTAAAAAAGAATGTTAATCAAATTCTAGTTATTCTCATATTTTAAAGTTAATTAATAATTTACTTACAATTTTATCTAACAAAATAAATAAAAGTGAAAAATTCATAATAAAAAAATAATTTTACAGAAAAAAATGCACTCTAGTAATACTACTATAGTGTAATATACATTATATGGACAATTTTTAACTGTGTGTTTCACTGACATATACTTGCTGTATACTTGAGGCTGGCTTCTTAGTATAGTTTTTTAATATGAATTTATATTTTAAATGATGTTTAATTATTAATTATTTAACGTTTCTGCATTAATTACGAAGCAAATATATTAATTATGTATTGCATCTTTAAATATATAAGTTTTAAAATAGCTATGCATTGTTATGCATGTAATTATGGTTTTATGATAAATTATTGAGGTATAATATTTATTTATTAAAATTCACAATGTTTTTCTACAGAATATTGGCACTGAAGAGAAAAAATAACTACTTATGAGGCAATTACAGATATCAACTGGGAAATCTATCTGTCCAATCCTTAGAAAATTTGCAATGACCCTTCATTTTTATTCGCCTTCTGCATACGGCTATGTTCTAACAATATTAAGTAAAGCTCTACCGAATGTGAGTACTATTAGCAAAAGCGTGCACACGGGGTAGTCAGGGTAGGTACTTGACTATTCTGTGAAACTTCCCACCCTCACCAAAATATTCAATATGATCACAATAATAAATAAACATATTATTTTCAACCACTTCGAAACATTAGTTAACGTTTAAAAAAATGTAAGAATACTGGAGAAATATAGTTATTAAGTTAAATGAAGTTACGAATGCAAATTTTTTGTTAATATTAAATGATAATGTGTTATGTTTGACTACCCTGCCAGTTATGTCTGCACACGCTTATGACTATTAGGAAATGGTATTCAAAATTAGATGGTTTGCCTGGTATGACCAAAGAATCTTTTCAAGCAATTTCATTAAAAGGGAAGGAAATGAAAGAAAATGGTAAACAATTTTATGGTTGTTTAGTAATGGATGAAATGAGTATTAAACAACATATTCGATGGACTGGCACTCGACATCAGGGGTATATTGATTTTGGGTTAGGTGTAGGGTTGTCACATTTGGCTAGGGTCTTGTCGGGACGTTATAGAAATTTTAGGATGGAGTGTATAAAAATACTCAATTTTGAAAGAAAAATTAGAGTTCTTTATTTTAGAAAAATTATTTGTATATTTATTAAGGTTATATAAAAAAAAATATTTTTAATTTATTGCAGATGTACTTGGATGGCTATACTTTTCAGAAGATTTTGCTTTCCAACAGTTCTTTTTCCCCTTTAACATATTTGTAGAATTCTGTACAAGTCATATTATAATTATTTTGACACTGTAAAATTGACTCCACAGTCTCTGGGAGCAGGCGATTTCGTTCATCAGTCCACTGGGTCGACATTAACGAAAAAACTATTTCCACTATAGTATTGTGTGCAGGGATTGCAAACAAATACTCGCATAATTTCAACAATTGAAATTTCTTTCATGATTTTCAGTTTCTTTAAAAAAAATTATTCATTTTTCTTCCACCGAATTGATCGACTTCCATTATTCCGAAGCAAGTTTAATTTCTAAAAAGTTCTTAAGATACATATATTGCTCAAAGAGATTGTCGCTTAAAGTTTCCACGCCATTATTATTGAGATATAAAATAGTGTTTTCAATTTTTTCCCATTTCGGGGTTTCAGATAGCGTCATCCAGTCAAACACATCATACTTATCAAATGAAACGGACCACTTTTTCAGATATTCAGAAGCTGCGTTAAAAAATGATAGTGTTTCTTCTTTAAATTTTGAAATCAAAATTATAGTTTCAGGTGTAGGATTCTCATTTTTAAGTTTCTGAATTTTCATTTTGATTTGCATGCCAATAAATTTGGTAGATTTCCTTTCAATTAGGGTGTTTTGTGTTTCGTATAATATTTTTCTAATTTCAATAACTGACACTTTGTTCTTTTAAACGCTTTTTATGTTTTTTTTTTAAACAAATTCAAGTTGGAATGCAGAAACAGGAAATAAATTTCACTAATCGGACTTTTAAAAAAATATAAAATAATTTTAGGTACTCTTTCTTCAGAGTCAAAAAAGTTTTTGAGCGGTGTCCAAAGTTTCAAAATTCTTTCAACCGCGGGCATTAATGACAGCCATCTTGTTCGTGAGTGTGATAAAAGAGTTTGATAATTAATATCAACAAATGAACAGAACTCTTTCAGTTTCTCCGTCCTAACCGTGTATATTGCAAAATAATTAAATATTTTAAGAACGATAACTTCGACATCTACTGATAATATTCCAGAAGCGCTTGATATAGTATTGTGCAGAATATGGGCTGGACATCCAATACCTTTTATAGGTCTTCCCAAGTCTTCTTGTATTTTATGAAAAACATTGCATTGACCACGTCGTTGAAGCCCTCCGAAGTTGGTATTGGTGTTGTCCCCACAAAAAGCAATTAGCTTATCCAATGGTATCTGCAATTGTCTTAAAGTGTCGATACAATATTTGGAGATGGTTTCCGACGTTTCATTTTTTAAAGAATCAAACTTCAATAGCTTATGTTGGATACCATCTTGTTCAGTAAAATATTGAATAATCAAAGGAAACATTTTTTCAGCTTTGTGGTTGGATGCATCAGTGCCTATTCCGTGATATGAAACTTCTTGCAATTTTTTTTTATTTCTGACATTGAATTTGGTGCCAGAATATTTTTAACAATTGCTGTAGCCTTCGTCCTGGCTGTGAATTGTTTTGCTGTGACTTTAGAGTCGGAATACATTATGGCATTCAGTTTTACGATACAATCAAGTGAACTGAAAGACTGATGATGTTTTACAACTTTATAAGCTGTTGTTAGTTCTGCTGCCGTAATTAGAACTCTTTTTAGGTATCTTGTTTAATCATAAATTTGGATATTGGCGACGATGTCGATACAACACCGAATTTTTTTTTGTGATTAGTCGTAGAAATGTGGTGCTTTACGTCAGCTTTATTTCCGTGAGTAACTGATAAAAAACAATTACAAATAACACAAAGCGCTTCTTCATCCGTACGCC